TTCTACAGCCTGAACGCACGGACTTTTGTCCCCATGTTCGTTAGTACATCCGGTATTGAGTGCCGTCGCACAAAGCTATTGTTACTAGAACCCGCCGAGCTCTCATGTATGATGACAGAGTTCTTTTACCATTTTGCAGTACGGCCTCTGAAAGTTTTGCATCATGCATGCTTCAACGGAAAATTCCGACCAGTGTCTATGGCAAGGACGAACATTCAGAATATTTCATGCCAAAACGAAGCCGGATCAAGCAAACATCCGCTGTCAAATTTATATACATGGAACAGCCTTGGAAATGTGTTCAGAAAAGGTCCTTGGTCGTCGCTAAACCAATTGAAGGTTATGCCCTGTCCCAGCATTTCTCAAACAACATGTCGGTTTGCTACCGGTTTCCTCATGCTTGGGCTGAGCGTATGACGACAGATCAATCCAAACATCTCGGTATTTCTTTCTTTCATATCCTCTTTCTTGCGAACATATGAAGTTTCTTGCTCGCAACAATTTCTTTAGACGTTTATTTGCTTTTGATTTTAGCTTTCGCTTAATGAGATAAACCTCGGCCAGAAAGCTGCCCCACAAAATGCTATGCGCCATGAGTGCTCAACGAGGAGAGGAGAGCTCCTCGTTGCATCAGCAAATAAGCCGCCACATCCACTAGGACCTCGAAATCTGGGGTACGAGGGGAAGTCTCAAAGAGGACTTCAATGCGCTTCTTCAGTGTTATTTATCAGAGTCCGCCGCAGTTGATATGGGAGTCTACAAGCTACATTGAAGATTAGTGCTTCACTCTTTCTTAATCGTAATCACATCCTCCTCCATAGTCTACATACCACGATGAGTTCAGCTACCATTGAGTCCTTGGCTCCTCTTGCAGCAGCTCTGCCAGATCCGCCGACCGAATTACCATTCACAGAAGCCAATTGGAGGACGCTGCTGGCTATTATGGATACTATCATTCCATCAATTCGGAGAGAAACACAAGCCACGGACAAGTCTACTCAATTGACCATTTCGGACATCGAGTACAATACAACAGTGGACGATCTCAAGAAGACGGTTACAAATCCACCAGATAGTGAGTCGTTGGACGAGTACTTCAACGAGAGACCATCCGAAATTCCCAGGTTCCAAGAACTCTTGAAACGTACTTTTGTCTTCAATGTCCGTGACGATGCTCGGAAAGGGCTTGGGTTTATTCTGGCGGCCTTAAAGTATGTACAAGTAACATCCAATCACATACACTGCCCCAGATTTTGCTAGGACAATCGCTAACAGGTTTTAAAGTACTCGAGTTGGGTGCTTAATGCTCACAGGTTCTGCGACATCTTTCCACGAACAGCCTCCTCATATCCGCGAATCGATCCTGCAGAGATGGCAACAGTCGTACCTCCCTCCATTGAACAATGTATACTCTCAGATGACCCGCATCTCGAGATCACTTTGGTATAAGACGTCTCCGACTTTCCACAAAGTGAGCGGGTTCCCTCCTGTTCCAGAGCACTACAAGCCAGGTTCACATTTCGAGTACGATTTCATGCAGTTCCAGCCTGGTACCGAGCCAGAGATTATCGAAACAGATGTTGTTATTGTTGGATCAGGCTGTGGGGGTGCTGTGGCTGCAAAGAATCTTGCGGAAGGTGGACATAAAGTTGTGGTGGTTGACAAGGCATATTACTATCCTCCATCACAACTACCAATGAGCGAAGAAGCAGGAGGCATCCATCTCTATGACAATGGCGGAGCGGATAACAGCGACGATTCTTCGGTTACTATAGTTGCAGGAAGCAGTTGGGGAGGTGGAGGAACTATTAATTGGTCAGCAAGTCTTCAAACACAGGGCTACGTAAGGAAAGAATGGGCACAAGACCGAGGCCTGACTTTCTTTGAGACAGCCGAATTCCAGAATTGCCTGGACAGAGTTTGCCACCGGATGGGAGTCAGTACTGAGCATATTCGACACAATCACGGAAACCAAGTCATTCTGGAGGGATCGAGGAAACTTGGTTACCATGCCAAAGCTGTCCCTCAAAATACTGGAGGCAATGAACACTATTGTGGTCATTGTACTGTTGGCTGTGGGGCGGCTCAAAAGCAAGGACCTGTTGTGTCTTGGTTGCCAGATGCTGCTAAGGCTGGTGCCAAATTTATGGAGGGCTCCGAAGTTCACCATGTCATATTCGATGAGTCAAGCGGGACTAAGAAGGCTGTGGGTGTAAAAGGCACGTGGACCTCGAGGAACAGTGAAGGGGGTGTCGATGGACCAGATTCAGGAAAGACAGTGCGAGAAGTGATCGTCCGAGCGAAGAAGGTTGTGATATCGTCTGGAACTTTGTGGAGTCCTATTGTACTACTTAATTCTGGTCTCACGGTATGTTTCGAGATTCTAGCTCAAGAATTTTTGCTGATGATTCGTAGAATCCTCAGATTGGACAGAATCTCTATCTACATCCTGTGAATATTGTACTAGCGGTATTCCCAGAAGATGTTAGGCCATGGGAAGGTCAGTTTTCTTCCTCCACTAACAAGTCACTATTCTGATAGCTCTTAGGCGGCATCCTCACAACAGTCTGTACATCGTTCGAGAATCTCGACGGTCATGGCCACGGCGTCAAGGTCGAAACCACAGCCATGCTACCATCCTACGTCCTCACACTCGCAAATTGGGACTCAGGGCTCGACTCCAAGACTCAAGCCCTCAAATTCCGCCACATGAACGGCTTCATCTCCATCGCCCGAGATCGTGACACAGGTCGAGTCTACCCCGACCCCGTATCAGGTAAACCTCGATACCAATACACACCCAGCGCCTACGACCGCGCCCACGTCCTAGAGGGCGTCATCGCCATCGCAAAAATATGCTACGTATCTGGCGCCACGGAAATCCGTCCCTGCATCGGCGGCGTCGCACCCTTCATCCGCAATACCTCGGAAATGCCCTCCTCCTCCTCAGACCTCGAAGCCGACCCAGGCATAACAGACCCGTCCTTCAAAGCCTGGCTCGAAGCCCTCAAAAGAACAGGCAATAAGCCGCCCATAGCCCCGTTTGCGTGCGCGCATCAGATGGGCAGTAATCGCATGAGTGTGCGGCCTCAAGACGGGGTTGTGGATCCGAAAGGGAAGGTGTGGGGGACTGAGGATCTGTACGTTGCGGATGCGAGTGTATTTCCCAGTGCGAGTGGGGTTAATCCTATGGTTACCAATATGGCGATAAGTGATTGGATTTCGAGGAGCATTGGGAGGGAGTTGAGGGGCGTGGAGGCCAGGTTGTGAGATTGGTGGGATGGGAGTGGTAAGGAAGGATAACTGGACTGGACTGGGGGTGTATGTATTTATGGGAAGGGGTGTTAATGGAATGGATTTTGCTTGAAGGTCGTTGGTTTAATGCTTGTTGATGTTTTTGCATAGTGAAGTGGGGCTACTCGTTTATTGCTCTTGCAAGTGCATATCCCATTTCCTCATCCCTCGAGTTTTAAGTTTTGAGTTCTTCGAGTGAAGCTATACCTACATCGAGCTTAATTTCGCTATTTTGAAAATCACTGCTTGCAGCATTCTCTCAATGCTGGAAGTCTTGGGTCTTTTGTTTTCAGGTTTTGTGCATTGCTTGCTACTTTTCAAAGCGTGGATCTGAAATCGTTACAGTTGACTTAGGCTCGACCTCATGAAGACAGTTGACTCAACGAAAAAGACTACATCTCTAAGTCCAGACTGTCATTTATTTGAAAGACTTGCCTTTCTTGACTAGAACCTTTTCCAATGCTCTAGCCATCGACTCCCAAGCGGTGGCCGTGCGGGAGTTTTAGAGACAGAGACATGCTGCTTTTGGAGAGTCTGATTCTTGAAGAAGAAGAAAGTGTATTATGTTTGAGAGTTTTGATGGCCGGAGTATTCCGTTTGCGAGGCGTGTATGATGGATCGTCCATTTGCTTTCAAAGAAACTCGTTTTAGGTGGATGGGGCATGTTCTTATGAGAAGAGCAAACTCTTGGTGCGGAAGTAGAGGTGATGCTCGGTGTCTCGATCGATTGTTACTGTCTCTGGTGTTGAAGCAACGGTGCTAGAGATGTGCAGGTGAAGTCCAAGTTCGGCACTCTACTCTTTGGGTTTCATACTTGAGCGAGTATTCCGAGTGCATGATGCAGTGGAAGATAGTTCGGGGCTAGTTAGCTGGAACTCTAGTTTCCTCTATGACTCGACTTCCGAAAGTTGCTTGACTTGCCGCTTATCGTAAGGTTCGACTACTTCCAACGAACGTTACTGTCTGGGTTGATTGGTTCAATTAGAGCTAGCGTCGAGAAGTCTTTTCTTGTCGTGGAAGACGTCTCAAGATTCATATTATAAAGATCACTTTGTCGAAGTAAGCGAGTGACTTCTGACCTGTGGCGAAACTTGACATCAATTCTTCTTGGTGTTATTTGTTCCTTTTTCTGTGTGCGGAGTTTCTTGCTGGACTCGAGTTCCGTTGCTTCTTGTTTTTGAGGCGAGTGTGAAAGTCCGTATGCTGATATTTCATCTTCTTGCGGTTAGTTAGCTTGCCTGTTTCGCGAAAGCGCTACTGTCCTTCTTCTGGACTTCTTGTTCGTGTTCGGAAATGCAGATTCATTTCTTGACTCATGATTAAATAATCTTGTACTGCAGCAGCAGACTTTGTGTTCCTGACATGGGTTAGAATACCTGCTTCAACACGGGGGACAGTCTTTGCTTGGACCTAGCAATTTTGGTTTTGACATTCTTTCACATAGATTCAACAATATTGAATGTCTAAGTAGGGTTGACTCTTGAGCATCAGTGTTGAGGAATGATCTTGAGATTAATTTTGAGCACAAAGTTCCTACTACCACAAAGACTACTGAGCGTCATATCCGGTCAAGAAGTTTCGAGTGAGCTTCGAGCTGGCTAAGCTTTATCTTTACCACACTACTTTTACGAATCCTTAGCACCCATACCTCTGTTCTTGCTTTCAGAAGGCATAATCCTCGAGTCACGAACAGACTTGAAAGTATATCGAGCGATGCTCCCTTAATCAAATGAGAGACTCTGAGTCTGGAAGGAAGAAGATCACTACCAAACGTGGATTCCTCCATCCCCAATCTCTACAGGTGGATGGGATTCACCTACCATCCTTAGCAGAACAAGTGTAGAGATTTATGGCGCTCGTTTGTTCAGTATTACTGGTATCTCTTCTGGTCTGGCGCGTTTTGCGCAAATTGCGCATTTCGCGGCATTAGCGCACGTAGCGCATTTTGGTCCATGACCTAGGATTGAAAGAGTTTCCAAATAATTCAGCTTCAGCTTTGCCTAGTCATTCCTTGACATACTGCATAGTCGTACCTATGTTCTTTCTTTCGGAAGGCATAGTTCTTGACTTAGGATCTGGACTTGAAAGTAAACCACTCTTGTCCATGTTCGAGGATCGGATGAGCTTCATGGCTCTAGGCATCAGCTTTTGTTAATGACTTTTGAAGATCCTCCGCACGCATATTTGTGTTCTTGCCTTTGGAAAGAAGAATTGTTAACTCATGATCCAGACTTGAAATCGTATCATTGCTGTTTGTAGTCATAATATTGGATAAGCTTTATAATCTAAGCCTCAGCTTTGCTCAGCAACTTTGCAAATCTGCAATACTTATACTTGTGTTCTTGCTTTCGAAAGGTGTAATCCTTCACTTAAGACCTAGACTTGAAAGCACACTAGAACACAATGGATATGTATGGCTCGTTTCAGTCTGTACTCCAAGTTAGAGATTATACCTATGGGCTAAGCTTTAGCTTTCCTTGGTTACTTTCGCAGTCCTCAGCACCTATCCTTGTACTCTTACTTTCTAGAAGTATAGCCCTTGACTCATGTTCCGGACTTGAAAGCATATCACTCTTCAACGTCCTCTTGAGATTGGACAAGCATAGCAATTTTTGCAAATGATCAACAATTCTGCTTGTCTTCTTACTTTCGAAAGGCATAGTCCTCAACTCAAGATCAAAACTTGGAAGCCACAAGTCTTGTCCACATTTTTAATATTGGACTCCCTGGAGCTAAACTCCAGCTTTGCCTAACTGCTTTCGAGAAGATCTAACACGCATAATTGTGTTCTTGCTTCAAGGGGCGTAATTCTTCACTCAAGATCCAGACTTCACAGCATTAAATCTATTCATATCCTGAATTCGGACAAGATCACAATCACACCGGAGGAAACTGATTGCGGAGGAAAGTGCGGCTAAAGCCCACACGGTATTCATTCATCGTCATCGTCTTCATCATCGTCCTCGTCCCGAAGACCCAACACAAAAAGAGCAACAAAAGACAGCATGAATGGCCACGGGCCCGCAGGCGCTGGGCAGTTTTTCCTCCACCCCAGAACAGACAACAAACATTCCTCCCCAGCTTGAAAACGGGAACACAACGCCGGAAACGGGGAATCCAACCAGGTAGGAGGCCTCTCCTGGGCGAACCCCTCATCACACTCCTTCAGTCAGAGTGTGAATCATCGGAGCCCTACCATGGTTTTCATCCACCGCCCCTTTGTTGGTTCATCGACGACCACGACGTTGTTCGGACTTCTGCAGCCAGTATTGATTCCGGGTGTCCCCAACACCGGCAGGCGTCCTCGCTGACTTGTTCTCATCAATCAGCAGCATCTCCTCCTCCACTCCACCGACAGTCCGCACCAACGTCCGCGCCCACTCCCCATTCTCCTCCTGCGTCCACTCCCCCTTCACCTTCCACCCTTCCTTCCTAGTTGCCTCGGGCAACGGTTCCTCGGAGGAGGGTCTTGGTTGGTTGAACTTTTTGGGCATTGCCGCCCGTCGTCTCTTCGGTCCTGGCGCATGACCGACGCCGCTGCGAGGGCACACAGGAGAGGGGTATCGAGGGAGAGCGGGGGAGGACGGGCCAGCGGAGGCAGGGCGCGCACGAACTGGAGACAAGGGCCGGGCCCGCTTTCTTCCTCTTCCTTCTTCTCCTTCTTCACTGCTGGGCAGTGGTTCTCGATCGTACGAACTATGAAGTCCAGGTCGTATCTGTGACCAGTATGGTCACGGAAGAAGCCGGCGCGGAATCTTCGTTTGGAGTGACCTTGGTCACGAGCAGCCAACCACAGACCAAAGATCTTCTCTGCAACTGTGATATTCTATCAGGGATTGCCGTACAAGGAACTTGCTTGGATTTCAGGAAGATACTTACACTCCTCTGCCACCACAATCTTCAAATGTGGGCCGCCGTCCACGCATAAGTAATGACATCCATTGGATGTCCGGCACAGCAATTCCTCGTCGTCTCCTTCTTCTTCTCGTTGGCGCCGGGGCCAGCCGTCGGTTCCCATGACCCAGACTCCAGGGAAAGTTGTCGACTGCCAACGGGTGTCCCAGTCGGCCTGGACAACGGCGAGAAGGGCAACGCGGGCGGTAGCATCCATTATGATTTTGATTGATCGTAGAGAGGACGGACTTCTTACTGTTAGCTATGAGCCCCTAGAGAAATTGAGAAGTTGTGGTGCTTACAGGTTGGGGTTGCTGAAGAGAGGAAAAAATATAGAGCCGAGATTTCGAGAATATGGCTATGTGGGATCGGATTTCGCGGTGCCGATTCACTTGTTCAATTTTTTCTCGAAAGTGACGTCTGAAGTAAGGCTGAGGCTCCAAAATTTTCTAAGAGTGCACTTCTAGCTATTATGAGCCCATCAGTATCCAAATTTCTGTCAAGTCACATTAGCTGGAGAGTCAATTAGTCTCTGCTCGGACTATCTCTCTATTCCTGTGAGTTGAACAGTTTGATTGTCCCTACCAGGCAATTCAAGGTCTCGATCTACAATCTACAAGGTCAATCATCCCCAATTCCTCAATCCCTCTCTTCCCCAGGATATCAGTACGTGTCACAGCAATCTTTATGTGGGCTTGGGACTACAAGCTAATTGGAGAGAGCAGTACTATTTCCTTCCTCCAGATTCCAGCACAATTAGGACAATATGGACACCTTGTCAATGCTTGTTAAGATGGAGTAGGATTCCGAATAGAAGTCCCGGGTCTTCAATGACCGTTGGGTGATGGGAGACGATGCCTGGCCTAAGCGCCAAAGAGAGGACGCCGTGTTGTGGGACGATAAATTCGTCGAGATGGTTGTCGCAGAAGAGAGTAAGTTTTGCCCTCATTGCCTTATCCAGATCTTTCTGGGACATCAACGGAGTTGCTTATGAGAGGCCATGATATACATTACATCCGGTCAAGCGAAAAGGTTCCAGTCTTACATTATAGCTGACACATCTGTTTAGTGGCGGAGAAGGTCGAGAAGCAGTGGTTGAAGGCTCGCGCCTCAACCAAGATGCACGATTTCTGCGACCGCTTTCGGGACACTCACCGGGGAAGGGGAAGGACGTTGAATTCCTTGTCCACGCCATAGAGAAGTATCTCCCGGCTGAGGACAAGGAGGAAGATGAGAAGGAGGAGAGAAGCAGGAAGTCAAGAGACCCCGAGCCGCCCCCCCACCACGACAACCCAGCATCGGTCACGCCTTCGATGTCCAGAAGAGCGATCAAGCCCAGGTGTTCTCTCAGAATGGCCCCTTGGATGACAAGCCCCTGGACGAAGAATGAGGGAGGAAGGGCTCTGCAGCCTGCGCGTCTTGTACCGTAGATAGATCGTACATGTTATCTCAGTTCGTTCTCTTCATTTAAAGCTCTTCAGTGAACCTATCTACTACTCTTCCGCCAGTACACAACATAATTGACAGCGTCTTTGACTGCATACGCCGTCAATGGAAGCGAATCGAGGTCCTAATCTTCGAGATGTGACCCCAAAACAAGGAGAACCATGCAAAGATACTCGGCGTCTCCATCATCACAGGACAGATGATTTCTGTTTGAAGCTGACTTGGGTGATCTCAAGCCTAGCCAATCGATGCTCAGTCTCATATACCACTGTATGTGGACATAGTCATAGACAATACAGCAACTATCGTAGGATGAGTGTTCAATAATATAATATGCTCTTTAAGCTGTAGCATGCTAACATCATGAGCTAGAACAAGGAACGCTTGAATTCTGTAAAGACACACTGTTGGTTAACGGACATTTGGTTCAGCAGCTCTCATTTACCAAGGCTCGTTGTCAAAAGACATTGAATTGTGCATCGTGTTCCTAATAAGGAAATTACTTTTGGTAGACATCGATGCATGAAATGCTTCCTAGCCCGGTAATTTTAGCGTGATCCACAATGTAAATAAAAGCAGACCACTCTTATGAATTCTTTCTTCTTTGCAGGCAAGTATTCCTCTAAAAGAATTGACCGAGCTTGTCGTTGACTCCATACCTTGACATTTCTTGACGTGCACTTCGTGCTAGACCCTATTCGCCTCTGGAAAACACGCTCTTGCATGATCCAAAATATTCGAATTGTCCCAAATGCCCCCATCAACACTTCACCCGTGTCACTTTTGGGGACCCTACACAAATTCTTCACGCTATTAGGACGATTTCATATTGAATTACGATACTTATAATCATGCTTCTAACATCAGATATCTCATGGCTGCATGATACTTCCTTCGGATAAAACCGCGTCGTTCCAAAAGCCCACTAGCGCGATCTGGGGCGAACGCATCGTTGTGCATCTCTTCTATAGCTAATGCCGTAGTGCAAGCCTTAGTTCAATTATGTCATTGCATGTATCGTGATTCTTTCGCGGCCATAACGTTGAGCTGCCCACGCAAATACGTTGAAGTGATAGCGGCTTAGCGAAAGCGAAATTGAAGTTCAATGGATCTAGGGATATTCTCCTCCAACCCTGACAATATTATCCTTTAAAGCACATCCTGATAAGTACTATGAACTGAGCTTATTTCCATAAATCACGTCAGCACAACTTTACGGATGGCAAATCAGAATCTTGATGATATTTTATTTTAAAAACCTTCACGTGACCGAATGTTTCTTTGTGGACAACAGCATTCCTAACTGCTAGCAACGTCTAATTGTTGACTTCATCAAGACTTGCTTCGAGACATCTGTTCTCCTAACATGTATTAGATCTGTTGTACATCGTTTTGCTGGATGCTGTTGCTGGATGCCCCGAGCCTGGCAGAACAATTAGCATGGCATATGAATAAATTGTGTACCTTTTGGATGTACCTAAAACTGTGATACCGTTATATTGTGATTAGGGTCTCACTCAGTGCATACTCTTACGGTAATAAATTTCAGTTGACTTGTACAAACAGGCCGATATCGGGGCTGGGGAATCTAGGTATCATGTCACAGGCTATGGATGCATTCTCAGAGAAGTGTAGAGTTATGTTGAAGCTTTGAATTTGAGAAATGGCTAATCGATCTTAAAATCCACGCAAGAACTCTCTATCAAATAAGATGACAAGCCTTTCTTCCCGAAACACAAGTAAGTGAAGGTACCAAAGGAAACCAAAATCAAACCTCCAAGACGAGAAAAAGAAAAAGAACAACAATGCAAAAGTATCCGCAGTAAGCAAGAGGTAGGGATCGTATGCTGCAAGATATCGAACAGAATGGACAATGAAAACATTTCTCGAAGTCAGGACAGGATATCAAAACACCCAAGGCGCACGACTACCAACGTCAGCATAGTTCCGAACACCTCAAGAAGAATAGACTACATACCAAAATCCACAAGTAATCTGTTCTCCAGCAGTAGTCTGCGTCATGATCCAAGTCGCATAGCAAACCAAGCAGACATTCTGTCCACAAGAGCCATGACACCATGCTGCATCCGCATCCCTGACAATGGGGTCATAGCATACATAACAAAAAGTATCGGCTGTTATCGGTCTTCTCCTTACTGATACGGAAGCTGCTGAAGCGGCGCTGGAAGGACTAGGAGCTCCCGAGCGGGCTTGGGAGGCTGATCTGGGGGAAGTGATGGCGGAAGATCGGCTGGAGGAGGCGGGAGTGCGGACATGTGCAGTAGCTCCACCAGGTCTAAAGTCAGAGTCGGAGTCGCTGTCGGAGGAGTTGGGCTGGAAGTCAGAGTCGTCAAGGTCGTCGGATGCTGGCAGAGAAGATTCTCCTGAGCCGGAAGAACGGGATCGGACAAGACTTCTTGGAGATGAGAGATTGGAGATCGTACTTGGAGCAGGCGAGCTTGGATTGAGGGAACGATTGGAAGATCTTGAGGCTCGTGGCCTGTGGGCGTGTGCTTGTGCTTGGGAAGCATCTATAGACCGATGATCGTCTGAAGAGGACGAAGAACTGGATCGAGAATTGGATGCTCGGCTTGATCTGCTGCTGACCGTCGAGGCTGTGGGTGAAGGAGGAGTATTGCCGTGTGTATGCCTTCCATGTTCTACGATATTTTGGTTCGAGTCTACATTGATGTTAAAGCTAATGTTAACATTCCTTCCTGCTCTTGATGTGTGCGTCCTTGTTTGATGATTGCTAGAGGATGTGGTATTGCGAGGAGCCATGGCTTGCTCGAATCGAGGAGGCGTTGGCGGCGGTGAAGGATAAGCTGTTGAGTGTCCAGAACCTTGTCTAGTGACAGGAAGAGGGGACCTTGCAGGTGTTAGAACTGTGGATGCCGGGAAATTCGTTCTTGAATAATTGGTGAGTTGCCTCGTGATGAGCATAGGCGTCGCTGGAGGGGTAAGAGGAGCATATGGTGGTCTCATCAATGTGCCAGCGCTCCGTATAATAGCACTCCATCTGTTAGCAACAGGTTCGACTTGAGGAAGTTTCGATTGATGCCATAGTGGACAGAGGGTAAGATAGGCAAGTCGTCTAAGCTTAAGAAGAAGTTCGGCGGAACGTCTGGGAGATGTTATGACAGCAGGTAGCTCGTCCAGGATCTCACTAGCTTCATCTAGATAAGCGTGCTCGATGAAAGAGTTGCCGCATCGAAGACCTTTCTTTGTTGTTCCCACGCATGTGAAATGATTAGCCTCGGGGTAGACGTCGAGGAGTGCGCGAACGTCCAAGGCAGCAGCCATTTCAAGTGAATTGAAAGAGTAATTGATGAATGAATGATGAGTAGGATCACATCAGAACACGGTAAACTCTACACATAAGTACTGAGGGCATCCCAGCTATCTACAGCACATCCATCAGGCTCCCGAGGAAGCCATACTTCGGAGACTTTGCTAGATGCAGAGAAGCTAAAAGAAGTACAGCCACTGAAAGGGCACAACACATCCAACAACCAACATCTTCAGCTCTTAAAGTTCGCGACAAGCCAATGGAGACGTGATTCAGTACACCATCACGGAGAGCAGTTCGATAGACCTGCTTCCAAGAGAGCTGTCCATAAGAGGAACTAGACCTACCTAGTACACCGAAACTCCAAGAACAACAAGACCAACATCGAGAAGCCAAGGCACAGCAACTTACCTTGTAAAGTTCTGCTCCTTGTAGGAGCAGCTGCGTTATCCCTGTACCGGATCATTCTCCGGAGGACCGTCATGTGGTTCGAGCCTAGTGACTTTTGCATGACCTATGATGTAGCCATTGCTAATCATGGAAATAGAATCCATGAGAAGTTCACCGAACGTGTTTCTATGGCTTAGCAGTACCATACAGCCGGTAGACCATACGACGTACCCAGAATCGGGTATGACTCGGCCGTGGCATTGCTGAAAACCAGAGAACGGCCCCTCCGACGTAAGCGTGGGGGAGGCTGGCGCCGGGCCGATGGATGTATCAATGTGCAAAGCCACAAGTGCTGCTGTGCAGTACAAGGTCTCGGGTGAGCCTTGAGACGATGAACGTATCAGGACTTGCAAGGTGAGTGCAGAACAATCACGTGATGAGTTCAGCTCTGATTGGGGTGGTAGGACCTGGAAAGGACCGGAAGCTTGGAGACAATTGTTTATGCAACAGGGCTTCTGCTGTGGAATAAAATATGAAGGACAGTGGATGGCTGAAGAAAACATCTTGTATCAAACTTCCAATTCCAAATTTGAAGCAGAAAAATACACAGACCGCGTGTCCAGGTCCAACAGTGACGGCCGACCTCTATAACTTAGTTTGAGTAAATAAATGTAAGTAGAAAACCTTATAGTCCATCTGGAACTTGCTTGTCACTCGGCAATGCTACAGACCAGCTTTAGGAACCGCTCGGCGACTCAGCCAAGCATTGGCCGCAAGTTGAATCTCTACTTAATCACGAAAACATAAGCCACACAACGGTTGAACGGGAAGGTCAACAAGTAGGTGCAAGAGGAAGAACGAACAGGTCTGAGTTTTATAGACGTCGGAGGTCTGTTTGGGCTGGCGCTGAATATTTCTTGGCATGGCCAAGCGAGATCATGTGATGCTATTGAGCTTATTGGACAGGAGTACAGCGAGCAAGATTTGAGTGTGTAAAGTGTGATTGAAACGTTGTATTTGCATGGAGTAAATATATCTCTAATCAATGGCTCACACTTGCCCCAAGTCATCGGTATGTAACATTGGCAAGCCACATCAATAACAAGATCACGCCAAGTTTCCACTTGATTTCATCCTCGACTTTGCCGGGGGTTTTCCATGAACAGCTTCTCGCACCTGTCTTTTGACGTTCTAAAGCAATGTCTTCCATGTCTGAACTGCCGCGATTTTGAGTCTTAGGTATGAGATACGGCGAGTCTTTCTCTCCTGCAGGAATATCTTCGCTAGACATTCGAGTGAACTTCGTGCTTCCGACAACCCATCCTGTGAGCATCTGTGTAGTTTTAGAGGTGTGCCAGCTGATCCATAAGAATATTGGAGTCAGAATGAAGGCATCTAGCCACCTAGGTCCGAGTCCCAGACTGAGCAGACCTTTTGTATCACCCGCGAGCCAGATGTGATACTGTAATATATAAGTCTCGAGGGAGCAACGACCTAGCCAGGCGAAGACTACTGAATGGTAATTGCGAAGCAGGTGGTGGCAGTTTCGAAGGGTGACGAAACTGAGGATTGGTATGAACGAGATGTAAGGTTGCCACCAATTGTAGTCTTGCTTATCCGGAGACCTCCGCGTTAAAGACCAGAAGCCAGGAAGAAGTCCCGTTGAGAGAACAGCTGCCACAAAATTGAACGTGCCACGATATGTGATGGACGCCTTAATTAACGTGTCCAACAGATTTCCTGGCAGAGCCATTTCAACTCTGAGCTGCGATCTTCGAACCGTGAGAGCAGCGAGGACCATCCCAACATAGACGATATACAAATCAAGAGAGATCCGGAATCGCCACTCCATCACAGGCCATGTTACAGCACATGTCTTATTCAAGACGAACGAGACAGTCTCTAGAATTCCAGGTATCTTGATGAAGCATGTTACCGCAGCTGCAGAAAGTACCATTTTTCCAAACAAGAATGGTTGATCGGAATTCCGGACATGGGCAATTCTAAGAGTGAGATATATGACGAGAAACCAGAAGCTGACCAAGGATCCGAAATAATAGAACATGTAGTCCGTGCGCATCATATACGGAAGAACACAGCTAAGCAGGTTAAGACGTACTAAAACACCTGCTGCACGTCTAATGGAATAGTCGCCTGTCTTAAGGAAGTATGTGGCATGTCCGAATCCGGTCATGAAGAGATAGGATGCAATGAGGAGTCGTACAATCTCGTATATCCACAGGGTTTTGGAACCATGGGTGTAGTGATAGATCAGAATGATAGCTTGCATCCATCCTTTCCACTCTTCGGTCTGCTGTCGAGAGAGAAATGGCTGGTCACGAAGACCTCTAGACTCTCTGGCTATCGCAGGTGGATCTTTGTTCTTCTTGATCGACACCAATCCAGCAATAGCAACCGCCGAGCAAGCCATCATAAATTCTTTTCGACGAAACTGCCGTTGTGATTTTTCAAAGATTTGAGTGCGGTCTGCATAATAGCTTAAGCAGAGGACAAGGCAGAATATAGTCCATGTTGTCAAAGTCTGGGTAGAAGGCAAAAATCGACTAAGCCAAGCTACATGCGCTCTACGTAGTGATAGCAACAAGGGAAGTACCAGCATTCCTGCTAGAATCATGATCCATTGAACGTAGTTGGGCTGCGTGTAATTGCTGCAACACGTACGGTCGAAAGGATACTTGCTCGAGGCCGGACCAGCATTGCACCGAAGGTTGAGAAGAACATCTGCCTTTCGATGTGCCACATTGTCAACGACATGAAGTCCGCTCTCTTCATACTGAGCTTTGCCACTCCAAGTCATTAAATTGTAGCTCCACACGACATCAGCCTCGGAATATGCAGATGCTTGCTGTAGAAAGTCGTTCATTTGATCAATCTTTTCAGGTGTGATTGTTGCCGCTCTTGATGGAGACAAAACTTCATACTGGGGGACTTGAATTGGCGCTAGGAGAAGCAAGTTCGGTGAAGCTTCGCGAGCATTGAAGCGCCTAGGCGGTAGAGCGTCCTCATCACCATGACCATGGTCCATGTAAGGGATCACATGCTCAATTGAATCTCTGAAATCTTTCATGAAATTCTCCTGCTCGTGTCGGGCGAACCAAAGACCAGGGGAGCCCAACAATAGTAGAGCAGCACTCTCACCCGACGCGCCAGTGGGCTCCAGAGAAGGTACAGCCGAGAACTTAGTCAGTTCCCTGTCCAGACCAGTGGAATTGAGAAAGGGATCCCAAATGAATTGGACAGATACGCTTTCAGTTTCGAACGCAAGGTCGTTATGTTTCTCATCATGAGCCAGCACATCTGCGATCGCCTCGTCTGCCTTCTCTTGATCCATCTTCTTCGCAACAGCCCAAAATATCTGCCTGGTCGTAGAATCACCAATGAACACGATCCTTCGGTTGTGGAAGCACTCATGTATGTCCCTTCTCTTGTACTCGTGCATTATACACCCTGGAGGCTGCCAATTCTGGAAGGGATTTCGAGGGCTCCATCTTGGGCCGGGATCCAGCCATTGGCCTTTATGAAGAAGAGCACCGCATTTAAAAGGATCGGACACATCTGCAAGGGCTCTAATTAGCAGGAAGCTCTTGAAGGAAGGAGGGCACTCACCAATCCAACAGTATCTATAGACAACCCATAAGATAACGAAGGCGAGAGTCCCTTGCAAAATGCGCTCAACAATCGCGGTAATCTGATCGCTCGTGGACCTAGCTTTCACTGTCGGCCGTACCATCTCAAACAGGGCAATTCGACTGTTGTTGTTCCATCTGAGGAAGCTCCGTTCTTGCCTGCTTGCTTTTGTCGCAATAAGACTGAGGATATGGGCGTAAAGTCGGAGGTTGAGATCGTTGTGCTAGTGATTGATCTCTATGCTGGGAGGCAAGGAGAGTTGAGCATTGCAGATGTAGGCAACGGCTGGATGAAAGAGAGAAGGGCTCAAGAAAAGAAGGCATGGCGATGGATGCACCTTCTTGGATAGTCTCTGGTTGGAGTTGTCTTGGCATTTTAGATGGCAGGATCGGACGGCAAGACCACGAGGGGATATCCAACCCTGGTCTCACCGCTGGCGCTTGACTCGATTGTTCCCCCCGCCATCCCGTTACTAGTTGGCATTACGAGTATTGCATGATGATGACCGCCAATCTATTTGATCTCACTTGAGTGAATTCCCATACAGGCACCATCATTGAAGCCACTCAAGCCACACTGGAAGAATTGAAGATACCTTAGTTTCATGCAGCAGACTTCGGGCTATGCCGCACAAATTGCCTGCTGTGCTTGAGCTGGTGAGGCCAAGACAAGCCGTCGCTCTCTCATTGCTGTCAGGCCGAGCTCATGGCATTCCATCCACATCCACAATCAGTCGTGTGCTCACCTGCCAGAATAGAACCAAAATTGACCAAGTGGGCCATGATAAGAACTGGTGGAGAGAATTGGACCTAAAACAGTCTAGGGCTTCTAGCAAGTTTTTCCGAACTCCGGGCTCAAAGCGAAAACTCAAGGCTCGTATCTAAATTTGACAACCAACTCCTCCACGAATCCAACAAGACAACAGAAATGCTGTCGATCCCCGATTTGCATACTGGATTGAGACACTTATGCCAATGGTACTTTCTCCTGAGGCCAAGACGTTTGCCGTATTTCCGAAGGCATCAGCATGACTGGTCTTGCCCAGAGGCCGGAGAACGAAGCACAATGCCAGATGATAGTAGGTCGTTCGTGTACACTCTTGGTACTCATTTCAATCGATCAAATCACCGATTGGAAAATGCGAATCCCTTCCGTTTTTCTTCCGTCGGGACCGAGGCCAAGTATGCCAAGCTTCAACGCATGAAATCTTTTCTCAGCCCTGCATTGCAATTTTCAGCTGTCTTCTGCCTCGCTCGGCCAGCTTTCTACTCTAAGCTGATCTTGAGCTGGATACACTTTTGTGTACTAGACTAGAGTGATTCCGACGACCTTTGAGTGCGGAACCTCCTCTTGCTATATGGTGGACCTTCGCAATTTGTCTGTTGATACATGAATAATCATTCGAGTACGCTTCAAATCGAAGCTGATCAAGCTCGTCTCCATGTTGGAAGTCGGGAGATATAGTAGGTAGATCTCGATACACTCTACAAACTGGTCTACCTGTTTTTCATTTGAATTCTACATCCTTCATTTGATGAATCAACGTGACCATACGATCCTGTACGTTTTCTATATCAGTGGTTGCTGGGCATTTTTGTCAGCTATTTCTCATTCATGAAATCCTTCCATTCTTGGCAAGAGTCTGAACCAAGATCTATATGCTGCCTTCCTATAAAGCCAGCCTGAAGGTTTTCTGTCATTTCAATTCGCCGAGAGCCATAGTGTTCGAAACAGGATGATTACAATGCTTACTCTAATGCTCAGCAGGATCACGCTCGGATCCGTCCCCTGTGGTGCAGTTGGATTTGGATTTCAAAAGATGGGATATTCCCTGTATAGTGTATTTTGTAAAGTGAGAAAAGCTATTGAGGGTATACCTGTCTCGCCGAGAAAGTCTGAATTGCTCTAGCTCTTTGTGGACGCAGCCTTGCCTGAGAATTTCGAAGAGAATGCTAAACAAGCGCTCGACAATAAGGGACTACCAGACTTCTAAGAAGAATGGGCAAGAGCTGGGCATGGCTCACTGTACGCAGCAGCTTGAGGACGTGCCGACATGACCAGTACGGCAAGGAAGTGGGTGGAACTGCATACAGCACTATATTTGCTCAAACGTCGAGGTAGAGAAACCGCCTCGCCTCCCAAATCAACCTCAATCATTCTTATCATTGACGACCGCCTCGTCGTGCCTGCGAACAGGCGAACAGCAGCGCAACAAATATCCTTCAAGCTTCTGATTCGCCATCCATTGCGTTTTCTATCCATATTTTCACCTTTTCAGCAATGCTTTCGCTATGTCCTGAAATCGTCAACCATGTTGAAATTGAATATGGTGGATGACTCACGAATACAGAAACCATGTTCTACACCATTCTCATCAATCAGCATTACAGGCTTGGAACTAGACGACTCAATGTCTATTCGACCTCGAGCTGCTATCAATGCGTCGCGAGTGTGATTTGCAACCCAGTGGTCCTAAGTCTGGTCAGCAGCTGTCCTCTGACGGTTGACTGAACAATACCTTTTCGCCGAAATAGAAGATCAATTTCGGGATGTGAGGTTTCTGATCTGTCTCTTCGTGTTCTATACCCCAGATATCCTCGTCCCATTTGTCTTCAGTAATGAAGTCAATCTCATCTTTGGCCAAGTGCCTGTTGTCGTTAGCCAGAAGCACGCGATGGACATATGTCGGAGCTTACAGTGCTTGCCATATTCCCATGCTACTTCTCAAAAACCTTGTGGTAACTTCAGCAGAATCGTTCGGCATACCAGTCAGCAGGCCAACGAGCCATTTCAATACTGACTTCGGTGCTATCGAAACAAGTGCTTTTGCCACAGAACTTGCTCTCTTCGCAAAATCAGGAATCCGAAACAACCTGCTGATTTTGACTCCACTAGGACTTTGAGCGAGATGAGTGACGGTGGGGAATAGGAGGATGCCGGCTCGGATGTTGAGAGAGGACGAACTTTTACGAAGGCGCTGAATGAGTTCCAGGAGTATATAAGACCCGACAGAATGACCAATAAGGATTACACTGGCATATGGCTGCCCTTGAAGAGCCCCAGAGGGTATTCGCTGTCTTTGAAGTGACGTCAAGGAAATCGTGATCTGGTCCTCTAGACTGTATGGTGATGAGAGCTCCGGTTCTTCTTCTTCAAATCCTGCTCTAGGTAACGAGCGTTAGCATTTTGCATCTTTGTTATTTCAAGAAAAGGATAAGACAATGTCTCGGGAAAGGAAAGGAAAATGGGGCTTTCCCAATACCTACAAAGACTGCCCGTGAATGTGAAAATAGTTGGAAGATTGATTTTTTGATCTCGACAGTGAATCATATAGAGTTGCAAGAAAGGTATCGTAATACGCTATCAGGCCTGGGTTTCCAGTGATGAAATATATTAAATGATAAGACGCTGAGGGGTCATTCACTACTGGTCGGTATGAAATCTCGGAGAACCTGCTTTTTGGAGACATTTGTCTGGATTTTCTGTGGAAGTTGAGGATTTTCGAGTTTTGGGAATTTGTACTCTGATGACAAGAAGATATTGACAACACGAAGGTTGATCCTCCGCAGTTCTAGTCAGTCGTAAAGATCCATTACTGAAGTATTGTACATCTATAAATCAAATACATTAGTCTAGGTGTCCAGTGAACAAGGAGCAGGAGTTGAGTCTTCCACATACATGCAGTCACGTGGGATGAGCGCTTGTTCCCAAAATGGTCTAGTCTCGCTTCTGGATTCTTACCCGTGATCAGCTCTTTGCACTGGAGGAATCACCACGACTTCACCCACTCCGACCTCTATCGCGAAGTGCCCCCCCCATCATCAGGGACATTTCATTTACTTCAGCACGCGTGTTCTGCGCGTTCACTGATCGCATACCCTCACTTTCTGGATCGCTTACGCGCCAACAGCTGCCTGACCCCCTTCAGCTTCGATTTAATCATCAATCGACCTTGCGCCAAAGGGACTTCCATCTCGAAAAAAGCATCAAGCATCAACACAGACGCGAACTCAACGACAGTCGCGCCCCGACACACTACCTCAACTGTCCCGCACCAACTTAACACGGCTTCGACGCCGCCACTGTCGACCACCTATCCCTTCGCCATCACGGTCGTGCCTATCTAGCCAACCTGATGCGCAAGGCTGGGTCCTGATATGCGCAGCGATCAATCATAAAGAATCACGAAAGTAATCGACCTATCCATTGCGACTCCACAAACATGGCTACCGTTGCGCCAGCTGTTCAACAGCCGGGCTCTGCGATGCCCCAGAATCCACAAGAGATGAAGATAACTCTGCAGGTATGTACCACTTGGCGCAACATATGTTCCTTCTACTACGTGGTATCCTAGAATGACATCTGCTAACTGTTCAAAGAAATACAAGCAGATGAAGGAATCTGGCGTCTCGGATAAGGATCCCGAATTTCAAAGAGTCTATCAAATACTCCAGAGCATGCAGCATCAACGAGCATACCAACAACAGAGAGCCCAGTTCGCCCAACAGCAGCAGCAACAGCAGCAACAGCAGATGCTCAACCAACAGCAAAATGCTACCACTTCTGCTCCAAATGGCGCGAATGGCACACGTACTGCCCAAGCTCCGACTTCCCTGCCTAATACACAAGCCTTGACGACGACATCATTGGGCCCATCTGCTATCCCAGCGACGGCGAATGCTCCAGGCTTGCAAAAGGGTGGCGTCACTCGCACAACAGCAGCCGGAAGTGGATACTTCACACAAGCACAATTGAGTATCCTCAAGCACCAGATATTTGCGTTCAAGTGCCTGTCGAAGAACATGGGTATTCCAGCTGCTACACAAGAACAGCTCTTTGCGGCTCCCAAGAAGTCTCCAATTACGGAACAGTCCCTCGAAGCTTCGTCTGCGAAGGTTGATGATGCCACCCCAACTATAAATGGTAACGTAGAAAAGAAAACTGTTCCGAAGCAGCACGAGTATACTGGATTCAAGCCACCTCATGCGAATCTACCATCAAAGATCAGCTATTCTCTTCACAAGGTTCGAGAGAAGCGACCCTTGATTCCTAGCACTGTCCCTTCTGGCGTCAACCTAGAGAAGATCCGACAAGAACGAGAAAACATCATCTACAATCGTATGCAAGCTAGATTGCAAGAGCTACGCTCTATACCCGCTAATATTGCTCACCTTGATGTGCGGAGCGATGTTCTTGCTCCAGAAGATACACTGAAGCGTAAGGCCCTGATTGAGATGAAGATGCTAGGGTTATTCCAAAAGCAACGAAATATGCGGGAGAGGATCGGCCGTCAAATGATTCAATACGACAATCTTGCAATGACTGCCAATCGAAGTCATTATCGTCGTATGAAGAAGCAGTCGTTGAGAGAAGCCCGTATCACCGAGAAGCTTGAGAAGCAACAACGCGATGCTCGGGAGACCCGCGAAAAGAAGAAGCATACCGATTACCTCCAGACAGTCATCAACCACTCTCGGGAAATCAACACGGCTGGACACAACCAAAGACAGAAGATGCAGAAGCTGGGTAGGATGATGATGGCTCAACACCAGAACATCGAAAAGGAAGAGCAGAAGCGAATTGAACGAACTGCCAAGCAGCGTCTCCAGGCCTTGAAGTCGAACGACGAAGAAGCCTATCTCAAATTGCTCGATCAAGCCAAGGATACTCGGATTACTCACTTGCTTCGACAGACAGATGGCTTCTTGTCCCAGCTCGCCTCTTCCGTCAAGGAACAACAACGAAAGGCTGCCGAGCGTTATGGTGACAATGCCGACGACTTCATTGATGATGAATCTGATGAAGACGAAGAGGAGGAGCAAGATACTCGAAAGATTGATTACTACGCTGTTGCGCATCGTATCAAAGAGGAGGTCAATGTTCAGCCATCGATATTGGTTGGTGGTACATTGAAGGAGTACCAGTTGAAGGGTCTCCAGTGGATGATTTCGCTCTACAACAACAACCTCAACGGTATTCTTGCAGACGAGATGGGTCTCGGCAAGACCATTCAGACAATCAGTTTAATTACCTACCTCATCGAAGCGAAGAAGCAGAATGGACCCTTCCTTGTCATTGTACCTCTCAGTACCCTGACAAATTGGACTTTGGAGTTTGAGAAGTGGGCACCATCCATTTCGAAGGTGGTCTACAAGGGAAACCCAATGGCTCGAAAGCAGCAACAACAGCAGATCCGTTACGGCAACTTCCAGGTACTCCTAACAACCTACGAATATATCATCAAGGACAGGCCTGTTCTCAGCAAAATCAAATGGATTCACATGATCATTGACGAAGGTCACCGCATGAAGAATTCATCGTCCAAGCTTAGTGCCACCCTCACTCAGTACTACAGCACCAGATACCGTCTTATTCTTACCGGAACTCCGTTGCAGAACAACCTTCCCGAATTGTGGGCTCTCCTTAATTTCGTCCTTCCGACTATCTTCAAATCCGTGAAATCTTTCGATGAGTGGTTCAACACACCGTTCGCGAATACCGGTGGTCAAGACAAGATGGAGTTGACTGAAGAAGAACAAATTCTCGTCATTCGACGTTTGCACAAGGTTTTGCGACCATTCTTGCTTCGTCGTCTTAAGAAGGATGTCGAGAAGGATTTGCCTGATAAGACCGAGAAAGTTATCAAGTGCAAATTCTCCTCCCTTCAAGCTCGTCTCTACAAGCAAATGGTTACCCACAACAAGCTCGTTGTCAGCGATGGCAAGGGTGGAAAGACTGGTGCTCGTGGTCTCAGCAATATGATCATGCAGTTGCGAAAGCTTTGCAACCATCCCTTTGTCTTCGACGAAGTTGAGAACCAGATGAACCCGACAAGCACTAGCAACGACTTGTTATGGCGAACAGCAGGTAAATTTGAGCTGTTGGATCGGGTTCTGCCCAAATATCAACGTACTGGTCACAGAGTCTTGATGTTCTTCCAGATGACTGCCATCATGGACATCATGGAGGACTTCCTGCGCTATCGTGGTATTCAATTCCTGCGATTGGATGGAACTACAAAGTCTGACGATCGTTCTGATCTGCTTCGCGAATTCAACGCTCCTAACTCGCCATACTTCATGTTCTTGCTCTCGACTCGTGCAGGTGGTCTAGGTCTTAATTTGCAGACTGCTGATACGGTTATCATCTACGACTCCGATTGGAATCCTCATCAAGATTTGCAAGCTCAGGATCGTGCTCATCGTATCGGTCAAAAGAACGAAGTCCGTATTTTGAGACTTATCAGCTCTAATTCTGTAGAAGAAAAGATCCTCGAGCGTGCCAAATATAAGCTGGATATGGATGGCAAGGTTATCCAAGCTGGTCGTTTCGATAACAAATCATCTGAAACTGATCGTGACGCTATGCTTCGAGTCATGTTGGAAACCGCGGATGCTGCCGAGACCTTAGAGCAAGAAGAGATGGACGACGAGGATCTCAACATGATCTTAGCCCGTTCAGACGAGGAGCTTGCTATCTTCCAGCAAATGGATGAACAAAGAGCCAAGGATCCCGTTTATGGAAATGGGCCTGGCTCCAAGCGTGTTCCCCGTCTCATGGCCGAGAATGAACTTCCCGAGATATATATGTCCGATGGCAATCCTATTTCCGACGAACCTGAAGAAATCAAGGGCCGTGGTGCTCGTGAGCGAACTCGTGTCAAGTATGATGATGGTCTTACCGAGGAACAATGGCTCAATGCTGTGGACGACGATGAGGACAGTCCGGAAGCCGCAGCTGCCCGTAAGCAAGCACGAAAGGACCGCCGTGAGCAGAATCGTCTGAAGAGACTTGGTCAGCTACCAGGCTCAATCGAGAACTCGCCTGAGGGTAGTCGTGCGAGTACAGAAGAGCCAGAACCTACACCGAAGAAGAACAAGGCTCGCAAGGGTGCAAAAGACAAACGCAAGGCTGAAGAAGTCGACGACGAACCACCTGCTAAGCGAAAGCGTGGACCTGCTGGTCGACCAAGCAAGGGAGCTGCGACTAACGGTGATTCCGTGAGTCCCAAGCACCGAGCCACTCTTCAAACAAGCTTGCGAAGTATCTACGAGGGTCTCATGGCGTTAACGTCTGACTCTGATGCTGGTTCGGATGATGATTCTTCCTCAGCTGGGCCTCGACAGATCATTGGACCGTTTGTGAAGCTCGTACCCAAGAAAGATTTCCCGGATTATTACATCATTATCCAGCAACCAATTTCGATGGCAGAAATCGACAAGAAGATTAAGAAAGAGCAGTATTCTAGCCTTTCTGACATGAAGCGAGACGTTCGTCAACTTTGCGCCAATGCAAAGCAATACAACGAAGACGGCAGCATGATCTTCCTGGATGCCGTCACGATTGAGGTAAGTTATCTTCTGATTGCAACCACATATATACTAACCTGTCACAGAATGCGTGTGATTCACTGATCCGCGACGAGTTAAATGAGCATCCTGAACTCGGCGATGTCGACGATTCATCTCGAAATGGAGGTTCCACCGCTCCTGGAACCAGCGCTGGAACTCCCATCGCATCCAGTACGAAACTGAAGCTCACATTCAACAGCTCTCAACAAGCAAATGGTGGCGGTAGCGGTGCTCAGAGCGATGATGACTAAGGTCTTCCCCGATCGATGTGTTTTTAACTTTATGACGGGGTTTGGTGTCTCGGAGACCCATGGGATTGCATACTGGGCTTTCTTTTGGCAGGGTTGGCGTTACTTGCAAAGGGGCATCGGGGTGGAGCACCTGCTACGTAACATGGCTTCGCAAACTTGTTTGCACCAACATTGCGTAGAATGTACTTTAATAGATATGCGACTAAACATGCCTGGCTTGTAAAATGTAGTTTTGTCAATAATATGCACTGCTTAGGTGATTTGATGATTGCTTGGGAATTGCACAGATGTCTGCTCGCCGCATGATAGGAATTCCACGACAGGCGTTGTGGTTTTATGGCTAGTGTCTCAAGCGTCCTCTCATTTGATATTTAAACCAAGTGGTTTTACCTTTTCAGGGACCATTTCTTGTGAGTATATTTGAAGCTTGTTCTAGCCGACGTTTTGGTGTTGTCTCGCCTAAAGGGGTTAGCGTTTACTGATTCCGTGCAACGCCAGAAACGCGATATTTACAGAAATTTGAGTTGACAGCCTCACGCAAGCCAACTGGCTTTCCAACGATACGAACCCCCACCTCGACTACACTTGCAACTCGATCACCTCCGGACGGAATGTTCTCAACGTTCTGAGCGACCTCATTGCTTCCTCAAAAGCCTTTGCGCCTCGTCGTGATCCTCACTTTCAATCTCGACACCTACATTCGATAGCTTCGCATACGGCCATTCAAGCTTGCGCCCCTCGAATACTAGACGCAATGGCGACTGCAACGAACGGACACGTTAATGGTGGAACAAATGGCTATGCTGCTGTCTCTCCTGGGCATAGGGTGATGAGCAAAAGATTCTCAGACATCCCGTCTGCCATCGATATTCCCGTGCAGGGCGAAGATGACGATCAAGCTGTCGAAGTCGATCTCGAAGACTTGTTGGATGATCCTACCGAACTATGTACTCTTCTAGAGAACGAAGGCGCGGCGCGCACATACTGGATGACGGTCTCTCTTGCATACGCCAAGCAAAAGAAGGTTGATCATGCTATCGAAATGCTGCAGAAGGGACAAACAGCTATGCGGGGTGGACAGAAAGAGAAACTCAGCATGTTGACTTGCTTATGCTGGATGTTCCTTTGGAAGAGCAGGGAATCTCCGCGAGTCCTCCCAGACGATGCGGCGTCAAATTTAAAGACGAAGGAATACTGGTTACAACAATCGACTTCTACACTCAATGAAGCATTACGAATCAATCCTGCTTTCCCTCCTCTATTTCTTGCACGAGGCGTTCTTCAATTACTCAAAGCATCCCTACAACCGCCCTCCAAATCCGCTTCAGCTGGTGCGACTGATCATGAAAAGCAAGATATGATCCGTTCATCACTGAGGTCTTTCGAAGACGCAATTCGAGTATCCCAAGGCAGAAACATAATGGCGGTCTTGGGAAAGGCGAGAGCGAATTTCTCTTTGGGCAAATATCCTGAGGCTTTGGAAGGTTACCAAGATGCTCTGCACAAGATGCCAGACATGGTAGACCCGGATCCCCGCATTGGAATTGGCTGTTGCTTCTGGCAGCTTGGATTCAAGGATGATGCAAAGACGGCTTGGGAGCGAGCTTTGGAGATCAATCCAGACTCGAAGATCGCAAACATCCTCCTGGGTCTCTTCTACCTCGATTCGAGCGCGCACGTTCCTACCAATGGGCCTGAGTTCATTCGGTTATACAAGAAAGCGATGACAGAATACACACAAAAGGCATTCAAGGCCGACAAAGATTTGCCTTTGACCTGTGCTACGTTTGCTGGGTACTTCTTGTCCAGAAAGTCATTACCTAATGTTGAGACTCTCGCCCAAAAGGCCATCCAGTATACCGATGTCAATGCCATTGCAAGCGATGGCTGGTACTTGCTGGCTCGAAAGGAACATTACAACGATGATTACGATAAGGCTGCAGATTGCTATCGAAGAGCTGATGAAGCTCGGGGTGGTGCTGATCGTGGATTTCTTCCAGCCAAATTTGGTGTTGCGCAACTTTCGGTACTGAAAGGTGATTATGGCGAAGCCAAATTGAGACTCGAGAAAATCATCCAAAATTCGAAGAATGTGGAGGCAATGGCGCTGCTTGGTACCCTATATGCTGAAGAGGTCTTTACCGTCCAGCAAAGTGGTGCGAACACAAAAGAGGAGAAGTCACCCGAGTACAAGAAGGCAGTAGGATACCTTGAAAGCGTTCGCACTGCATGGAAAGATCCTAAGAAGAATCTCATCCCGGACGCTTCAGTGCTATTGAATCTTGCCCGACTCTACGAGACCGATCAGCCTGATAAGAGCTTGCAATGCTTGCAACAAGTAGAGCAAATAGAATTTGATCAGGTCCCTGAGGATGAACGACCCAAGGATCCAGAGGAAGAAGCTACATGGCGGCAGAGAGTTCGGGAAGGTCTCCCTCCTCAACTGTTGAACAATATGGGATGCTTCTTTTACCAGTCAGAGAAGTTCGATCAAGCCCGAGACATGTTTCAATCGGGTTTGAACGCTTGCATCAAGGTAGGCGAGAAGCAAGAAGATATGGATACAGATGCGCTCGTCACAACCATCAGCTATAATCTTGGTCGTACATACGAGGCCAATGGAATGCTTGACGAAGCCCACAATGTCTATGATGGACTTCTCGCCCGTCACGCCGATTACACAGATGCGCGAACTCGACTTGCATATATTTCTCTGCGCCAAAATCCTACAGACGAAGGTCCTAAAGCAGTCGTGAAGCTCTATAACGAGTCATCTGCAGATCTTGAAGTGCGAGCCTTGTACGGTTGGTATCTCGGCAAAGTTCATTCTCGGAAGAGAGGTGGCAATATTGCTGAAGATCCCGAACTTCGACACTACAAGCACACACTTCAGAACTACGAGAAACATGATCGTTACGCTTTGATTGGGATGGGAAATCTCTACCTCATTACAGCCCGTGAGATGCGACGTGAGACTGATCAAGAGAAGCAAAAGCGAACGAACATGTATGTCAAGGCTGTTGAGTTCTTTGATAAGGCTCTACAGCTGGATCCCAGAAATGCATATGCTGCCCAGGGAATTGCTATTGCACTCGTCGAGGATAAGAAGGACTTCAAGACGGCGTTATCTATCTTCATCAAGGTTCGAGAAACCGTCAAAGATCCTAGTGTATTCGTCAATCTTGGTCACATCTTCAATGAATTACGACAATACTCGAAGGCCATTGAGCATTATGAACTCGCGTTGTCGAAGGATCGAGCACATGATGCCCAAATTCTGGCTTGTTTGGGGCGAACTTGGCTGTCAAAGGGAAAGGCAGAGAAGAGTTTGCAAGCATTCAAGAATGCTCTCGACTATTCGCAGAAGGTCAGTATGGAGCTCTCAAGAGTATGAATCAAGCTAACGAAATCCAGGCCTTAGAGATTGCTTCCGAGCAAGTTCACTTCAAATTCAATGTGGCTTATGTGCAGCTGCAACTTGCAACCACTATCTATGCACTACCGGAGACACAGCGTACTCTGGCAGAAGTTGAAGCCGCTGCTGCTGGACTCGAGGAGGCCGTGGCTTCCCTAGATGCTATTTCCCAACATCCTCAAACACCTTATCCTAAGCACGATGTCGAACAGCGAGCAAACATGGCTCGAAATACCATGCGAAAGCAGTTGGAGCGTGCTGTTCAAGCTCAGAGAGAGTATGAAGAGAAGAATGCCGAGAAGCTTCAGGCTGCAAAGCAAGCTCGAGAAACAGAGCTGAGAAAGCGTGAGGAAGCAAGATTAGCGGCAGAGGAAGCTGAGAAGGAGAGAAAGCGAGCCATCGCAGAGGAGAGACAAAAGATTGCCGAGCGAGATCGTGAGCTTGCAGAGGCAAGAGCTGAGGAAGATAAGGCCAGAGAGGCTGCAGAGCTGACTACGGACAGCGAGACAGGCGAAAAAGTCAAGCGGAAGAAGAAGCCTCGTGCTGCTGGCACAGGGGGCAAACGCAAGAAGAAGAACGAGGACGGTATCACCGACGACGAAGACAGTGGTCTCGATGGCAAGAGACGAAGCCGTGGTCCTCGTAGCGGCGGCGAGAGCGACGAAGAGAAGCCAAAGAAGAAGAGACGTCTTGCCAAGAAAGCTGCAACCGAGAAGCCCAACAAATACAAGAGTAGCGAAATTGTGGTTGAGAGCGATAGCGAAGGAGATGATGGCGCTGCTGCAGCGGCACAAGAAATGAACGATGATGTTGGTGATGAGCCTGCGGCCGATATGGACGTCGATGCTGGAAGCGATGAGGATGAGACTGTTGCTGCGCCGATCAAACGCAAGAGCAGACGAACCATGATCGATTCCGATGATGATGACGAAGATGAGCCTGCAGCTGCGAATGGGGGTTCGCCTGAAGCAAACGGCAACGCCGAGGATGGAGATACACCGATGGCAGAGGCTGATAACGCGGCAGACTCTGATGATGAGTAGTTGCTCATCTCTGGTAGCGAGATATAACTTTCCATGTGTTCATGGCTCATTTGCAACCGTGCCTGCAGCGCGGTGCGGCAGAGGTGTGATACGATAGTAGATATGCATGGTGGCTTCCCCCATGGCCGCTGAACTTTTGGCGAATGCACTGGGATGGGGAGTGACAGGGCGAATTTGTTGTATACTAGATATCAAAAAAGGGAGATTGGAATGGGCGCCATGCATTCCGATCGTGCATACATAGGGTAGACATCACAGAAGAATCTATCCATAATACGCCATCGAATTCACGGATTGCGAAACAGCCCGTGCAGCCACGGTGGTGGGATTTGCTTCTTTCTTCCCGTGTTTTCTGTACGCGATGCTTAAGACCCTCTATTATATCTATGTGCCAACATGATGATGTTCCAGACACAACGACACGGCAAGTAGCCGTTTGGACATCGCTTCGCGTTCTGTTTTATTCCGACCTCTGCGAAGTTATCTCGTGCTTGATTCGGCTATGAGATGCATCAACCAACCACAACCAACACCTCAAGAAAGGCAAGTTGCGAGATTTATAGAGCCAACTCTGCTTCTCCAGGGTTCCTTGCTTCATCTCCTCTGTAACCTTGTTGGACATCTTGCGAGCTGTGGTCGTTGGGTCGGGGTCTCCATTTCTCATCTCGTTCCTGCGTTTCGGTACCCAACACCTGGAAGATTCACATGTTGGCTCATATATTGGCCAGTGAACTTGGTTGTTGTGTGGAAGTTGCCGATGATCTCGAAGCTCTGAGGGAGGGGTAATGACAGCTTTAGCGTGAGAGCGAATTCTGCGAGCCAAGTCCGTCGTCAATGTTCGTTTCCACCCCTTGTACATCTTATCCAAATGTACAATGGTATGTTTGATCAAGCCTAGGTATCGTTACACCGTAGGCGGATTGTTGCGGCTTTCGTCGGGAGTTCTATGACTAGCCAATGTCCAACATTCGCAACATCATCCTGCTAACGAGATGTCATGGAGTCCTTGTTAATGATTTATCAAAACATTAGCCCCATAACCAAAGGGAAGAAGCCGCCCTGTGAAACCTGTCCGATGAGAATGCAATTTCCATCTCTAGAAGCTTGACAGTTTCCCGTTTGTTGCAATAAGTCAAGTAACGATTGGATAATAAGGCTTCTACCAAGCGGGTGTATCTCATGACGGACCCCTGTCTCAAGTCCTGGAGAATTAAACCTTTGAAGGTGCAATTTGTATGCTTTGCTACAACTTTCTGGTTCCATTTCTCCTCCCGAATTGGCCATTCGGTTGACTCGAAATCTAATGGGTCGAGAAAGAAATCAAGGGAGGCAGAGAGTTAGCCTCTGGGGCCCAGGATCGTCAATTCACCTATTGAATTCAACAGACATCATGCCAGTGACTAAACATTGCACCTTCCAATCTCAATTGCTGCTTAAGTGAATCTAATGAGGCGCTCAAGCGGACGCAGACGGCCGCAGACCCGCAGGTATATAAACAAAGACCCCTCCCTCCCACTTTGCTTCTCATTATACTCAACGGATAACTCAACGGATACCAGCTTCAGTAGGTGAACATTGTGACAAGCTCGGCCTACACCCCAACTCATGGGCAAGACCTTAAGTATCATAATATTCCATCCGAAAACTCAGGATTGTTTTTTGCTATCCCGTTGTGTTGACCGCATTTTGTTGCCATTCATTCGAGCTTCCCTGCATGTTAACAACAAGAGGATAGTTGACGACATTTATCGTCCAACTTCAACCTCATGGTTCTTGAGCTTTTTTATAGCTGGTACTTTAGACAAAGAACCATGTCCTCTTCTGATCTTAATTTGCAGAATGACTAGAGCATCGCTCCAATTCGCGGAGAATGCACTCGCGAGTTTGAGTTTGCGTTCAGATAGGGATCCATTGGAGGCACAAAGTGGGTTAAGTGAGAGAGTTCCTTGGGAATGATGCACAATGGATGTAGAATATGTCTATATTTGGGAGAAAGAGTACTGCTAGATTACTGTTCAGTTTGCCGTGGAGGAAATGGAAAATATTGAATGTTCCAGATGATGTCCAGCGCAAAGCAGGGATTTTATTTCGAACATGAGCGGCTTCATTTCTCAAGAAGTTATTGTCGATATATTAAACACAAGGAAGAATAAAATATTTATATCTTGAACGACTCGGACGAGTAGCACCAACTAATAAGAGAGAAACTGTGGAGAATCCATCGCAATGGCAAAGATAACTCAGTGAGGGAAAGCCGAACAACATAACATTATTCTAGCAAGAACCTATCATTTCCCAACTCAAATATCGAACTATTAAGGACCCAAATTTCCATACCCGTGGAAAAGTGAGGAAGATGAAATTCTTCCGCGGGGTAAGCGGGGTTGCAACGAGCAAAGTATGAGGGCGGCAAACGCGATGAAAAATCACGAATCAGACCCAAACTTCGAAACGGGGACTCTACGGAGACATGAAAGAGTGCTTCAACTCTTTGTGATTTGGAAAGAATAAGGAGTAGTCTTGCTAAGCACTTTGAATCAAGGTCTTGAGGGACTGATCGAGCCCATGATCCCAGAACAGAAATAGCTGTCTACAATCATTGCAGCCCGATCTCAATCTTTCTCGCTCAGCTTGTTTCGTCCATCCGCCACGGCCCATTCATTTTGTTGAGAAAGCACTCTATGTCAGCGATACTCACAGTGGCTCCCATCTTTCGCGTTTGAAAGCTGCAACGAGAAAATTCAACCTTCTTGAATGACATCTCGTACTACTACATACAAGCATGATCCTCTCACCTACCTACATACATACCTCTCAGACTCGACACACACACACACAGATATCCAGACAGCGATCAAGCATCCTGACGACGGGCCTAGCCGCCCATCCGTCTGCAGTTGACTTCCCAAGTGTAACCCTACCGCATATCTCATACTATACCTAATTCGTCACACACGTGCTTCTCGTACGTTCGAGAAATCCTGCGCCGCATTCGTCTGTCTCGAAACAGAAGTTGTGTCCAGGAATGAAAGAATGATCGTCACTGCTCGCCATTCCTACGATTAGGATTACGATCTTCATGAACACGACAAACGGACAGGGAGAGAAGATCTTCTCTTCAAGGTGAAGAATGCGCACGTGCCGAGGCTCCTTGCTTTGCTTTTTCCTCTCGAGTGAGATGAGAGAGACGGTGAAGAAAGAGATCCGCGGCCGGCAGATCCAGATTCTGGAAGTTGATCGATCTTCAGCATGCTATTGAATTGCTTTTTTGGCTATCGTGTTACGCACGCTACAAATTCCTTTTTGTTGCTCTTCCATCATATTTCACAATTTCTTTCTTTTTTACATACCGGCGGTTTGGCAGCTGGTGATCTTCCCGTGTGTCTGTCCGTCCGTCATATTCAGGGTCCACTTGGTCACAGCGCTGTGGGCGTTTTTTTTTTTTTGGCTTCTTTGCGCGTCCCTGGAGTTGATTTGCTTTTGCCAACTCTAACCAAGTTCGTGGAAAGGGGATTTGCTTCTGATATGTGTGATCCTCCCGTGCCGTTTGCCGCTTTGGTTTTACTGTTTTGTTTTTTCTTGGGTGATACCGAGATTCTGGGAATTCCTGTGGGCACGGTGCACGTTGTGCAACGAGAGGTGAGAGGTGTTGAATTGATGGCATTTTTTTATCACGATTTTAATCTCCCAAGCAAGTGTATTATTGATCGGCATTGAGAGCAAGAGGTGGAGCGGGACGGGATTGCGTTCTCTGATAGGCAGGCGGCTCGTCACGTTCGTGTCGACGGAGAATTTTCATGGGATGTCAATGTATCTGGTACTTGTTGCCTACCTGTTATCTGTACATTATGGACAAGATCTTGCCTGGAACGAGAGGTCGAGAGCTGGTATTCCCGTGCCAGATGGTCGGTATCCCCGTTACCTGTGCCTGTTCCTGCATCCTTCATTAATGCACAGATGAGGCGTTCTCGTCGAAACGTTTCTTGAGGAGAAGAAAATGAGGAAGGTGTGAGGAGATGGGACTGACCCCCACCAAGCGACCTCCCACGCTACGCCTCTGTCCTATTTTGAGATTCTTTTTTGGATAGGGAATTTCGAGTCTTGAGAAACAGTTCCTGTTGGAGGTGCTAACTCCATCCTAACGCAAGACGAGCGTTACAGAACTGCGACATTGTGCATGTCTCATGTGAAATACTTAAGCTTGAGCCAAGTGAGGGTAGGTGTAGCGAGACGGGATGTAGTGGCTGTACTACAGCAACGGAGCATTTCTTAGTGAGTGTTCGGAAAAGCCTCTAGCAATCTTAGTACAAAAGCCGTAGATAGAGAGTTAGTGAGTTTTCGGTAAGACGAACGCCATAGCATGGCAGCCGGCACGGCACGAACAGCAACCGGAGCGAATATCTTAAACCTCAATAGTCTGCTAGAAAAATGACGCGACGGAGGGGATTCCGGTGTAGAATTGCGAGATTGACAGACCTATTGCTAGCTAGTGAGGTATGTGTGGAGAAGGAGGAGCCGAGAACTGGTAGAAATCCAGTGGAGGCTTTAGAATGGGAACATCTGAGAAGGTTGAGGCTTGAAGGATTGTCGAGGTCTTTGTCCATACAGTAGCGTAATCCTAAGTGCCGTGGCGGTAGGCGGCTGCAGTTAGCTTGTGATATGTAGCTGTGTCTGTGATACCTCGGGCTATTCTTGGGTAGATGTCGGTACTTGGAGTAAAGACATTTGAGTTTGAAGAATGTGGGGAAGATCTGTGAAGGGACTCAGGAGTGCTTCAGTCTGCGTGGATTTTCAGAACAGGACATGCAGGTCGGCGACCACTTGGGTCGCGTTTTGGTAGGGGAATGTCTCGATGTTGGATCCGTCTTAACGCTGCGGACACTGAAGTCGCGCGCAATTGAATAGCGGATCAGCGCTGCACCAATGCCGACTTGGTTTGCCAGACTAAAGCGTACACTAGTAGAGCAGTAGATGTAATAATAAGCAAAGTTTGAAGATGCTAAAGGTTCCCAGTCTTCACTTGGGGATCTTCTCTGATGACAGATTGGCAGATTCGACTTGCTGTTGCAGCTGGGCCTGATGGCATGTCAGGGCATCCTAGCTTGTACGAAGCGGCGGAGTGCGTCGTACTCATGAAGCCGTCAGATCTGATTCTGTCCAGGTCCTAGGGTTCCAGTCTTTGTACTGAAGACGTGAATTGATCCATCAAGGTGGAGCCGGAACCGGAGCGCTCAGAATCGTGATGGTTTTTGGGGTGCAGAGATGAAAAAAGGGGCCAGCATCTGTGCGAACGAACGCATGCTAGGCTTTTGCTGCAGTGACTTCTGTACGGTCATGTTTGCTCTGGGTTCAAGGTTAATACATTGGACGACAAGACGAGGTGAAAAATGGGATGAGTGATGGGCGGTATGAGGCACTGACAGTTTCATGAGACAGAAAGTTGTTGTTTGCGGAGAGCCATCCGCACCTGGGAATACATCCATAGTATCTATATCTGCTTCATTATTGCTGTTTCGAGCGAGGAGCAGTGAAGAGTTCCCCTTTCGGACAGACTGCTCGGCTGGAAAAACTCTCGGACCGTACGGCCTTGTTCAGAATCAGAGCAGCCGTCCACTCTTCTTTTTACCCAAAATCTCCCGACCTTCTAGACCTCTGCTGACGCTGCAATCCAAGCTTGATCGTCTTCTGTCTAGCTACTTTCTTCTCTCTCGCATCATCTTCCTGGACATGCATCCCAAAGTCGCATCCTCAAGATGGCTGAATGACGATGATCTTAGTCCCGGGGACCTCACGTATCGACAGCGAAGAGCTGTGGAGTGTGCAAGGTCACCTTCAAGTAATAACTGACTCAACTGAGACATCCCTCATCTCACTGCTCGCTGTCGTCAGGGATAACATGGACCATCTCCTGTCCACGCGAGAAGATCCACGAAGTCGGAGAAAACAACGCTCCTTCAACTTTCGAGCCGGCTAGCCACCAACGTATGGCGCGTTCGATGTAAACCCAATTCCTCGACACAAACGGTCTCAGCAGAAGGAATGAGAGTGGCAGACACGCACGCTGTTTACACATGGCACTACCTACAGTGCAGTAGGGCTCGCGTTCGGTCTCCCAATCCGAATCCTCTGCTCCATTGTCTCTTCATCTAAGGTTCTTGGGATTCTGCAATGTACTCCGTACTGTCGTCCCCAGCTTCTGTGTCTCGATCTGTACAATTCCCAGGATGCAGAGCCAGAAGTACCTCCATCTAGGATACTTCAATTATCTACTGTCGAGGGACGCACAAGGGAAACGGGGTGCTGATTCGCTAACAGCAGGCCCTTCTGCACTTGCAAGCCCTGAGAACGGGTGGGCTTGCAATATCCTTGAGGAACAACGAACCCCAGCATTTGTCACAGACCGAGACCGAGCTTTCATATGTGATCTTCCAATCTCTGTGCACCGGGACCAAGGGTGTCAGGATCCGCATCCACAGAAATGCCAACCACTCTTTCTAGGCGGTGGATTGCTTCCACTCCTCCTCGAGTAGCGAGTAGCCGTATGTGGGCTGTGTGGGCTGGCAGAAGCCCCCAAAACGCTTGTGCCTTCACTAGGTGGATAGAGCTTCTTTTCATGGAAACCTCTCTACGATAGCCGACGACCCAACGCTGGGACGGGGACGACGACTTTGTGAGCTTGGTACGAAGTACACATGCACGAACATGCAGTCTTGTAAAGGCCTCACCAAGGGGTCAAGCAGCTTGTGGGGCCGGCGGCCTTCGATATGGCCTGATTGGCACGACTCGCCTAAGACTAACATTATCTAGCTCTAATTCTAGCTCTACTGTACTTAGCTTTAATCCTAATTATCGCCGCGGCGGTGCAACAGAATCGAAGCTTGGGAATATTCTCAATTCCTTCCACTGTGAGACCTGCCTCTTTGGAGAAACCCAGCGTCGTGGTTGAGTTCTTATCTGATGCCCAGCAATCCATTGTAGGAAAAGGGAAGCACGGAATACAACGTGACAGCTCGCATTCTACTTAGGTATTTCCGGAGTGCCTGCCATTTCGAGTACCTCCCACAGTGAGTAAGTGCGTAATTGGAGGAGTACGAAGTAAATTTACTGGGAGAAGAACGGGCCACAGACGCATCATCATCGCCTGCACCTGCAAGACGCTTCTCCCCAAGCTCAAGCACCACTTGTGCTCGAGACCAACCCGCCAACCACCACCAGCTCAGCATTTCCAGGGGTTCGCGCTTGTGCTGTGCTGTACCGTCTCGGTGGGTGCCAGGCACACCGCTAGAGGGGTCCTATCGCTCATTGCGCATACAGTACCTAGGTAGCTTCACTGCTTCACTGCATATGAAAATTTCGATGCTCCAACAAATTGTGCTCACTGCAGTGTGCGCAGTAGTCGAAGAAGCAGTCATCAGTCAGTGGGTCACGGCATTCCGAAAGGACAGAGAGACATTATTGTTGATTCATTTTTCTTCCGACGACGGGCGGTCCTCCACTACCCGCAAAAGACGTTGGAACTTGGCTTGGAAGCAATCAAAGCTCCACGCATTCAGCCTCTATCAAACACTATCGATATCACTTTTCTCCAACCCAACCAACACTCACTTCACTCACCTCACCTCACCTCGCGGGACCATGCCTACGCCGGCGGGCTCAACATCTTCAAGGGCTGCTCCCGGCCGCCTTGCACGGGCTGCTGGCCTTATCACAAAATCTCATCGCCATCGACGGTAGATGCGTCAAGCCTCCACCGGAATGCTCCTCGCCCACCCAGCGCCATCTGCATGGTTTTTGGAGCGCAGCGAGGAGACATGGAAGGTGATGGATGGCTTCAACGCTGGAGACTTGGCTGGCCCATGGCCCAGCCCACGATTACTACTTAGTTTCCTTCAGATGTTTCCCCTGAACCCCACTGTGACTACTGGGATAGTGAGAGGCTTGGCTAACGGGAAACTCTAACTCAAATTCGGTTGGCGTTCGAAAAAGATGCAAATTGACCAACCAGACGACATGGTGCATTTAGTAAGTATAGCAGTATTGACTTTGGGAAGTTTGGATTCGCGTTTTCCCCCATCTTTTGCGAGCTCATCAAACCACAGCGCGTCGCTTCAACTCACTCCTCTCGCTCGCTTGTTGATCCCATCCCATCCCATCCCATCCTCGCCATCTTCCACTCCTCCACCCCATCCCGACCCATCCCCGGCCAACTTATTTTGCTCCTGGTCGAAGGCGCGACCCCCGTGTCCGTTCCTTATGTGCAGTGGCAGTAAATTATGTCTAGGGTGTGGTTGGCTGGCTCGACGACCTCCCTGCTGTGTCGGGCTTCGAGGGCAGGGCTCCCTGCGAGGAAGACGATTGTTCCCAGCTACTGGGACCAGGACCCAGGCTCAAGTCGAACCAGAAATACGTGAAGGAAGTGCTAGGTGCACGGGACAATCGAGTATCAATGCATTGAATGCAATCCTTCCAGAGATAATCCGCTGTCAGTCAGTTTTCGATTCATATTGATTGCTCAGTCCGGAAACAACCATCACCTCGAAGGCTGTTTCGCGATACACACTCTCTCTCTCACTCACATCACCGTCCGGAATATCACCACGATCTCGACTTTGGTGTCAGCCTCCGTCCTGCATGTCGAAGCCGAACCGAAGCCAGCTCTATTCGCGAGCAGTTCCTGCTTCCGTTCTTGCATGAGGCCGGCTTACTTCCTCTGCAGCTTCAAGGAGAGCTTTCTTATTGCATTCGCTTTCTTAGAGACTTACCTCAGGTTAATGTCATCACTCCACTCCGCCTGGACACCACTTTTCAGCATCCTGCGATTGGATTCGATCGCCTCGCACTGTCATTTATAGCTTGTCATATTGAAACCAGAAGTTTCCAGTTGAGGTACGTAAACTTTCTTCGGAGCATGTTCCCTTCCTATATCAGATGTCCAAAACGCGAGCGCGCCGTACAAACATCGCTTCTGTGCCGTGCCGATTACTTCAACTATGGCAAACCCTGAAGCCGTTTCCTAAACTTTGCGAAGCCCGGATCCATGCAATAGCAAGATTCAATATAGCCACTTGCTGAAAACTCTCCAGACGAAGCGTGCGATCTGTATATACAAAAGAGACCCCATTCAACCAAAACGAGCAATTGCTGTGCCGTTGTCCCAAACCGAATGTTCAGAGACGATCCGACAAATTTCATCACCATTGCCACAGGGCTGCGTGTTCTAGAAAAGGCACCCAGACACAGCCAAAATTAAAGAATTTATGAGCCGGCACACGACATCACCCGGGATCCCTTGCACCCACATCGATCCTTAAATATATATCCCCACCGGCCCAGTCTATTTTCGCGTTTGACCAGCTGTCACTCCTGCAATCTTCTTGCTGAGCAATATGTTTGGACTCTATACCGTCACCGCGGTAAAGAAGTCATCTAAGAAAGACTTGACTCCCCCGCCTTCACCACCCACGGACGGAAACGACTTCGTCTCCAATTCTCTCGAACCCGCGATCGATGGGCCGCCATCGCCCGAACGGATACGTGCCTATACTGAGCAGATGAAAAGAAGTTCGTTGTTTGGGAATAATTCAAGGACTAACACACTCTCTTCCGCTACATCTTCCTTCCGTTCCCGCGAGTCGACATCTGGCTCAACGGATAATGTAAGCTTGTCTCGGAAATCTTCTGGACGCTCTTCAAACGCAAGCAGCATGCCGTCAATTCGATCTGAGCGGCCGGAAAGTGTCCAGATATTCGGATCGATCTTTTCTCGAAGTGGAAGGAAGTCGAGGAGGGAACACAATGCTAGCAGCTTAAGAACTTCAGGATCGTCGACCACTCTCGACGAGTCTGTCATTGAGGAGGAATCCGCAAAGGAGCATTACTACGGCAAAAGGAGTGTTTCTCGACGACGGCATCTCATCTCTGGACCTTACAACTTCCAGCACGTCACGCATACTCGACAAGATCACCTTCCCAACTTAGAGCGTACGAGTCGTATGGACTTGGTCTCCGAATTTTCAGCTATTCGCGCATCACAAGCCCCAACACATGGCGAGTTGAAAGGCATCAGGGCTGAAGACTTGCATTTCGAGAACTTCTCTTCTGAAGCTTTAGCTTTGACTCCAACTGAGGAGCTTTCTCCCAATTCTTCAACCAGACCCCGACATCGCGCTGTGCTGCGCAAGTCCGTCAATCAGCTTCAACGAACCATGCCATACGCAAAATCACACGATGAACTCAGGATAGCCCCGCCACGACCACCCCGCTCGCCGCTGTCGCCCGAATGTCCTGTGGCACTACCAGCTAGAACTTCCTCTCGGACAGCCTCAGTTCTATTTGACACTTTCGATCCTCTGGCATCAACTACTATTGAGCGGCCATACACTAATGGGGGATTTCGAAGGCCAGCACCATTCCACCTGCCAATCCCACCTCCACCAAGCTGGGACGAGCGCAAGGAAGACTTCTCAAACCGCCCGTTGTCACACGCCGTGACGACGCCAGGAGATGAAGCATGGCCATTGACTGCATCCCCATCTGGAAATTTTGGTGTTGAATTGACTGATGTTCAGGAAGAAGATGAAGATGTGTTGTCGAGGAGGTCGCGATTCTCGACCGCCAGTGCTGAGCTGAGAATGTCTCAATCGGTGCCGGCATTGCGACGAAAGTCTGTGGAACAGGCCAATGACAAACAGGAAATGGCGTCTTCAACAACGCCACTCCCTGAAGCGACCTCGTCATCGCATGAGTTGCAACAAGCACCAGCATTCCAATTCACGACAGATTCATGGGAATCGGACATTGATTGGTGTTACGAGCACGAAGTTGAGGCTGATTGCAATTATGATTGGGATCGATGCTCAGCGGTCGAGGCCAATGCAGCGGGCGAGTCAGTATCGACAACAAGTCAGCCAGCCCTTCAACTGCGTCTTCAGAACGAGGAGAGGACTTACCATGGTCGATTTCGGCCCTCGCTATTAGTTCCATCGCCTTCTGATCTTCCCGAGTTGTCACCAGTCTCCATAATGTCGACGCCTTCCGACCCGCGAACCCCTAATTTTTTGCGTCCTGCCCATGTTCGCTCTCCTTCTCACGCGTCATCGTTCAAAGAGACTCACGGTTTCACTCTGTCGCCTACACTCTTGATCCCAAGCGACTTCCAATCACAGATGGACCAAGATTCCATCTATAATGAGCATTTCGGAAACGACTCGACATCGGGAACAATCTTTGCACCAGAGCCATTCGAACACTCGGTGTCTCCCGTAGACGAAGGGGCTTCGAGCACTGCATCGTTTCGATCATCAGACTTCTCTCGAGGCTCGGCACGTAGCTCGTCAAGCACTCGCGTCTCCGCTAACTCTCGTGGAAGTCAAGATTCGATGATCCTGCTTGCTCGTGCTGCTAGCTTATCTCAAGAGCACCGAAGCATTGGATCCGCGTCGTCGCTTCCAGACCTGATCCGATCGTCACATCGACCTGAGGTCGATGTCTCGAGCAGTATCGCTGCTTTAACTATCTCGAATGATGAGGGTGTAGCTCCAGCCATTACCTCGTTGCAACATCGTCGAAACAAGTCTCTGGCTATGGAAAATGGGCGTCGCATGGGAGAAACCCATGCTGCACCTACACCAGCCATGCTCACAATCGAAAAGACAGATCTTGTCGAGCCAAGCAGCGCTTTAAGTCCTGTCGCAGAGTTCCCAGCCATGCCCAAAGAGGCAGTGGTCAGACCTCTTGTGCATGGACGGAAGACCTCAGCGCCAGTGGTAAGCCCTAGCGTAAAGGCTTTCAAAGGAAGAGCTCGAGCGAAGACGTCAGCGACACGAGGAAGCTATGTGCTATTTCCACAAAACTGAGGGCCTTCTCCGAATGGAGAATCACTATTTTTGGTTGCTCCGGCTGGCCAGAGAATGGGGCTGGAAATACACCCACGGGAACCACACCACCACAACAGAGGCAGCTGCCTCGATGATTTGACATGTTTGTTATGATTTATGTATTTCTTTTTTTTTTGGCTTTCTTCTCGGTTTTCATCAATTGGGGTGTAATTGGCATCGAGCGACTGGCAGGTTTGCAAGAAAAGCACGGAAGGCATATGTGTACTACCATTCTTACCGTCGTTTATTTCTTGACATTTCCATTTGTCCTCCGGTTATTGCGGCATTTTCTTGGATAGAGATTGGTGTTTGTTGCATAATGGTACGGATTTGGCTGTGCCTTTTGGGATTGGAACCGGAAAATGGATTGGGTGGTTGGGGATCGTGGTATGATATGAGGGATAGGCATTGTGAGGATATGGGAGAGGTGATGAATATGAGTAGGACGGAAGGGAGGCATAGAGCATAAGGTCCCTTGACCATGGTCCTTGGAGGAGCATCTGGTATAACCTTCTATAAGACTTGGATTAGGGAACGGGGATGTATTCTTATTATCGAATTTTGGGTGGAATACTCTTTGAATGGAACTGTTCAGCCTATTCAACCTGTTCTTGCATTGGTATGTGATGTTATCAATACCTACCTAGGTATCCTTCAGCGCCCGGTGACATACAAGCCGGGCAGCTTTGGCTAGCGAATAGGACTTCGCCCAACAAGGTGAGGCTGCTTACAGGAAAAACGAGGCTACCAACCCTTTGCATACTCACAAAAGTTCTGCTTCTCACTTTCAACTATAAATGCATCCTCAATGCCCGTTCGTGGTGCCGGACATTTCCATGCCAGAATGTCAAGGCAGCTTCCCCACATTTACTGTACCTATGTAGCGAAGCCAAGCTCTGGAGATTGAAGACTCCGCCATAAGCCAGCTTCCGCGATTAAAAGTTTCATTCCGCACCACCTGCCTACATAAATGCACAGAAGATTCGTCTTCACTCTACAATTCAAACCTACCACGACACCTAGAGGCAATCGAAGACCATTTTCCACCAGCATGGCATCCAAGAAAGTATCTGCCGCAGTCGCCAAAGCAAACGACTTCATCGACTTCGTGAACGCTTCTCCAACACGTATGTACACCTCCTCCTCCCTCCTCTCCCCTCCCCCAACCCAACTAACGAACAACCCACAGCCTACCACGCCGTCCAATCTGCCATCACCCGCCTCACCACCGCGGGCTTCACCGAGATCCGCGAACGCGATCCCTGGACCTCCCTCCTGCACCCAGGCGGAAAATACTACCTAACCCGCAACGCCTCCTCCATCGTCGCCTTCACCATCGGCGCCAAATGGAAGCCCGGGAACCCCATCGCCATGGTCGGCGCACACACGGATTCGCCGTGCTTGCGGCTCAAACCGGTGTCCAAGAAGAGTGGGGCGGGCTTCCTGCAAGTCGGTGTTGAGACGTATGGGGGAGGCATCTGGCATACGTGGTTTGATCGCGATCTGAGCGTGGCGGGGAGGGCGATGGTTAGGGATGGGAAGGGGGGTTTTGTGCAGAGGTTGTTTAAGGTGGAGAGGCCTATTTTGAGGATTCCGACGTTAGCGGTTCATTTGGAGAGGCAGGATAAGTTTGAGCCGAATAAGGAGACGGAGTTGTTTCCTATTGCTGGGCTAGTGGCTGCGGAGTTGAATAGGACGGGGCAGAAGGAGGGGAAGGATCACAGTATTGAGGGGCTGGAGAAGGAGGGGGAGGGCGAGTTTAGGCCATTGAAGGTGTTAAGGGATAGGCATCATCCGTATCTTGTGGAGATTATTGCTGAGCATGCGGGGGTGGATGTTGAGGACGTGATTGATTTCGAAATGGTGCTTTATGATACGCAGAAGTCGTGCATTGGAGGGATCAATAACGAGCTGATTTTCAGCCCAAGACTCGACAACCTGGGCATGACCTACTGCGCTATCGAGGGATTGATCGAGTCAGTGTCTCAGAAGCATGCATTGGATGACGAGACTGGTATTCGTTTGAGTGTCTGTTTCGACCATGAGGAGATTGGAAGTACATCTGCCCATGGTGCGGCTTCAAACCTTCTGCCCGCAGTCCTGAGACGGTTGTCTGTCCTCCCAGCTGGACACCACGACTCGGGTTCCGAGCAATCCTACGAGAAGATTCCTCGAGAGCAGGACCTCGACATCGCCACCGCCTACGAACAAACCCTCTCGTCCTCCTTCCTTGTTTCGGCCGACATGGCACACTCAGTTAACCCCAATTATGCCCACAAGTACGAAGCTGATCACCGACCAGAGATGAACAAGGGAACGGTCATTAAGGTCAATGCGAACCAGAGATATGCTACAAACTCACCTGGTATCATTCTCTTGCAAGAAGTTGCGAAGCTTGCAAAGCCGAGCGAGGACTCGACTACCAGCCACGGAGTACCGTTGCAATTGTTCGTTGTTCGGAATGATTCTTCTTGTGGAAGTACAATTGGACCTATGCTTTCTGCTGCTTTGGGGACCAGAACTGTGAGTGATATTCCCTCCTCTTATAGGTTTTGGACAGTAGAGAACATTCGATGCTAACTATGTGTTCTAGATTGATGTCGGAAATCCTCAGTTGTCGATGCATAGTATTCGTGAGACGGGCGGTGTTTATGATGTGGAGCATGGCGTCAGGTTGTTTGAGTCTTTCTTTCAACATTTTTCGGAGTTGGAGTCGAAGATTTTGGTGGATTAGGTAGTTATATATATATATATGTATGTATGGTATATTTCCTCCTTTGGCGATCAATGGCAGCACTTGCTCAAAAAAGCCGCCTCGAGAATTATTTGCTCGCTCATGGCTCAATGGGATGAAAGGTGCTTGATTTTAGGTTTCACAGTTTGTTGTGAACTCCCCAGCTGCATGTGACTGTTTGATTACAGAGAATCCACCGGCTCGTTCATTCTGGTGGCACTTACATGGGCTTCAGACGGCAAAAGTTTCAGTGAGTTGCCACATAAGCTATAAGGACTTCGTCGCTAATGCTTTGGCATGTTCATCATTACAGCTTCAGAGTAAAGTTGCAAACCCCATCCCAGCGTATTTCATGCGGAACATCGCGTCTTCACTTATCCATTCCTGTTCTTCACCGTGCTATTCTGTTTTTGAAAAGAGGGTGAGAGTTTTGATTCAAGTTGGCAAAGCTAAAAACTAATCGCTTGCTAAAACAAATCGCTCGCTAAAGACTAATAGCCTGACAGACGCGGTATATTCCATCAAGAACCTCAACCTCCTTGTGGCCAAACGGCGAGGTATCCCTAAGACTTTCTCCTATTCGGTCCCCTATCGAAGAGCTTGGTCTCGTTCCCTCCAGCGTTCTGCAGTCCAAGCACTCTCCATCGGATCTGCAAAGCATTAGCAATGTTCAACACGTCTAGGACGATTACCCTACCAATGTCGTTCTCTTCACCCTCATAGAAATCCTGGAACGCTTCCGCTCCATCCCGCTGATCAGTAACATCAGTTCCAAACGGCCGCGGCTCAAACCACGGCATTGTTGTCCTCCATTTCCGGTATATGGCTCTTACACTATCAAGAACATGTTCATTGTTGTTCGCCCGGGTATAGTAAATCCGAATCATGGTGGCAGCCCAAGGAGGCGGCAGTGGAGGGTCATCTGAAATGGTCGTGCTGAACTTGTACCCCTCTTTCCAGAGGTCTCTGCCAGCATGTATTCGAAATATGAGAGCCCACGACTCGCAGAGGTGTTGGTAGTAAACTGGTCCAGTTTCCTGATCCGCGGCTGGCGTCGAGTTCAAGCCAGTGGTCGACGATTTCAAAACGTCTGGACTCTCAAGTCCACATCCTCCTCCAACGCAGTACCCTGCAACGAAGTAGAATGTACCGACGGCCATCTTCCCTGTCTTGATATTCTTTACCTCAGGTATGCCTTTCAGCTTCTTAGCTGTGGCCAGTAGTCTCGCCATCAGCCGAGCAAGAGTCCGAGTATCGAGGAGTTTAAACCCCACCGCATTCGCCGTTCCATTCGAACCAACAGTCGAGACCCGACAAATCGCTTCTTTGAACCTCTCAAACTGTCGGTTCAGTGATTTGTTGCCTGCTTCAGCTCCTCGGATCTTGTCGAGTAGCGCCGCGACAGGTATGGCCCACTCGACTGCGGCAATAGCCGCTTTCAATGCCTTCTCTTTGTAACTTCTATTAGTCCATACGCATATCTTCTCCATCTCACGTTCGTAGAGTTCATCTTCCTTGCCGATTATGTTGGCTTCTGTTGCAGTGGCGTCTTCGTAACTGCGAGTATCAGCGTAAGAGCGGACGGACATTTGGGAGGGTCAGACTTACATGATGAATTTCGATGTTGCATTTTGTCTTCTTTTCTTAGGTCTGCTTAGGGAATGGTAGGGGTCGAGATCCTCTGGAGAACATTCTGATGGGAGAGGAAGTTGTATTCTTGTCCCTCTGATAGGGGTGGCTGTGTTTTGGGTAAGCTCTTCATTTTCCATAATTATACTCTGTGTGTCGGCCGTAGTATTTGATGCGCATCGGAAGTCTGCAGCTTTTCAAACGCGAGAAAATCTTGATAAAGTTTTGGGAAGTAGCATTTTTACAGTTGTACCTTCCAGATTGAGTCAAAAATGAAATTATACCGTGGCAACGAAGTCGTGCTGACTTTCCTGATAGTTCGGATAACAGTAGTCCAAATCAAAACGAGATCGGAGCAGCTTCATAATCTCATTCTGTTATCGTTTCGTCTTCAAGAATTGACCAGCAAATCATCTACAAGGTACTTGGTTTAACTGTCACGTGTGAACATACAGTATTGTGTTGAGCATGTATTTTCAGGTTTCTATCGAAATGTCCGCTTGTGGTTGTTTCAGTCGAGAGGTACAGAAATAGAACAAACACTGATCTTCCTGACTTCATCTCATACATTAAAACCTCGCCTTCGATAAACCCCAGCCGAAAACCTTGTAGGTGAAAAAGGTCTAGGGAAGAATGGCGGGTGTGTACAGGTCCTGATATCCTGCTCCCTCCTCAACTTGTTCTTCTCGGAAACAATCTAGGCATCCTTAATTCCGTGAATCCTTGTCATCCTTCAAGTCTTTCTCTTCTCCAGTCAAGGAAGATGCTTTCATACTCGTCGAAGAAATATCCCCAGATAACAGGACAATCCCTAAAGCTGTAACCTCTGATTACCGTTTGCTCCTTGCTTCGTCCGAGTGGAATGCTTCGATAGCTTCGACCACTGCCGATTTTCGTTCAAAGGTGATATTCGAACGCATTTTCGTCGCTTAAGAAGCGATCGGCACGGACTTGGTGGCCGTCATTTTCCGTATTGCTTTCATCGTTTTGACGAGATGCATAAGTCGCCCCCGAATTCATGATCGACGGAGTCAAGGATGGCCAGGTCATGGGCGGAAGCCATGGTCTATTTGCCTGTTGTCAAACTAGCATACGCTTCTGACAAAGTTGGAAATGAAGCCGGGATTTGACGTACCCAACCTCAACTCCACTTCAGCCAGATATATTCCCAGTACTCAAGTCCGTCGCATTCTTGCATCTCCTTTAGCAAACTCCTGACCCAGCGGCTGCTGCCTTCTTTCCATTGAATTTCCAATTGATGGTCTCCAATCTCGTCCCACATGTCCCCCATGTGAATTCCTGAAATGAGCTTCCACGTTTTACCGAATCTTTCAAAGTAGTCTTTGCCCTTCTTTGGGAAGTGGCTAGCCACGTCGGCTTCGTCCGTGATACATGGATATTCGAGATTGCAACCTCGTCCCTGGGAGTATCCTGCCAACTTCTCCACGCGGTTCAGGGGATCTTCTCCTTTTGCGTACTCGATTCCCAGTGAGTCACACTCTGTGGACATCTCGAGGAGTAGAGCTGCCAGTGCCTCGGCGGTTTCAAGCTCGAACCAAGTTGCGGGTTCCGACCAAGAGGCACGCATGCCTTAAAGCTTATATTCCAAATATGCCGTTGTTCGCCAGTTCTCGATCCTAGACTCGAGTGACCGTGGAAACTGGTTTGGCCGATTTTTTGCTTTGTCGACTTGTGCGGCAATCTCCATAGCCCATTCGGCAACGTTACGGGAGTACCAAAATGCACACAACTTGATATGGTCGTGTACAAACTGATAGACTTTGTCCATCTTCTTCTCCCATTCTTCGTCGTCTAGTTGCCAGGGTTTCTCGGCCGTAGCGTCTTCAAATCTAAATTTCAAAAATTAGTTTCCGTAGCTCAGTTCTCGGATTTGTGTGAAGACGGCCGCGTAGAGAGTTGCTGATCGGAGGTTACGACTGATAAGGAGACTTACATCTTGAAAGGAGGAGCGTTCTTCTTGGTCCTCTTGTTGCGAGGAAAGATGTCCAAGTCGTTCATGTCGCTCTTTGATGTGCAAGACAGCTTTCTCTTGGTGCTCTGCTCGAGCTTGAGGATGGAGGGCGAGGAATTTGTTGATGCCATTTTGATTGCTTCTGATATTTTAAGTCGACTCTGATGTTTGCTGTTGGTGGCGGTGATGTTCGATAAGCTGTTGTTCTTCAAAGAATGATGCTTGATGATGATGTTCGTTGCTCTGTGGAACTTTGACGAATGCTGAAGGACTCTGTTGTCGAGTTTTCGGAGTAAAGTTGTGGAAGCGAGGCACTCCTTGGTTGCTATTGTTTGTGAAGAGACTCGATTGATACAGAAATTTATGGTGTCGTCGTTCGTGGTTTGTATGAATATTTGAGAATTTGAGAATTTGTTGAAGTGTGGGTGAGAGATGTTTTTTGGAGGGAAGATTTTAAGATTTTTGATTTCACAAATTTACCATTGTGCGTGCCATAACAGTGAATCAAGTCTAGAAGCTCGAAGAAAGTTCCTTCTATTTACCGCAAAATATCGTGTGGATAGCTACATAGTCGTCCACAATAGCAAGATATTCATTTTCGGTAAGCGATCATTAAGCGAGTCCGGGAAAGGGGTGACTAGAACACAGAAAGTTACATGCCGCTAGTTCCCGCTTGGTTACCATCGAATAGCCTTCTTAACCTTCATGTGACTCACTTTGTTGGAGCACAAGTCGAAATCCAAATATTTGAAAATGGACTGGAGCCAGTGACTTCAGTCTGATTTGAAATTGGGCTGAGATGTATATGGTATATGAAATGCAATATTTTCCCACAAAGCACACCCAACAAAATCTACCTACACAATACTTCAAACCTCAACAGATAACCCAAATTTTTGAACTCATTCTCCATCCCATCCCAAATCCAGCGGAATCTTCAACCATGTTGTCGACCCTACTTATGAATATAGAGAAGAAAATGGCGGCCGCCAAAAGAGGAACCGCAAATGCTCAGTTCCCTAAGCTAATCTTGGCTGAAAGTATGAAGAAGCCACTGAGCGCGGAAAGAATGACCAAGAAAGTTGTTAGAACTCTTCTAAACACTGAAACAGTGGGGTCTGCGATCGTCAATCCCCACACAAGCATCAAATTCTTGGAAGGTGTCGACACAATCATATTCCACACTGAGCTCTCACCCGCAATCCAGCTGCGATGTCGATGGATGTTAGCTGCTCCCATTCCTGGCCACGGTCTTCAATTTCTGAGACACTATGCCTTTTTCGGAAAGGCCGAGGGCGTTGGTCTTCTTCCGCACCAATTCTCGTCACTAAAGGAAAGAAACGTGGCCGTGGACAAGCTTCGCGCTGAGGCTAACGAACTCTGTTCTAAAATTGAGCTATGTCCTCATGATCTCAATCCTAGAGTTTTGGACCATTGCGAAGTCCATGTTACAGGTCAGGGTTGGGGTGCAGTCTCAGACAAAGAGCTGTTGCAGCATCTATTGGACGAAGCTGCCAAAATTTGGCATGATGTTGTTGGCGCCGTGGATATCAGCGCCTCTTGCAAGGAAAGAATGCAAACTCTTGCCGAAAGAAATGATATCAGCAACACGAAGATTCAGCTAGAGGGCAAACTGGGAAAGTTCGAAGAGCTCAAACTTCTCGAAGAACAATCTAAGGACGAGCGCCCTTGGCGGGAGCGATTCGAGTCACGAGTTCAGAGGTGGACGAGTGAATTCCCGGATGAGTTCGTCTCAATGGAGGTCCCTGTCACGCATATCCCCGATGAGTTCCTAACCGAAATCCCCGATATACACTTCAAAAAGCCCACTCGCTTAACCTCTCCCTGGTCCCCTGATTGGTCAACGCAAGTAGAAGAAGCGTTTGATTCTGCGTTGCAGCTCGGCGAGGAAGCCTTCAAAGCATTCGAGGTGATCGTTGATGAGGACTTGGGGGATCTACGGGAGACGCAAGCATCGGCCGTCAACTCCGACTCCCTCGAAGAGACGACTAAAAGAAAAATCCGTTCGCCGTCGACTGAAAAGCCAGCAGACCCAAAAGGTAAGAGCATTCAAGTTGTCCCTGTACCATGTTTCCGCTGTGCTCCATGGAAGTTCGAAGTTTTGCGCTGTCTTAAGTGCCGAGACACGAGGATAGACGGCTGCCATCTGCCTACAGTCCCCGAGCAGCTCTAGTCTCTTTGATTTACACCACTTCCCTTCTTCACATCATTGAACAGAGCTAATTGGCTGGGCAGTGACAATAATCAAGATGGCCGACCCTGGAATGGAAGGCGTAAAATTCGAACTCGATCTCAAAGTGCCATTCTCAGAAGCGGCTCAGGTATGGCTTAATTGCAAAGGTATTGAGACCACAAGATTCTTGCCACGCGGCACTTTGCAACCTAAGGGTGAGTTGAAAGTCAATCAGCTCATAAGAGGGTTTGGCAATGGTCTCCATCCAACGAACTATCTCGAGATGGAGACTGTAGTCTACCGTGGAAGAAAGGCGATGGATCTTAGCATATTCCATGATGTGTTGCTGAAGCCTGACTCCCTTCTGGCGGAATGGTGGCCTCCAGTGGCAGAATCAGGTATGGTTGTGCCTCTCCTGACCTCCCGTTCGTGGGCCCAGACCGTAGCCGCAACAAAGTTGGAACTACCACGAATTGTCACCTCAGATAAGGTAGTCGAAACGCAGCAGCCTGTCGAAACGCAGCAGCCTAAGGTTATAAACTCTTATGCCATGGCTGCAGCAGCTAAACCTCAGCCATCTCAAGCAGTTGGCGAACCGGTAGCCAAGAAGACTGCTACTGCTACCTCTAACAGCAAGAGTACCAAAGAGGCAAATTCGGTGCCTAAAATTGTACCACCTGAAGAGCAAGAATGGACAACAGTAACGCGTAAGAAGACACGACGAGCAGCTTCGCGGGTGCAGAAAGAGTTGCCCCAGGATTTACGTGGCTCGGTGCAAGTGGAACCGGTGCACGTGGAGCCGGAATGGGAAGTAGTAACGAGGAAGAAGGCACGACGGGGAGCTTTACGAGCGCAAACAGCGTTGGCTGAAGAGCAGATTGGAATTTAAATGGGGCATAGCTTGGTGGCGCTTGAAAAAGAGGGCTTTTATAGTTATCGTGCATGAATTGAGGTCGTACTTGTTTTTGTTTCTGCCTTTGCTTTTGTCAACTTTATTTTGCAGATTTGCTCTTGCTTTTATAGACTTGCTGTTGCTTTTGCTTTGGATGGGAGGGTCTAGGATTGTATCTAGATTGGGAGTGAAGAAAATGAAACAGAGACTCCCTCATCTGATAGTGTACATATAATGACACTCGTCCGAGCTTGTGAGAAGACACATGCGACTTCGACGATCCCTTTCCTTACTCGATCTTATTTCCCATCTCCGTCTACGCTATCTCAGCAGTCGAGCCCAAGAATGAACATCAACTTTCTGAGAGATCGAAACTTTCTGTTCCTAGAGGCTGTGGATGCTCCCAAAGCTCATATTGCCAGACTTGGGTAAGTGAAGTACTTTCATCACGGCATCACACAACTCCAGTGCACACTAAAAAGCCATGCTCCTCAAGAATCTATCACTCAGAACATCGCTTGATACTGCTTTGTGATACTCGGCTTGGATCATAACTTTTTGATAATGAGGCTAAAATTATTTGACTTGGTATTTTGACGTGTTAAGAGAAAGTCTGAAGATTGGCTGAGGAATGTCTGAAGAAAGTTTAACGCACCAAGCAGGAACATACAACAGAAATGGTGAATTCAAGGGGGAAAGCCTGCTTTTTCCTTGAACCGCGCAACATAAGCACATTAAATATAATCAATACTAATACAAGCATCATTGAATCAACGCCTTACCACCATGATCCTACAAGTTCTTCTCTGGTGCTTCTCCTGTTCCACTACCATACTTTCTAACGTGCTCCTTTGCAGCATTCTTATCGCCCTCGAAAACAGCAACTTCTTTACTGTCCATATGCTTTGCGACTTGATCAGCTTGCCACTTTTTGAACGAGAATCCCAGTCCTTCGTGGCTATAGTCTTTGTCGTTGGCCTGATCCTTGTGATATTTCACACGAATGAAATCGCTGTGGACGGTCTCGGGGTCGAGGGAGAGGGTAACTAGTGCGTTGATTGTGGCTGTTTTCGGGATGATCTTGAAGGTCCAAGACTATGACTTGTTAGTAAAAATTGTGGGGAGATAGTGGGGTGAGAGACAGACTTGTTCATTCTTGAATTGGATGACCTCGTCGTCGCTGCGAACAATTTGATAGCCCTCATTCTTCGAAGCCTTGAAAAGTTTTGGCAGAGCAAACCACTGCCCTGCCATCTTGTATCTGTCGTTGGCATAGACGAACTGATCATCATAGACGCAATCTGGCGTGTAGCGTTTTACTCGCTCGATTGTGGGCTCGCAGCTGTACAGAGCGATAATGTCATCGACAAGAGCTTGTCTAGCTTTGTCTAATGGAATGGACTTCGATGGATCTGGGTGCCAGTCTTCTGTAGCGGAGGTTTGACGAACTTCGAATTGTTCACCGGGAGCTGAGTTGGTAGCCATTGTGCGGTATATTGGAGAAATCCGTGCAGGAGCTGTTCTGACAGTGCGTGTAAAGGTTCTAGCAGCAAACATTTATTATCAAAAACTTTCAAACGGAGTATGAATGATTGTAAAAGTTTGTCTTATAAGATCCGCACGACTATCCATGACCGCTAGAAGGACAGAGAGTGATGATGTCAACTCAAATATGACATCGCCATTGCGACCTATGCGAGTTTCCGGACACATTATGAGCTCTCACAAGTCTGAATGTATGACTTTGAGATGGACTTCGGGTCGATGGTTTGTCCGGAATTTAGGCTGTGCAATTGTCATGTTGTTCACAAAGCTCCGGAGGAAATGTTGACGTCGACTGCATCGCGGGAGATCGACCGCATGGCGATTTTGCCCCTCTTTTCGAAAATCAGCAGCACCCCTTTTGACGCTTCTCTGCTACAAATTCTTCGACAGCCCTGCGACAAGCAACATAAGTATTTCTGAAGATCTGAGGGCCCTTCCACTGCCTTGAGCCTGTGCTGAACGCTTTGTGCCTGAGGTCGAAAGCCGATTTTGATTGCTAATACTTTTAGGGCTCAGTTCATCAGCCTCGATTCTCCCTGACACCTTTTGCTGCCGGATAGTCCTCGATATGCTATGTGTTGCAGAAAGTTATATTGTGTTATGATTTACCCACTTCGAACCTCGGTGATCTGCTAGCGCTCTTTCTCTACTTCCGCAGTCTATATACTACTTGAAAGAAGTATCTTCCACAGTTCTGTTCCCTGCATGCTGTATTCCCTTAGAGTCGAGAGTGGGTCCATTTTGAGATTCCTGATCTGGTACCATGGAAAGTCGATTATTGGATATTGACAATATTTGATCAAACCTCGTCCGTATCTCGCCCAGATCTTCGCTTTCACCAGTTTTTTCAGTTGACGCATTGCTCGCTAGTGTCTTATCATCTTCGTCCGCATCGCCAGGTTTCCGAAATGTCTTAAATGTATGTGATATTGGATGGTTGAGTCTGGCTGTCGAATAGCAATTTTCGCAAAAGTCGAAATCAGGGCAGACTCTGCATTTGTATCGCGTACCACGCATGTTCTGCTTTAATTGAGTCACATATTTGTAATTAGACAAGTCCTCACATACCTCAGTCCAGCAACCATCACACTGAACACCTTCGTGTCTAGGACCTCGCCCTAGCAAATCATTGTCCAACTGCTCTATGTCAACAATCCAAGCTGGATCATCACTCATCCGTCCTTCTTGTATTGATATCTTGGTGCGAAACTTCTCTGTCAGGAGCCCTCTGGTGCGTTCGCCAGGAAATACCCAATTATTGTCCCCAGTGTCGAGCCATTTGTCGTGTAAGATGAATTTGTCTGGGAGATCCATGTTTTTTTCCAAGACGTAGGAGGCGGCCGACGGGCCCCACGCAGGACCTCCAAGAAGACATACAGGTCTGAATTCCGAATCGAAACCTAGCTTCATTATCGAGAATTCCTTCTCGGAAGACCGGTAGAGGAAAACTCCTGCAGTTCCGTGCTGACCTACGGGAATTTGAATAAACCTTTCCGTGGAGTTCCACGTATTCCATGAAGTCACAGTCTTAAGGATGTGTTCCTCATTGTGTGACCTAGACTGGATTTTGATGATTGTTGGTAGGGTCCGCAGCCAAAATCCATATTTTTTGACAGGGGGTGGTGACATACGAAACACGGTTTGCCTGACATAAATGCTCTTGGGCTTGAAAGCAGATCTAACTAAAGCCATGGCACGAAGAGAACTCCCATCGAACGTGACTCTTGCCATTTGGTTGTTTTCCTTCAATTGTCTTAGAAATATGCCGACTCGTGGACCATGACCTCTATCATATTGACAATCGAGTGTAACGAAATAGGTGTCCATCGCCCATTGCTTCATTTGGAACTCGATTGACAGACCCATATTTGTGATAGAATATGGCGTACGGTTCATCCTGTCTTGGGCTACCATAATATGTGGACAATCGAATTCTGCTGGTGATTGGGCAAGTAGCCCTCTATACCCCCCACCAGAAAAGCTCCAGGCAAACAACGAATGATCATCAGAGTGCTTCATTATTTCCTCTTGTAATCGAATGAATGCTCTTTCCCCTTCACCATACAGCAGTGGCATATTAACTCCAAATAAACCTAGAAGACAATATGCACGATCTTCCAATCTAGTTGTTGAGCGTTTCGATGCCCAGGACATTCTTTCAGCGATACTGCGACGTTCTAGGTACTTTCCAGCGAGCGTCTTCACGTCAATGCCGGTTATTTCCGAAATTTCAAGCTGCAACGACTCTTTGGTACCCAGGAAATTCCAGGATGAATCGAAAAAAGCAACTTCGGAAGGCGCGATCAGTTCTTGAAGAGTCCAACCTCGAGACCACCAGCAAGCATTGCAGAATAATTGGTCAGAGACTGGAGATCTCGAACCCACATCAAATAGAAAAACACAACAAATCTCTGCCTTTTTATACCAACGATACATCGAATTGATAGCTTCTGAAAGTTCGGCACTGCTCGTTTTGTCGATGCAAACTGTGTCGACCCATACATAATCCAAACGTCTCCTCGATGCCTCACCACAAACCAACTCAATCTTGGTAAATCCAGCTCTGAGGTTTCCTGTTCCATTTTGCATGTCCTGGAACGAGACTTCGTCAGGCTGCCATCGATGGGACAAGATAGCATACGGCGGAATCTCGTTGTCGAAGAACTCTTCGAGCTCCAAGCTCCATGTGTTGATGAGTCTCATTGTGATGCCTTCATGACATGACTTTCGAACCCAACTATCTGAAACCATGAAGATGTTACCGGTCACTGCGTCCTGGGTCTTTATGGTCTGGCGTACAGCCCAATTCAGCTGCAGAGTGCAGGGGTCAAAGTGTCGTCTCAATGACTTGACGAAAAGAATAAGCAAGCACCTCAAACATCTGGCCGGTATGCCAACTGATGAACATGTTGGTATCATCTCAGTCTTGAGCTCGGCCCGAGTTTACTTTCCCACCTCTGGAAGCGATTCCTCATGCATTCATATTTGTCTTTCGACCAATTACATGGGTCCTTAATCCGAATCAATCCTGTGCATGCACTGCAACCCTTTATCAATACTTAAGAAGGAGCAGATACCTAGTATTGCGTTCAATTATCCATAGCGATTGTGGCTGACTGAAAATGTATCTCGGCCCAAAGCTGATGCTGCAAGCCGTCACCTGTGCATTTCAGCTCCGCTTCGAAGTATATCCAATGCATCATTGCGATATGATGCTGTACACGCCTTCTTATATCTGCGCTACCAAGTCCAACTGTGGCTCTCCTCAATTCCTCACTAAACCGGCAACTCCCCTTTCCTACAAGGCAATCCTGGAAACTGCATTTTTATTGGCCACATTCAAGACATCATTATGCTCTGTACCAAATGCAGCGAGATCTTCAAGGGTTCAAAAAAGCTGTCCCGTTGCATTCAGCCAAACTATGATTTTGACCCGTTTATATCAGGCCAGGCAAGTCATCTTCTTGGAGGACCGTTCCCTCTGATTATCGGTCTTGGGAGTCTTGTGGTTGGAGTATACAAGCTTTAAATGTCTATTTCATCTCTAACAAGAGATCAAGCTCTTGCGTTCGAGCTACTTGGAGATCTTTACTAATTTGGAGGCTTTGGGACCACAGCATTATGATACCCTAGAAGAGTTCCAAACTTCAATCACAGAAGGCTGTCATTTCTGTAGCTTAATTATAGGTAGTCTTGATCTCGAAAGCTTGACATCGCCCTGGCAATGGACTCATTACACTTTCGGATATCCTGAAGGGAGAAGCCTCACCCTTAAATTCAGTTACAAAATCCCCGACGCAGGCTATGCACCTCGAGTGGACTTTCGACTCTGTCCGACTGATGAAGAAGGTGGGCATCCATTCTTTGGCCTCTCTCCTAGGCTTATTTTGAGAACGAAGCTGATACAAACTAGATCTCATAGGCTCTTTAAGCCTTCAAGAAGCTGAGGCAAACACTGGTTCACAAACGAGCTGGAAGCAGGCCGTCTCTTGGATCGAGAACTGTAAAGCAAATCACAAGACATGTCTTCAAGCTTATAGCGACCAGGACTGGAAGCCAACCCGCCTTCTCAAAGTGTCCGAAGATCCTGACAGTATCCGACTTTGTGAGAAAGATGAAATTCCCCACGGAACCGTCTATACGACACTCAGCCACTGCTGGGGAGCTGTCGTCTTGGGCACTCTGCTTACGACAAACATTGAGTCGTTGAAGAAAAGCATCCCTCTCAGCTCCCTCGTCAAGACATTCCAGAATGCTGTCGAAGTCACAAGGCAACTGAAAGTTGGCTATATTTGGATAGACTGCTTGTGCATCATCCAAGATTCCCGCGACGACTGGAAGTTTGAGTCAATGAGAATGGAAGCTGTGTATGGACACTCATATTGCAATATAGCAGCTACAGCATCAGCTGACGGAAGAGGTGGATTGTTTCGAGAACGTGATCCGAAGATGATCGAGCCGTGTACAGTCAATATGAGCACGAGCGTGAAAGGACAGAAGACAGATTATCGCATTTCAGATTTCTCAATCTGGTGGAAACACTTCGAAGCATCTCCACTTAATGTTCGCGCTTGGGTCATGCAGGAAAGGCTACTGTCTCCGCGTGTACTTCAATTTGACCGAGATCAATTGCTCTGGGAATGCAATGAACTTACAGCATGCGAGAGACATCCAGGTGGAATGGATAGTCTCATGCCCAAAGACTCTATTGTGCGGCGTTTTCGACTTCCACCGAAAAAGGTTAAAGGTGCGCGGGGTGTCCTCGACCTCTGGGCTCCTGTCTTGAGGATCTACTCGGCGACGCGCATCACGAAGGATACTGACAGATTGGTTGCTTTGTATGGTGTTGCCATGAAAGTTCAACGGCTGCTTAATTGCGATTACCAAGCCGGACTTTAGTCGCAAGATATCGAAAGCCAACTTGCTTAGAAAGCTTCTGATCCAACTAGCAGCAAGCGCCCACGCGAGTATGTTGCGCCTTCGTGGTCATGGGCATCCGTGGCTGGAGAAATTGATTTGATGCCTGCATGGGACGAGCTGGACAGAAAAAGATTTCGTGAACAACATCTCTGCAAAGTTCTGAGCATTGAAAACCAAGCTAGTAAGCCAGAGGATTCGGTGATCGTCAGTCATGAAACACTCAACATCAGATGCTACTTAATTCCGGTCACAATTGTCCCGATCGAGCAGCTCTATTGGGACGGTGTCCTGCCGTCTTATGTTGATGATGGAGGTGTTGTATTGGAGAAAAATGATCAAACATACGAGGAAAAAAGTCTGCTCATCGATGATGAAGAAGATGAAGACGAAGACGGAGGAGTTCAGGAAGGGAGCGGTGGCGCAAAGAACCAAGATGGAGATATGGAAGAGAGGGAGACTCCATGGGTAACCTTGTACAGAACTCGAGATGGCAAGAGCATGGAGTTGGATCTTTGGCGAGAAGTAGATACTGAACAAGAATGGGACTGGACGACATCAAGAAGGCGATGGTTGATGCCGACTTGTCTCTCGAACGGGCTTATGCGAGGAATCATTCTTGAGCAACTGGAGGGTGGTGGTGGCAAATTTCGACGATGCGGAGCATTTGGATACAAGAGCTGGGAGCAAAGCTATGAACAAGGTCAGGATACACTTTGGTTGTGTTGTCAGGATTTCAAAGGTGTGGCGGGCTTGGAGAAGAAGCCATTTGATGGACTGCTGAGTCCTGTGATCAAGGGTAGCGCCGCCGCCGGAGAGTCATTGCTTGCTTATGAGGTCCGAAACAATGTCCAGCAGTTTGTCATCTCGATTGTCTGATTTTCTTTGGTCTCGGAATCTCATATATGTAACGATCTGGCAGCATGATGCCTGTGCGGGCAGAATTGTGGAGCAAATGAATGAAGCGAGGAATTAGTTTCGCGTAAATAGGGGAGTACGCATGATCATCAAGAGTCAACCTGGGTCGATCTAACTTTGGACTTCTCACTAGATCAACTCAATACTCTCCTATCCAATTGGCTACTATGTAAGAATATTTCTTATTCAATCGCAGCCATCCAGTCCCAAGATTTGACTCTCACTACATAATGTCTCTAGGAGCAGTGCCTCTTAAGTTGCTTGACGTTGATGGGTAAATTATGTGACAGCCAAATGATAAATAGATCAATTTAGATATCATAGCTATCAGAATTCTGACCTAGGGTGTTACCCAGGCTCGAGTTGCTTGAGATGTCTCATGGTGCTCTAAGGTACTCAGAATGAGCGTCCCCTTCTTGAAAATTTCGAAGATGATCTGAAGCCTTCTTGACTAGTTTAGTCTCAGACATTGATCAAGAGTTCATCTTTGTGGGCATCATTGGGTTAAGCTAGATATGACGCTAGGCCGAACAATTCACCCACTCGATCTTGTCCTCTTCTTCCATAAACCACAACTTCCCTCACCCAATTCAACCCAACGACTTCGCCAGAGCCACGACTCGAATCCACAGGGGATCATTGACAAGATCATGGCTTCCTCGCCATCACCCGGTAGACCGTCGAGTATCGAACTCATCGAGTAAGTTCCTCTCATCTTCAACGTCAGGCTATGTTACTAACGGAAACCATTAGGTTGATCTCAGGACCTAGGGTTGACATCTATGTCGGCCCAAAGAAGAAGCACTATTCCCTGCCCAAGAAGCTGTTGTGTTATTACTCCAAGTACTTTGATCGGTGCTTCAATGGCAACTTCATTGAGGGTCAGACCCAAAAGCTCGATCTTCTCGAAGATAAAGTTGAAGACTTCGATATCATCCTCGAGTACATGTTGCACCATGGCCTTACTAGCGAGTTCAAGATAACTTTCTACGACTTCGAGTCCGGATTCGATCAATGCATGAGGTTCGTGGAATACGTCAGCAAATACGATATGGGATACGTTGCATCTCTTGCGGTTTACAAGCCACTGAGAAGCCTGGTGGAGGATAAGAGCAAGCGCTGCCGGGATACGACCTTTTCGATACCTGTAGACGATGTCGAGACGGTCTTCAGCCTCACTCCGCGTGATAGCGAGCTTCGGACCCTAATGGCTCAAGCAGTGCTGTCTGGTGGTGGTGTAGGAGGTCTGAAGGAGTATGAGGAGATAATCTATGAAATCAAGGACTTCGGCTTTGCAGTATACAAAGAGCTGTATAAGAGCTTACAGGAATGTACTTGGAACGACCCAATCACAGGTGATGAGAGGGAAGACTAGGGTTTCGTAGGTGAAAATGGTTGATGGTCTCATGACGATCTTTAGCACAGCGTCTTTCCATGTTACTCTTTGAGGTATATGGTTGGGGCGAGGGGATGCCTGAAGAAGATAGGTCTTGGTACACTATACGGAGAGATGGCATGCCAGTCAATATCGCCTTCAGCAATCAATGGAGACATTCCACGTATCACGTAGCAGGAGGGAGACCTTACCTTCAAAGCCCCCGGATTTACGTTTATTGATAAATTTAGAAAACAGTGAATTTGAATCCGCAAAGGTAAGTTGGGGTGAATTCTCCAAGAAGCACACTAGCCCAGGTCCATCCATTTTGGGAAGTACTAGCGTCCAACTGGTAATACCTATATAACAACCTCATTTGCACCTCGAGTCCTCCTCTTCTTCCTCTTTAAACATCCTCGTCCACAACCACCACACCACAACTCTGAACATTCTCGCAACACCTCAACAACACAACAATATCACCAGATACTCACCAGATACTCACCATTACTAAAAAGCCAACAATTCCAAGACTTTGCGTAATAAACTAAAGTAAGAGCACAACAAAAGAATCACCTTCCTGAACGACAACACCTTCGCAGCTTTACGCAATCCACATCGCAACAGTTGTCCATCAACACAATGGCTTCCTGCACTTCGTACAAGATGATGAGCGCCGCTGAGCGCAATAAGTGAGTTTATACACCAACCCAACACGTGCAAGCCGGGACTAATGAACTCTAGGATGCTTTCCGGTCCCCGAACCGTCCTCCTCGTCGGACCTAATCGCAAGTACTATGGTCTTCCAACCCAACTCATCTGTCGTATGTCCCCACATTTGGCTCGCCTTGTTGCAGAGTCCAAGGGCCAGAAGTTGGAGTTGCTCAAGGAAAACGTCGAGGAATTTAACGTTCTTGTCGAATTCATGCTCCGAGGCGTCATTCCAGGCGCAAATGCCAAGCGAAGCATCGAGGGCAACAAGTCTACCATCGACCAATGTTTGCGCTTCCTTGAGTCCGCATACAAGTACCAAATTGGCGACGTCTCCGATGTTGTCTTTGAGCCACTGCTCAAGGCATTCCTTGACCTGACCAACCACAAGTATCGCAACGACTCAAACGACATGAAGCGAATCGCAAAGTCCGGCATCCGATGTGGTATTGAGGCCAACGACATCGAAACTATCTTCGAGCTCTGCCCACCAGGAAACCGCCTCCGCACTCTTGCCACACAAGCTGCTCTCTCCTATAGTGGTCCGGAAGGAGTCAACATCTGGGACGAACAGATGGAGAATGTCTCCGGCTTTGCTACCGAGTTGATGGATCAAGTCGTCGCCGGGTTCTCCCGCCACTCATGGGTTGAACCACTCACTAAGATCGCTCGAAGATGGGTTGAGCCACTGGCTAAGATCACACGTCGTCATTGAACGCTAGCTTTGAAGCCCTCATTCCGCCCAGCTGAGACCTTCTGATACTGATCCGCGACCATCGAGGTCTGGCACTGCAGACTTGGCCGGATCCTATCGGAGAAGGGCGATCTTTCGGGCATTGGAAGGGCCAACCACAATGTTTTTCTGGAGGATCTTTCGGCTTTCTTGTTTAGCGTTTTTCATTTTCAGTGACAAGAGTTCAGGAGCCACTTGGAGTTCTGGGTTCGCACTTCACGATATCCAGGAGAAGCATTGCGGGTTTTGGGGAGAACAGGTCACTTGTTTTGGAGGACTACTCCACGGATGTTAGCGGAGTCTTTTGGCTTGCCAGGAGTTTTGGATCTTGCGTGCACCACTTGGTGTCATGTAGACAGCAAAAATATTAAACTCTGCGCACAACCTATGAAGAGCCACATGTACAGTGACATGAATGCCTGTGATTGTGTAATAGTTACCAAGTACTAGTTTGACCTGGAAGAAAAGCTGTTTGTGAATAAACATAATAATCTCGCAGAGTGATGAGGTACCTCGTACGTCAATCCCGCATTTCCGTGACCCTCAACTACAACACCATACGACTTTTTTGAGCGCCCTTACCAGCTACAAAATCCCAAGGCATTAAACGCTTCAATAAACTGTCTCCATTCTTCCCTTGTCTTTATTTCCTCCGCATTCCCTCAAGCCACTCTTTGGCAGGAACGTAAGTATCTCGCAAATCATTACCGATGACAAACATCACCTCGGCTGCAAATCCCTCAATGCTATCACCATACTCTTGGAGCTTATGAAGCCCACTCAATCCGCCTGCAACTGACAGGAGGGCTTGTACCACGAGAGTCCGGATTGAGCTTCTCTCCGGGCAAGTGGTGAAGACAAGCTCAATATCCTTGCGTTCGAGGCCGTTGGGTCGCTTGAATACGACTAGTGGTGGGTCTGAACCAAGTGTTTGCCATGGGGCCGATAGATTGTCGGTTCTCGAAGCTCTAGGCAGCTTGATTTCGGCTGTGTAGAACCAGAGAGCGTCGAATAATGGCTTGAAGATAGCTTCAGAGACATCTCCGAGTTGGTATTTGTCTGCGAACTTTAAGAAGTCCAAGCACTGCGAGATAGTCTCTTCGGCGCCTCTGAGACCCGGTTTTACAGCTATCGTGCCACGGAGAATGAATTCGAGGAAAATATCGAAGTCTTCGATCTTCTCCTCTGGTAGCTCAAGCTTCTGCTCGTGAGCTTCTCTGAAGGATCCATTGAAACATCGATCAAAGAATGGAGAGTAAGAGCAAAGTAAATCCTTTGGTATAGAGCGGTGCTCTTTGTCTGATCCTATGTAGATGTCTACTCGAGGGCCAGAGATCAATCTTTTGAGGTCAGTGTCGGTGTTTTACTGATGAATCTGTAGTTATGTGGATAACTCACCGAATCAGCTCAACGGCTGTTGGCCTTTTCATAGGAGCCATGGAAGGTGTCACTGGTTGTCCCGTGCTTGGGGCTGGTTGCTGCTCAGACATCTGGGAATTATTGCTCGACATAGGCTGTGCTTGAGGAGCATATTGTCCTGAGACGAAATTTTGCCGGATTTGTCGAAGATAGACTTTCTGATAGTTGTCTGGCAGTGACAAACTAGGTTGAGCGAGAGTAGATCCTCTGCCCGATGCGGAGGCAGCAGTAGCATCAGAAGCTTCGGATTTGGGGGAGGTTCGTGAGCTCGAACATACTGGAGCTGTAGCTCTAGAAGATGGTGGAAAGTGTGGAAAATATGAATCCGGTTTCTGTGGAGAGGATGAAGCTTGGCTTCGCGTTGCAGGTGCCATTTTGAGGGCCGGAAACGGTTTCCAGAGTCTATGCCACCCAAGATGTTCCCGATATGCTCTAATGCAATCTATCGTTTGTCAGCACAATGAGCAACCTAGGTATCGAATGCGATGAAATACTGGCCCTTGATATAGTCTACAAGTAAGCATAGACCTGCATTTGTGTCGTTGTCAAACAGATACCTAGGTAGGTTGCATTTCATATGGTATATCACGTGTTGACTAGTTGCAGCGTCCCGAACAAGCAGGAACTACTCGTCCGATTGGGTGTCATACAAGTGAAAAGTGAACTTGGCAGCTGGAAATTGCAACATGGGTAACTTAAGGCAGTAAGAGAGCCATCTTTGGGGCCAAAAAGGAGCTTACGTTTTGTACTTTCACGAGGCGCACTCTGAGGGTCGAGGGAACGTTTTTGGGGAGGGAGTCGATTTCTTTTGGTGAATATGACTGGCTAGACAGCAGGTATGCTACTCTCAATGGCCGTGCGTGACGCGCAAATAGCAGAAAAAACCATGCAGAATTATCCCAAATCCATCTAGACCTTCATCTCGGTAAGGCCATGCTTCCAGATGGTAACAAAAGGGGTAACTCCATCTTCACGGTAATTCATAAGAATAACCCTGAGCAGGTTAGTCAAATTCTTCCAAACGGACGACGATAACTTACATTCCATCGACATCCATTGACTCGCCAGTGTAGAAATCGTAGTCCTTGAAGTTGGCGACGATCTTCTTGGCATATCCCTGAGCACCAGTCTCGAACGCCTTGATGGTCTCCTCGCTAGCTCCCTTCTCCTTCAGAGCCTCCTTGACCTTCTTCATGTATCCTGTGTCTCCATCAGCAATGTCCCGTGAATATATGCATGCTCCATACCCTTCAAGTGGCTGAGATACGATTTCTTATCGAATTGGGTAGATTGCAACCGGAAAGAGTTGACAACGTTGTTGACTTGTTGAGCTCCGTCCTCAACACCCTCTTCGGCCTCCTCAGCAGATGCGTTGGCACCGGTGTCTGTAATTCATATCAGTATCCATCATATTGCTGAGCCTTCGGCGGTGTAGTGTACGTACTGACTTCGACCGCGCCCAGGGTAATCATGGAACAGTCGACCTCGTAGACGGCACCGTCGACCTCCTTGATGTCGTATGAGTCCGACATGACCTCGTCACCGGTGAGGATATCCTGTAGTACATCTCAGTCAGCGATTATTCTCCACAGGTTGCGACCCACAAAGCTGATCGCGATCGAGTACAAGTGCGGGGTTGCAGTGTTGTGGCAGATGGAATGCGTACCTTGAAAATGATCATTTTGACGGTATCAATCTGTGATTTATCTAGGTATGGAGGAAGAGACTGATATGGACAAAATTGTTCAGAGTTCGAATCTTTTGGTGGTGGGCTGGACTTGAAAAAACCACCAACGTGGATTAAATGGAGGGGCAGAAGAGCACACTTGAACTAATCCGGAATAGCTCTACTACCTCAGGCAAGATATTTTGGCCTTACGCTAGTACAGCTTTTTTTTGCCAGCGCCCGCCACATGTCAGAAGTCCCATCTCGGTTCCATGAACGACAAGTTGGGATGGATGTGATGTTTACTAGAAAACGGAGAAGGTTTGGTCGGAACGCCATTTTTCACAATGAAACGTACGGTACAACACAGCATTTTCGACCTGACCTGACAGTCTGGCGATTTCTTCAGCCCAATTTCACTCTTCTGGAAAGTCAGGAGCTCTTCAACAGGAGATCGCGGGAGTGACGGATGATAAAAAGTTAAGCGAGATTTGATAGCGCTGGTGGGTGCATTAATGACTGTATTGTGGCGCCCATCATCTTGGTTTACAAAACCATCGTCTTCCTCGTTTCTTCTTCATAACGGTATTCACTCCTTTCGTGCGCACCACGATAACTGCCGTTACCACCGCTCGACATGGCAAACATCTCTCTTGCTTCCAATTTGACTACGATGTCTGATCTACCACCCCTCCCATCGTACACCCTCTCCCCGGTTCAGCCGCTCATCTCCTTTATCCCCGACTTCTACCTCTCCCTCATGCTACCAATTGCCGCGTACTGGATCGTATCAATGTTCTTTCACATCATCGATGTCTACGATGTATGGCCACAATACCGACTGCATACACCGGCGGAGATCCTCAAGAGAAATCACGTCTCCCGGTATGAGGTGGCGCGCGATGTGGTTATACAGCAGATCATTCAGACAGTGGTTGGAATAATTCTAGGTATAACGGAGCCAGAGGAGGTGACTGGAAGGGAGGAGTACGATATCGCAGTCTGGGCTACAAGATTACGAATTGCTCAAAGGGTTCTGCCGCAGCTCTTGGGTCTTCTAGGTCTCAACGCTGCAGCAATTTCTAAGAATATTGCTGGATCGCATCCAATGCTGGCAGGTGCTCTCGCAGGTGGAAAATACCCCTCCTTGGCCTTGGGAATGGATGCTCTCGGTGGTTCACCAGTTCCTACTTTTGCTAGCTGGGAGGTATTTGCGGCCAAGGCTCTGTACTGGTACATTGTACCTGCATTGCAGTTTTGGTTGTCAATCCTCATTGTGGATACATGGCAATACTTCTTACATCGTGCTATGCACATCAATAAGTGGCTCTACAGTAAGTCCTCGTCAGCTTCCCCCTGTTTCCCTTGCTGACGAAACAAGCTACATTCCATTCGCGTCATCATCGCCTCTATGTCCCATACGCTTACGGAGCGCTTTACAACCACCCCTTCGAAGGCTTCCTACTTGACACACTCGGGGCTAGCATTGCATACAAAGTTGCTGGGTTGACGCCTCGCCAAGGAATGATTTTCTTTACAGCCTCCACCATCAAAACGGTCGATGACCACTGCGGTTACGCATTACCTTGGGACCCCCTGCAACACATCACAAGCAACAATGCAGGATACCATGACATCCACCACCAAAGCTGGGGCATCAAGACCAACTTCTCGCAACCATTCTTCACCTTTTGGGATCGACTCTTGGGCACGATGTGGTCTGGCGATACAAAACTCCGCTACGCGAGAGACAGAAAGGCAGCACAATTCAAGGTCGATGCAGACAAGGTTGAGTTGTGATTTCTCTAGAAGGGGGGTTAATGAAGATACACAGTTGATTGTACAACATGAGCGGCATGCACGGTCTTCTACGCATTCTTGGGACGAGGTGTTTGGTTGGGGCTTGGATGGATATGAATCGTGGTGGGCGTTCGGTGTGAATTGTGTACATTACTGGAGCTTGAAAGTCTCGCGAGAGGCAAGGGTGCAGGATACCTTAATACTAATAATTCATCTTTGCTGAATTTACATTGGTTCTTCGAACTACCAGGGTCTTTTCACCCTTCCTATGCTCATCCAGGCAAGATCTTGATTTCTTCCCAACAGTATCCACACCACATTGCAACGACTACTCCCTCCAGAAGGAAAATCTTTTCTCGGGACATAAAGACGGATAATTCCCCTCTCGCACCAAACTGAATTATAGATAGTAGCAAAATTGGGCAGCAAACGAAGGCATTGAGAGCTCAAAAATTGAAACGAAGATTACCTTGGAACACCCCATGAACTTGCAGAAGGAGAGATAACAAGAGTTTGAGCAGTTGGTCAACAACTATTTTTGAGCCAAGCCCAGCTTAAAGTTCCACATCACCATAACCTCACTTCAGACCATGAACTCGGACTTATCTATCGCCCTTGCACTATTTGAATGACCTCTTACAATAACCAGATCTTTTTGTCGTCAATATTTCCTAGGAGATTGTATTTTTTTTCTTACTGTTTAATAATCATCAATTTGCGCTTTCCACGCGGTGAGCGCTGGCTGCGCGATTTGCGCTACGTGCGCATACGGCGCATTTTGCGGGTGAGCCAGAAACTAGAACAGAACCCGAACACATACTCAAAACCCCACCACATCACACATTTAAAAGTGAAAGTGCCAGAAAAAGGGTTTGTTGCACGTCGCAACGAAGCTAGTCGTTTGATGCCTTGATCCTTCAATCCTTGAGAAATTCACCTTTAGGATTTGATGGTCCTATTTTGCAGCAGCAATCACTTTGCTAGATACGAGAACAAGTAGTCAGTTCAATCGAGTGTAGGAGATGGGATGCTGATTTTCAAGAGAGATTTAGTTTATGTGGTGGAGAGATATTAGACAATTAGAGAGGGGATGACGAGGAAATGATTTGAAGATGAGATTATGTCGTTGGAGGAGAATGAAGGTGAATGACACACTTTGGGGAAGTAATGATTCGAGGAGAAGAGAATCAGCTTGTGTAGAGACTTTTGAAGTAGATGGAAGTAAATTCTATAAATTGGCAAGTCCGAACTCCATATGCCTGCTTGTCATGTCTTTGGAAGGCAAATGTCATTTGACCCATCTCCCAACTCCCATTTACATCTCAACAGCTTGGCCTTCTGGGCCGTGCAAGAAAAGCAGCACCTCCTTCCAGATGGGCCAACCTCAGTTTACTTTCATAAAGTGACTTGTTACCTTTTGTCATTTCGCTTGTCAGTCAAGCCGTAAGAGTGACAATGGTCGACGTGAATCGAAACCTGACACAGAGTCTGGGCGGGTAACAGTAGATCATTGTCATAGTGAATGGTCAACCAACCTCAGTTCAATAGTTTGTTCCTTCGCGTAGATGGGATGAAAACACAGCCGTCGACATGCAACGAAAGCAAAGCTTTGTCTTGTCACTTCACCTACATGGGATGAAATTCAACGTCCGACATGCAACGAAACTTGAGGTTTATCCTGCTCTTCTACTTACATGGGATGAAATGCAATGTTCGACATGCAACGAATTCCAAGCTTTGTCTTGCTCTTTCACTTACATGGGATGAAAATACAACAGTCGAGATGCAACGAAACTTAAGCCTTGTCATATCCCATCACTTTATGAGATGAAAACTGAGTCGTCGACATGCAACGAAATTAAGCTTCATCAACGAAACCTGATCCTTGTTACTAGACAAAAGGAATGAGAATGTTATTTGCTTTTTGGTATTGCAGAGGTTACTTTATGGATAGATGAAGAAGTTTTGAGTAACTCTGTGAATGTTTCTTCTTATGGTAATCTTGCATTGAGGAGGGATTGATAAAATGCAAATGGAGAAGGAAGTAACGTTGTACAGTAAGAATGGTAATACCATTGGGAGACTTTAGAAGTCGAGATGAAAGCAGAGCAAGTAAACGAGGAAATGACAATGATTGAAACGCGCAGCATGGGTAGACTTTTCAAGATGAAGAAAAGTCACTTAAATGATCCGAAGGCACCGCTTTTAGATAATCATATGGGTAGAAGCAGTAACACACGGTGGACAAAGATTCTTGGTCGGTATGCTCGGGGAGAGTTAATTGACTTCGTCACTGGGTACTTCGTCATTGAAAACAGTGGTAGAAGCCTGGGTGAGGTCACCTCCTCCACAGAAACAAGATAGGCAAAACGGTTCCTCCGGATGCAAAGCACGCACAAAGCCGCTGCACCCCGCCGATGATGCTCTGTGCTCAGGGGTATCTCGCGTGGAGAGTGGAGTCATATCAGCACCACTTAAGGTGTGATTCTGCCATAATGGTTCCTCGACCCCTTAAGATGCAGCCTTGTCGATAGCGAAGAAATAGCCAAAGTGGAGTGAGATGATCGACGAAGCACTTTCATTTATCATCAGGTGACATCGCGTTCAGGGGCAGATGAAGAGAAAGCCTTGGATGCCTCAGATAAATGGGTGGTCCTTGCTATTGATATGATGTTCGCTCGCGGAAAAAGTTTGCCGGGGCCAAGCGAGAAGAGAGGATCATTTTAACCTTCAAGGTTTGCTCGATCCGGAATATGGTTGAATGGAGCTTTGATGTTCTGCTGAGTGAGCAGTGAGATGTTTCTTATCTTGAGAAATTGAACGTTGAAAGTTGGTACCAACCAGCCGTGGATATGATGTTTATTGTCAGATTCTTCGAAGCATCTCATTTGACTTCTCAAGGTGAAACATGAAACAGCCACAGCCAGACTCTAAATAGTCGCTTCAATTCTGGGCTTGTTTCGAAACTCTTCTCCAATGAACCTTCATTTTGGTCCTCAAGTCAAAATTGAGGATCTTGGGTAAAGTTTCCACTCGCGTTGTCCCACTCTTGGAATTGTCGCGTTGTTGGATAGGAGGTCGAGGTCGTTGTCGCGAAATGGACTCGGCGCACGGATACCTCATTTCGAAGCGGATACCTTAATCTCCATTAAGGCTGCGCTTATATTCAAGGGGACACCACCAATCAGACATGCAGTTTCAGACCGTCTTCGAATGGTGATTCGCGTGGCGATAAGTGTGGCACAGTCTGCCGCCGATCAGACTCGCATGAACATCACCCGTCTAGACTAGAAGAGGACAAGTGGTAATTGAACCTCAGGGACTGGAAGAGCCTTAGTAGAAAAAGATCCTAGTCGCAGGCCACTCCCGAGATTCCAGCCACCAGTTCGTGGCTGCTTTTCCCTGTTTCTATCACATCCCGACGATAGTCACTCTCTCTCAAATTCTTTTCATCACTCCCACCTCTTCCAGGCTCTCCATCTGCCGTCTCACCCGTGTAGTAGGCCTGCGTCTGACTTCATCCCAAGAACGGACAGCAGCAGCAGCAGGGCTATGCTTGGGGGCGGCATTGTCCCTCACAGTGCGGCCAAAAGGAAAATCAAACAAAAAGTCAGCGATCATGATGTCGTGCCATCCATGCAAATCCCAATGGTGAGGATCAGGAGGACGACAGAGCCGACAGCGAACGGCGACCAATGAAGGACGTCCTCTGCGAAACACCGGAGCCGTCAAGATGCTATTCGCAGCGAGCATTGCCAGCATTGCGGAGGCTTGGCTTGGTTTGGCTGGTCGTCGTCCATCATGCCCTCGAGAGTCAAGCCAACGTCATGCTCGCACTGCGCTCGAATCATGCACGATACACAATACGTGAAAGCACTAGACAGCGAGTCTGGAACTCTGCCAGTTGATTGGCTTGCGGGCGCGGTGAAGCATGTCTTAGCTCTATTTAAAAGCCGGATGTTTGAGAGTTTACTCGTTAGGTCGTCGAGGTTCAGGTTCAGCTCTGTCTCTCATCATCCACGATATGCGTGCGCCACACTCCACTCTTACTGCATTCGGCAACATGCCGTGTGAAAGGGACCAAAGGGAAAGCACGCTCTATTGATTTTCGCCAGCCGCATGCCGTAATTGCACTTTGCAGCACAGAAGAGAAGAGAAGAGACCCTTCGTCCCTTTCCGTCCCGATGATTGACTAATTAACAACGCTTGGACGCCGTCCAGAACGGTGGGTTGTGGGTGCATCAAATACTTCCATATTCCTTCTTTTCCCTCGAGTCCCATGTCTATGTCCATGTTCATTCAATCTGCACTGCACCACCACTGTTCACGTTCAGACCAAAATATCGCGTTCCTTCCTCTCGCCTTCCTGGTCTCTTTTAAGTTCTCCGCCATCAACAAACTTAAAACTCGCACTACCCGTTAGACGGCCGTTCCTGTTCCTGAATCCACGAACATCAATTAGTGGCATCTACCAACCATAGCTCGGTCTTTTCCAGATCCACCTGCCACTCAATTTCCCTGTCCTGTGTCTCTCTCCACAGCAGCAAATCCCATACAAAATACCTCAAGTCCTCACACATCTACCCCGCCATAGAAATTTGTCTCTCGCCGCCTCCGTCTGTCTATCTGCTCGCTGATCAAACCTTCATCACCGTCTCGACTATTCCAATGCCAACGAAACAGACCCGTCCAACAATGCAACGGAATCCTCATTCAAATTAAACTCCATCCTCAAACACCAACACGTGCTTGGCATCCTTCGACATTGGTTCTCTGTAAGCGCTCAATTTGGAAACGCAGCCAATATCCTCACTACGGCGCTTCCGAGTCAAATCCGCGCAGCCTCACTGGTTCAAGGAACAACAACTGCCAGATTCCACGGCCCTTCCTTCGACCCAACTTCAAACATCAGGCCTATCTAAAACATAACTTGACATTCGCCGCAAGGGATTATTTTCGTCTCTCACCTCTCACCTCTCAATCCGATATCGAGAGTTCAAGACAATCTTCGGTTACTTGAGCATGCGGCTTGCCGGGACTACAAGACCGTGACGACAACCCGCACCGCAATCAACCGACAGACAGGAGCTCCGTTACCGTCGCCGTATCTTTCTTTCAACGATCGACTTGGTTATTCTAGTACTTTTTGCTTGGGCTGGTCCTGAGTTTCGCCTTCGCCAGAATGGATACCGCCTTAATAACTTTCATGATGTACGTTCATGTTTTGATTCTCCCCAGTCAGTCTGATGTTTGGAACTTTCCTTCCCACCCAATGCTGGGGTTGTTTCTTGCGATGTTTGTCCAATTGGATGCGACCGCTGTGGGACCTGCCTGGTACAATGGTACAATGTCAAGGAATGAATATGTGTCGGGGTGCTGCAGCGCAGTTTGAGGGCCAAGCTGGACCTCCCCTCCACCGCTGATGTCTTCTTGAATTGTCTGTTGTACAGCATTTGCGGAACTTTGGTGTCTCAAATCAGACGGGTAGCAGCGTGGGGTGGTGTCGTGCAAGCCGTTGGAGATCATGCGAACTGTTATACTTGTGCTTGTGCGCCTGTCAATCAAGGCATTGACATCGGTATTCCGAAGAGTACTTGCTCCGTCTGCTCATTGATGACTACTCAAGTTGAATCGAGCGGAAGAACTATTTCCAAGGCTTGGGCGTCGCAGCATGTTTCTTGCAGAGAGGCTCATCTGGCTGCGGTTGTGGACGAAACATCCATATATATAGCAGACCATGTTAAGATGGAAGCTTGATGAAGTCCGTCCGTCCGATATTATGGGGGCGGGGAAAACAATGTTTCATATTTATCTGCCACCAGCATTGCAATTTACGAGCGAAATCTCCCCACGAAATACTGGGCCCTAACCAGATACGCGACCCATGTTTCACTTAGCTGACGATTTTGCAGTCAAACCTCCCCATCCACACAGTCGGTTCATTTAATCGGATCATGGGACAATTTCTCCAAACATTATCCGATGGAGCGAGATATCAGACGAGCGCGGGGCCAATGGCGTGGATGTTATGCATTCGAGGATATCATATGCGATGGTGACGGGGGTAGCAGTCCCAAACGAACAGGTGGTTTGAAGATGGGATCCACTTATTATTACTACGTATTTGACTCCATATCTGAAACTATAAACAATGGACGCTGATGTTTATATATAGTACGAGCTTGACGACGGCACAGAACATTACGACGCGACGATATCCTTTACTACTTCATGTCCATACCTTCCTGGACAACCAGTCAACCTACTTTACGTGCCAGTCGAAGTCCAACCTTTGCGCTATCGAAGCGCATCAATGAGCTCAATGGCCATCGGAGATATCAAAACGATGAACCCAGCCGACAAGTTCATGACCCCACGACAACCTCCTCCACTACCTGCCTTACCACGCCTGAACACCGCGACATCGGTTCTCACCAAGAAACGTTCAGCTCGCTCGTTGTCACCAAATGGCGACAAGTCCCCGTGGTCTCCAAGAACGTTCTTTGGCCTGTTGTCACCCCTACAACAGTCAGATAATCGTGGCCGGTCATCCTCTCTTAGCAAGATGTCACAATCTAGTGCGGATAGGAGTACACCAAGTCTCAAAGCCCGACCAGATGAGATGAGGAAGGTCAGGTCTGTACCTCAGACTAGAGACGCGTCCCCACATTCTTTCAAGTCAAAGTCCAGAGAAGCATCTCCTTTCCGACAGGCAGCTGTGCAGGAGCATCATTTTAGCGCCACGACCTTCAGCATTCCGGATGAGATCGCTGAGGAGGCCGAAGATGATGACAATTTTGCAAGTCATGTCAACCGCATTTCTATGAACGAGAAGGGCATCTTTACACCACTTGCGCCTCCCCCATCTCGCCAACGGTCACCTCCTGCTCGTGCCAGTACTGCAAAGGATACCGCAAAGCCGCTGCCACAATTACCGGAAGAGGATAACCTTATGCCATCTCCTCTCCGTCTTCGCACTGTCGCTTCTGCTGCGGAGCTTCCAAGATCACACTTCTCTACCTCAACCATCTCTACGAACTTCACATCACCTTCCGATAGTCAATTCAGCTTCAGCGAAGAAGAGCTCAATGATGAGGACCTTACTACAGACATGGGAAGTGGTGATGAATTTACGTATAGTCCTATATTAGCAGAGACTCCGCTTAGTGGTAGATTCAGTGGTTACAGTCTTCCTAAAGCAGAATATGCTTCCAAGCAGACACTCAGAAATCAGACACCCCTTTCGCCATTTCGAGAGCCAGCCAGCAGGACGACATTTGGTGGACCGTCTGCCACTTACACGTCTACCAGTGGAAATGAGCCAGAACATATGTCTGCTCTAGAACAATTATTGAGCGAGATGGGATATCTTGGAGATGTGATTGTTGGTAAATGAATGAACTCTCTGAAGGAAAGGTTGGTTGATGGGTCATGTAAGAATGAGTGTGCCATTTTAGCATTTGGCACTTGTACAGAGCTACAAATTGTTTTCATTTTGAGCGAAAGAATTTAGCATGGAGTTCGGAAAAGGAAAGGGAGAAATGGCCTCGGATCATGTCATGGTTGGCATTTGTAGGGCTACTAGCGACGCATTCTGGGGTGGGATCTTGTTCGTGTATGGATGGTAAGGAAAGGGATGAACGATACCCTTTGATTTGTTGTTGAGCTGGACTTGTACCTCCAAGACCAGATCCGAGAGCAAGCTTAGTCTTGCTGTGATGATAAAGTGGAGGATAGATGAGATTACGATCATACGATAGCAATTGAATCGAACTCTTGCTATGTACATACAACTCATTACTTTCCACTCCCGTGCTTCCTCAACCATTAAATCTCATAATCCATCACAACGCCAACCTCCCCTTCAAAACACAACAAACCAAACCACGAACTAACGTCTCAATGCACGAACAAGGATACGCGAAATGTACACGTACGAAAAATTTCTGTTTCTATCTCGATTCCCTTCCTGTCTCCGTAAACAAATCTCGGTATGGTATTCAGCCAGATGAATGTTTACGGAGTCAAGAACAGGGACGGGTTGGGTAATTTGATGGGTGGTTGGGGTATGGGGGCTGGGAGTTTAGAGTTTGGGAGGGTGAGGCTGGGGGGAGATGGAGGCTGATGTGTGGGAGATGTGTTTAGGCGGGGTGCCGAGTTCGTGGGTTTGAGAGGAGTGGTGAGGGTGGAGGAAGAGAGAAAGAGTAGGTTGAAGGATTGAATGGAGGATAGGGAGAGATAAAAGGGAAGGGGAGAAGAAGAGCTAAGAGATAGAAAATTTTTATCTTTACACATAGAAGAAGAAATATGGTTTTGGGGCTTCAAACAAGTAACAACGAAATTCCAAGGTATGGAAGCACTCGATCTTGCGGTCTTGTCATTGTGAATTTCCGACAGCTTTTCAGGATCGTACTACGTTTCGGACAATTTTGTAAAATTCTAATGTTTGTGAACCTTACTTCATAGTCGTCTGAATGTCGTGGCCGTTGATGGACATCCCGTTTTCCTCGCTAGGCACTTGGTAATAACAAGACGTGGCCAGAAGAAGCAAATCCTAGCCCCATAACCTTCCAGAAGATCAGTCTCTTTTATTGTCTAGTCTTCTTATATATCTGCATAGTGTTCACAAGGTCAAAAGTTTCTGGCTCGGTTTCATTGAACCCACACGTGATGAATAATCACCCCTGAGCAACTTCCTCGGTTACGGACAAGCGTCAACCGATCCCTAGGTCTGATTCGAGCGCTAAATTTCTCCACACATGACCATGCGCGCGGTCATCAGATCCGACATCTCATGAAAGCCGTTCTTGCCATTTTGTGGGGAAAGCTCAAATGGACATCTTCCCTACCTGCGTGCGGGATGCAAACCTCGCCCAGAGACGACGGATGGAAGTGGCAGAACTTTGTTCCACCACTACCTACGTATTAGCCGGCTGCTGTTCATACTCAGTTGCACATGGGTATGCTTTCCACCGCTCGGTCGAGTAAGAATATTGACTGATGGGACTTTTACAGAGAGAACCAGCCCAGAAGGGAGTTTTGGCCAGGATGCTTCGGATCCAGCTGGTCGGTTCCAGTGTTTGGAATGTCGGCAAACTTTTGGGAGGGCGGAGCATCTTACTCGACATTCGCGAAGTCATACGAAGGAGAGATATCTCAAGTGCAGTGTTTGTAGGAAAGGTTTCTACCGCACGTCAGTACTCTCATTTGCTAGTGTAAAATTTGGGATATAAAATAGTCCCAAAGTCTGTGGGGTAATATCAGTGTGTCGAGTACCAAGTGGATACAAATATTTGAGGGTCTGGTATTTATTGATTGATACAAACAAGACACCCCTTTCATTTCCAAAGATGCCATTTTCTGAAGATTTTCTGCGATATTCTTGCTCAGTTGTACCTCACGTGATGGAGATGCTCTGACTGATTTCCCCGCATTTAGAGATGCTTTGAGGCGGCACGAACTTACTCATAAAGAGCCAAGACGAAGCGCTCTTGCGAGGGGCGGCCGTGCTTGTATAACATGTGCTGCTGCTAGAAGAAAATGCAGTGGCGAGACTCCATGTTCTGGCTGCCAGAAACGGGCGCTTGAATGCAGATATCCGGACAGGGCGAAGAGAGCCACTTCGGATCATTCTTCACCCACAAATGGTGACATTAGACCACCTGATACGACGACTGCAACACGATTACAGACCACGGAGCACCCAATGGCAAACTCAGGTACGCTGAAATGTCCCTTGTTCCGAAGGAAGATTTAGGAATTGAGTTCTCGGAACTCCTGTACTTTTCTATATTCTTATTCGAATACGTATTAATTCAACGATGCAGACTCGCCTATGTCCTGGTCTCATACTTCAGACTCTCCCCAGATGAGCGGTCATGAGCATGTTCAGGATCAATCTACCATGGATAATCAGATTCGAAGCTCCCCAACGTTCACTACCACTTCGTACGACAATCCATTCGCCAACCAAGGCCCTACACAATCCGAGGTAAATAGAAGCCAAGATCCAGTGGCTATACAATCTCTCCTTCAGGAGACACAACAAGCTCAATCATTAGCGTCCCAAGGGAACATGAATATTGATTCAGTCAACACCTCGACACCTTGGTTTCAGAACAACTTTTCTTCCATCAACTGGCTTCCAGAAAATTGGACGCCAGATTTTCGGATAGAGGAGAACCAACCAGGGAGCTTTCATCAAGATACTCTGACGTTCGGCCCCAATGTTCCTCCTTCCCCGGGTATGTCGAGGTTTGCAGTTGCTCCTGAACACATTGATGTGGGGCCGCCAGCCTCAATACGCCGCAAGGATTATGTGGGTGCGCAAGAGCTTTCAAGTCCAGGCTCACAAAGCACGCACAGTGGTGGTCATTTTTATATCGATGGAGACGGTGCACGGCTTCCTCGTGTCAGGAAAGCACCTTATCGACACTCGGACTCATATAGCCATAACTTTCTTCACGATCACCAGAATCTGTATCCGACGTTTACTTTTCCAGAAACAGATGATTACCACCAAGACGGTACGGGCACCTCGACTGTCAACACCATACCGCCGAATGTGTACAGCGAGATTTGTAGGATATTCAACCTCACCTGCATATCATCCAATCATTATCCAAATTTCCAAGGAGGGTCCTCTTTCCCATCCCCCCAAACGCTCAGCAGATTTGTTCATCACTATACTCAGAATTTCCTATCTATTCTACCATTCACACACTCATCAACATTCGATCTTTCAACAGCTCATTGGCTGCTCATCTTAGCTATGGCAACGATCGGTAGTCATTACAGTGAAAATCCAGGCGCTGAGATAGTCACCGTCGCTTTGCACGAATTCTTGAGGCGAGCAATCTTGACAGTGGTAAGATCGAAATCGGTTCCTCGAATTTTAGCTCACATGCTTTAGGTTGAGATAGGAGGTAATTCAAAGCCGGAGTTGCTGGTATTGACGCAGATAAAGCTATTGAGTTGCGTTGGAATGATTTATAGTGGAAACGAGCGTCTGAAGGCTTTAGCGAGAGGCACCCAAAGTGACCTCATATCATTTTGTGAAAGGGATTGGAAGCGATTATCTGAATGCCCTCAGCTTTCATCAGAAAATCAAGATCAGATTGGTCAAGACTGGAAGGTATGGTGCCAAGCAGAGAGCAGTAGGCGGACGGGATACTGCATTTGGGTAAGCTGTCTCTGCCATTCGTTGGGAATCAAAGATGGCTAATTGTGATCAGCTTTTGGACTGCATGTGGACCTTCCATTTTCAAAGCCGCTCTCTCTTGTCACTCGAGGACGCCAAGATACCCATACCCTGCCAAGAAGTTCTCTGGGAAGCAAACTCGGCTCTAGACTGGCAGCAACTCTATTCTTGTGCGACTCGTAAGTAATTTGTTTTGATGGTCTCAACACTCACTAAAAGCCACTAGCGAGTCCCTCTCTTCACTCGGCTATTCAGCTTGCGTATATAGAAAAAAGGATACAATCATCTACAGGAGAATTCAGTCGCATTCTCTGCATCCATGCCCTTTTCAGACGAACCTGGGAAGTGGAAAGTTATTTCAAGCAGCCTCTCACTCAATGGACCCCAACAGCCGAGAAGCAAAATATCAGCACCCTCGAGCGCTCTATACCAGTATGGTTACCAGGAATCTCAACCTATGCAAAGTGGCGCAATTCAGCTTGCGACTGTCTTGACATCCTCCACTGGCACGCAAACAGCGTGATTGGAGCCGCCTCAGGGATGGAACATCCCACCGTTCTTCATCTTCACCTTGCCCGTGTTATTCTTTTGACTCCATACCGCCAAATTCTCCAGCTCGCACAGCTCATGACATCCGAGCTCCAGCCCAGCGACGAACTTGATATCACGAGCTTACGAAAATATATACAGCGCTGGGCTCTGGAAGATCAACATAAAGCCCGTCTTGCCATGATACACGCAGGTGTTCTCTTCTGGCACGTTCGACGGTACTCTACCGACGCCTTCTACGAGCCTTCTTCCGTCCTCTTAGCCACGCTCGTGCTGTGGGCCTACGGATCTTTCGCCCTGCCGACTTCGGGCGTCAGTGCTCAGAGGGAAGGAGAGTCTCCACAGGCAGATGACGATGATGCCGAATCTCTGTTTCCAACTTCGATGCAACTTGATCGTCCAGCGGATGATGAGCTAGTGCAGCTTTTCGTGAAGAGAGGCGCGGGTATGAAGGCTAATATTACTGGTGTGGGCAATCTCTGCTCTGTGAAGGGTCCTGTAAGGGTTTTGGTAGAGGGGAGAAATCTGCTGGCGGGGCTTAAGACTTGGGGGTATAGTCGGCAGGCTATTAGGACACTGAGTGCGCTTATCGAGGTACTGAGACCAGACGGGGCTACTTGATTTGAGACAATGACCAAAAGCTCGGAATATAAAGTTGACCTCAGCCTCGCATGAAAATTTCAACTCATTTGAGTGATTCAAGTGAGGTAAGAAGGCACTGGGGGCAGCAACATTGTCCCGACCGGTTCTGAGAAGGATTGGAAACAAAACTCGTCTCTTCTGACCAGAACATGGAGCCAAAGGTACACATCATTTTGGTTCTTCATTTTCGCTTATGTTACAGATCCAGTCCACCACTTTTCAGTAAACTTCTTCGTCGTTTCATAACCCCCAGCTTAACCGACATAGAACTCAAATGCATACGCAGTCACAGTGTCCGTCTGGTAGATAGGAAACGTAACAGAATTCCCACTGAAAGTGTGAGAGTACCAGCCAAGATCAGTAGGCGCATCAACCTCTCCAAAGTGTCCGCCCGCTCCAGGGAATCCCCAAGTATGGATATCAAGCGTTCCCGATGTTGCAAGGCCCACCGCAGAGATATTCTCGATTGTGATTGCCCAAGTCCCAGTTGTGCTCGGGCGAACGCCAGTCAGGACTCGAACTTTATCGGTGCCTACAGTAGCATAGGTGTCGATCAAGAGATCAGTTGACGGCTGTGAACCAACACGATGCCCGGTCATGTTTTGGTAGTAGTACTTGTAGACTTGGTAATCGCCATTTGGGTAGTACCCGCTTCCAAGCTCCGTATAATCGGTTGCGGCATTTGTCTTTGAGACCAGAGAGCCCATGAGATCGTGGAGCTCCCAGCCAGAAAGCCAATTGCCTCGGAGGCCATGAGCGTCGACTCTCTCGAGTTGAGAGATCCACCAAGCAGACCCGGCAGGGCATTCTTCCGTGTAGGTTGCATATTCGTCAATGTTCAATGGTTTGAGTGGCAGTGAGTATGTTTTCAGCATGTTGTAGAGAGCGCCGTAGGCACTTTGCATATCTCCTCCGCCGCCTTCCATATGCCAGACGTACTGATCTGGTACGCTGGCATTACTCTTGACGAAGCTCAGGTAATTAGTCCACCCTGACAATGATTAGCCTAGCTGATAGTTGTGAAATGAGACTTACAAATGTTGCTTGCATCAGGCTCGCCGGCAAATGCGGGACCGATTAAGAGAACATCTGGCCATTCTGATCTGTAGCACAAGATTAGAACAATGCTTCTTTCCGTGACAGTAGGGGCGACTTACCTCAAGCGGTGGTAAGTTCTACCCCACATCTGAATATATTGCGCTTGAGGAGCATTCCAAAAAGCGGTGAGATCTGGCTCATTCCAAATATCAATGGAGAGACCAGCAGTAGCACCATTTGCATTCATATCTGAGATGAACTGGGTAAGATATTCGTCCCAGAAAGTCCAGTCTCCCTATTGACAAATTAGCATACACTTTCGACAAAGCTAAAAGTAACCGAAGATTTCATCCGAGGAGCTAAAGCGCATCTCTTTGATGAACTTGCTCTCGAAAATGATCCCGAAGAGCTCGGCTCCCAGAATTAATTCAAGACAAGGCAGGATTTGACGTACATTGTCACCAGGGTAGGGTGCGGAGGAGTTTTGAGTCCCATCCGCACCCCATAGGTCATGAATGAGGAAAATGAAGTTGGCGTCATATTTGCGGGCTGTCTTGTAGTTGGACAAAGCAGACGCAAATCGAACCTCCCTTGATTAGCCCAGCGTCTAAGTAAGGGCCAGACCACCAACCTTGTATTCCGACAAGCCCCAGATCCAGCCTAGACCAGGCGATGGAACTTGAGCACCACCAGCTCTTGCATAGTTGAACCCTATATCGGTGTAGAAGTGGTCTGGAATTTCTGCAGCACAGAAGATGGTGTTAGAAGCAGATACAGTAGGATATTGCTTTCAAGTCAAGCTGTGTCCACTTGGACATTTCTCCGCGGCGGTGTTTAAACAGCCCTGGCCAGGGCTTGCAAGTGAAACGACCTGAACTTACGATTGGGTGTATCCGGTATACCATAGATAAAGCCGGATGCTAAATGTGCAGGCGTTCCGGTGTTGTTGGAAAGGTCAACCACGGATGTGACGGCGTCTCTTTGAACGAGGAGGGGTGTAGCAACAGCCACCGAGGCGGCGAAGCCAAGAGAAAGAAGTGAAAACATGATGAAAGAGTCTAGGAAGATCTCAACGTGGCCGTCTTGACTTCAAGCGACCATAACCACGCACTTTCCTAGCTTTATATCCTCTCACCGGAAGAATCATCGTCCTTGAGAAAGAGGAGAAGCAAGCCTGACCATTGCAAATATGGTATGCTCCTCCCCATCCAGCAGGTCGGCAGTGGAGAACCTGGAGAGCTTCCCCATGCCCCAGATCTGCCAAGCAAAGGGTCCGGCAGGGCGCATCGAAGCTCCAGCTGGAAAGCCGTCAGTAGAAGGAAAGGGATGGGGTCGCTAACCCACCGGAGCGGCAAGTCTTCCAAATGCAGCCTAGTAACCCTACAGTGCGAACTTCCACTACTGCAACCTTCTCCACATTTGGTCTTGACTCGAATATGCACCTCAATTGGAGCGCGAACATCTCCTTTGTGCCTCATGATCTCACGCGACTATTCATTGTGCTAGCAAGTTTCTCCGTTTGATGTGTTTACGTGTTGCTTTTGTTTCCTTACACGCCACTTGCCCTACAACACACCTTGCGAACCCCTATAGCACAATCCAGTGACAGGTGCCTGATTGACTCCATAATTTACTGCAGTGTTCGACCAGATACCCGCAGTCATCGAGTGTGAATCCCATCCACACGAACTTTCATCCAAACCATCATGGAACTGCCAACCACAGCGATGGAGGTTCACGTGGAGACCTCACAGGGCCTAGATCACAGCTGCAGTCAGCCACCACCTACTGCACAAAACACTGAAGTCAGGTTCGCCATGAGAGGAACGAGTATTCTATCATATTCATAACACTATCTCTTTTTACGAATACCCACGCGCATGTGGCCCTTGCCTCCACGATTATCTCGAAGCGCATACGGGATAAAATGTAGCTTGTCAGAAGTCATGCCTGTCTCCTGCTTGATGGCACTGAGTTCGATGTGTGGACTGAGTTCTGTGCCGACCTCAAGGATGGACGGGATAGTATTCACAGCCAAAGCGACATATGGTTCTCCCATCTCTTCTGCGGATACATTCGTCTCTTCGATAGTACTTGTTGGATCCAAGACAAGGCTTTTGAAATGGTCCGTGACCCACGGGTTGTCGATATCCTCCAAGCAATATATCAGAGGTCCGCGTGCAAGGGCTAAGATATCTTGATTCGTGTATGGATGAGGCGTAACAAATCGTGGCTTCAGGGGTACTTCCAGCACGAATGAGGAGTTTTTCTTCAGCCAGTCTGGCGGCAGAGTCAAGTAACCCTGCTCAAGCTTTTGATCAGGAGCATTTGGTACAAACTGCGATTCTCAATCAGAACGGCGCAAGGAAACAAAGAGACGAGACCTACCCGCCATTCATCTGCCCAGCTCGGGATTCGGAGTTTGATTGTGGATTTTATCTCAGAAGCATTTCGAAGAGCGAACTCAACTCTCCCTTCCCACGGCCAATTTGATTTCTGTTCTAATTCCACGACTTTGTTTCCAACGGGAATGGATAATTGAGCCGAAGAGTACATGTGGACATTGACCTGCAACGTGTCTGGCTCATCATTATTGAAAGTCCAGAGGTATCCGCCAATATATCCTAGAAGTCTAGTCACATTTGGTGGACCTATTAGCCCAAGGTCAGCTTTCGCTTCTCAGTTCGGAGTGTATCATAATTTGTCGAAGCTTAAGATATAGTGTGCGCTCTTAAACTCCGTCGTTCATAAGCAAGTGCAAGTAAATGAGACCTTACAGCAGGCACAAGTAAACCACTCAGCTCGCTTCGATAAGTCTGTGTCGGTGGATGCGAGCTGATTGACATAAGTAAATTGCTTCCCACTTGCTGACATTCCTGTCATTACTGCATTGTAGAAACAGAGCTCCATGATGTCGGCATATTTTCCGTTCAGATCCAACTATTGCTTAGTTAGCCTTCAGGTTTAAACTCCTCCAGCTATATGCATCACCTGAAGAAGTCTCTCAGCAAGCATCATGACACCAATTCCTGCACATGTCTCAGCGTAGCATCCTCCTTCGTCTGTGCTTGAGGGCAGAAAGTAATCGATCCCAAAGCCCTCCCATTGCTTCTGAGCTCCAATTCCACCTGTCAAGTACATTTTCTTGTCAACCATATTGGTCCACAGTCGCTCTACGGCCGTCCGTAGGTTTTCGCGCTTCGTATTTTCGACACGGAGAAGATCCGCGCAGGCTGTCAGCAAATACATGGCTCGTACCGAATGCCCCTCTATCGTTTGTTGGTCAACTATTGGCTCGTGTGCTTGCTGATACCTGCATATGTCAGACACAAATTCGGCAGTACAAGGACTCATTTGTGAGTTACCAATAGCTTCGAGGTTTTGGCATGTATACTGGTCTTTCATTTTCCTTGTCTCCCCTTGCTTCAGCCTCGACATCATAGTAATGTTGGCCGTCTTGACCCTTCGGATTACCGCGCTCTTCGATGAAATAGGTGGCAAGAGCTAAATGCTTTGGATCTTTCGTCTTCTCGTAGAGGCGAAGCAGAGCTAATTCAATTTCTGGATGACCTGGGTATCCATGTTTCTGGTCTGGAGCTGGTCCGAATGTACGACACAGCAAGTCAACGTATATGAGGATTGGCTCCATAAGGAAATCATTCTGGTAGTGATGGCTATGCGCCAACGCTCCCTCAATCAAGTGCCCAGCATTGTACCTTGATTGGAAAGTTAGTTTGTCTATTTCCCACAATGGGATAGTTGACGGCCGACTTACAGCTCATGAAGATCTCGGAGATTTGAAAATCGCTTCTCTGGTTCAACGACCGTGAAGTGGATGTTCAGATATCCGTCTGGCTGCTGTGCAGCTCTGATCATATCAACCAACTCTTTTATGGCTGCTTCTATCTCTGGGTTTTCCTTCCATTGAAGAAAATAACAGGCCCCCTCGATCCATTTGGCAACGTCCGAGTCCCAGAATAAGTGATTTGGGATTGGTGGCACATCTGGGGCATCGCTGTATGACTGATGCCATTGCAACTTGAATGCATCATATCGACCAGTCGTCTTCAAAACATTCAATTGATACAGTAAAGTATTGGCATAGATGACTTCACGTCTTCGGCTGATGAAACTGGGTGAAGGGAGTGTAGTGTTGGTGAAGATATTTTGAGGATATGCCATGCTGGAAGTCACTCGCACAAGTGCTGATAATCCTGCTGCAGAAGAACAAAACTTTTTTTTGAGCAGGAATCTTGACAGCCTCGAATTAAAATGAGCCGAGGTCTGGTGATATCAATCGATTTGAGCAATCGCATCCGGTGCACAGTACCTTGCAGTCCCATCCTGTGGTGGCGAGAATCAAGAATGGGAGCATGCCTCCGGAGGACCTCCACCGGAGCTGTGGTATGCTGCAAATCTCTAGGGTTGCAGCGGCAATCCATTCCCGGGATTGGGTTCACCCCAGCGACTTTTACCCCACCATTCCACCACTCCACATAATTTGTTCCGCTCCACAACCCCACGCCCACCGGAGTCTGCTTCTAGACGACCATCAGTTCATCGCTGCACATGCTGCGGGGTCTCCAATAGTATATGACTGTTGACATGGAACGGATAAATTCGTTTCGTCAAGTTCAGTTTGTTTCTTCGTACTTTGCTTGAGTATCAAGTTGTTAACAATTCTGCACAATGGGTTTCTTCCAGAGATTTCTGCCTCCCAATGATCGCTATGCAGCTCTTATGCTCTATGGCATGGTCTTCAGTACCTGCTTTAATGGTTACGACGCTGGAATCATGACAGTAATTCTAGCGGATCCTCAATTCAGAGCCTACTACGCAGTCAATGCTACCAAGCAGGGTGTTATTGCGACTATTCCATGGGCCACAACCGGTAATTGTCTAAATCCGATTTTCGAAGATATACTTTTGTCAACGAAATGATACTTGCACTTTCCCATTGGAAATGTTCAGCTGTTACAGTGAGGAAGCTTGCTTCAGAATACTTATTCGATTGACTAGGGTTTGCTCAACTGATCGTCGGTGGTTCCCTCGCGAATTGGATTGGACGACTGTGGGCCTTGAGGATATCTATTGCCGTCATGATTGTTGGAGTGTAGGTCACTCACGAAGTCTCCCGAACTATTGTTTTAATTCGTGATAGTGTTATTCAGGTCGTACCCAATACTTATGGCGTCCTTATCTTAGGCCGTCTCACAGCGTAAGTAAGCCGCCAGACTTATTCAAATCATCATTAAAACTATATAGTGGTCTTGGCTTTGGTTGCGTATACATTGCTACCAGTTTATATGTTGCCGAATGCGCCCCAAGATCTTTACGAGGAAGCTTCGTCGGAACAGTGACACAATTCGGATACCAACTTGGAACATTTATCGCTTTTTGGGCTGGATATGGCATGTCTTTCCACAGCTCGCCGTACAACATCGCTTGGAGAGTATCCAACATCATTCAAATCCCGATTGGAATAACATTCGTCTGTATTTCGTTCTTCTACATTGAGTCTCCGAGATGGCTTTTGGAGAAGAACCCCGACTCGCCAGAATTATGTCTTGCTTCTCTTGCGAAGCTTAGATCGGGAACGATTAACGACGAGCATGTTCGGCTTGAATTCCATGAACTTGTCGCTTCTCACGAATACCGGAAGCGCTTCAACACAGGATATTGGGGAATCTTTTCAAGCGCGGGAATGAGAAAGAGACTTGCCTACGGCGTCTACGCTATGGCGTTGCAACAATTTGGTGGTATTGCTGCCCTGACCATGTACGCCGCGTTAATCTACGAATCCTTGGGATGGAACGCTGGTCACCAAGCACTCGCCATCAACGGTATACAAGCCGCACTACAGCTTGTTATCGTTCTTGTGAACACATTCACCGTTGATCGATTTGGCCGAAAGCCTCTCCTCATTGCAGGATTCACGATCCAGTCCTTGGCACTTCTCATATTATCCTCGCTTACCACAACCTACCCTGATAATACAAACCGAGCTGCTTGTGTTGCCGAAGTCGCTATGCTCTTCATTGTTGGTTTGACATATTGTTGGTCTAACGGTCCCATCACGCCTGCTATTGCTTCAGAGATCTTCCCTCAGGAAGTCCGTGATAAAGCCTTCGGTCTCTCCCTGCTTGGACAGACTGTTTGCCTTCTTGCTTTGACCCAGCCATGGCCGAGATTCAACCAAGAGGTTGGAGCTAAAAGCTACTGGCTCTTGTTCGGTCTCAATGTTGTTGCATTGGTAAGTCATAAATACTCTCACCATTCGGTACTTAGATGTGGAGCCGAAGCTAACATAGTTGGGAACAGATCTCCGTGATTTTTATTCTACCAGAGACCAAGGGAATCTCACTCGAGCGTATGGATAAATTGTTTGGTGAAGTTGATGCTGTTGCAGCGGGCGAGGAAAGTACTTCTGCTGAAAAGATTGAGGCTATAACGTACAGCGGTGGAGATGTCAAAACCGCCGTGACAGATCATGTTGAGGACCACTCTCAAGCCGCTGCAAGAAAGGACGAGCTTTGAACTAGCTTTGAGATCTAAGTATAGCAAACAGGAGCTATATCAGCATTTCGTAGTCAGATCAGGAGTATGAAATACCAAAGTATCAAATCAAATTGCAATATACCTATCTATGTCTTGGCTTGGTTGGAACGAACAGTGAATTCTAAAATCTCGTGCTATGAATATGAATATCAAGCACTTTTGACTCAAACAATTCAGTCCGGAGATATTAAAAGTTGGTATTTGCAGCTTAAAGCCACCTCTGTCCTCGCTAATTCCACGCATGCTACAACCCACTTGAGGCCGACGTCACCGAGCAGGAATCTTCACGTTTCTACTATTTCAGCCATGTCTGGCTTTAAAGATACCTTGAAAGGGGGTTGGCATCCGAAGGGTAAAGATGGCAAGTCCAAAGAATCATGGCGAGGCGACTTTAAAGGCATCGATCAAGTGGCAGGATGGATGGGCAAAAAGAAGAGTCCCGGTGAAGAGGCATCCGACCACATCTCACGACCACTACACACGCTGAAGGACCCTGCGGCTTTCGGACCACCTCCAAAGAACGTCAAGTATCATGGCGGTGCTGCTCTTCCGAATCAAACCACACCGGATACTGGTGGTTGGGGGGCACCCATTCCCAAGGAAGAATTAGAAGCGAAAGAGAGGGAAGAACAGGAAGCAGCAGAAAGAGAGGCTGAAGAGGCAGCGAAGCCAAAGCCTCCTCCGGTTCCCTATCGAGCAAATACCACAGGACTAACGACTTCTCATCTCCCTCCTCCGCCAGGTCGCAAAGATGGTGCAGATGGCAGAACGCCTGCTGCGGACAAACCAAAGCCTCCGGGCCTCCCTCCACGATTACCTCCAAGACAAAACTCGAATACCTTATCTTCTCCACCCCCATCATATAGTTCTGCAAACGAAACCGATGCACATAAAGGAATACTCAATCAGGGGGCGTTGAACAGACTGGGAGCTGCCGGGGTATCGGTACCAGGTTTTGGTATTGGAGCAGCCAAAACGAAGCCAACTCTTCCTCCTCCCAGTACGACATCTCCATCGCGAAGCCCAGCACCGAATGCTTCTCCAGTTCAGGCCTCACAACTCAATGAACTCCAATCCCGATTTTCACGCCTTTCGTCTTCGACAGCACCAAAACCAGAAACCCAGAGTGAGGGCACAACATGGGCCCAAAAGCAAGCCGCGCTTAAGACTGCGTCTTCCTTTAGGAACGATCCATCTTCAGTGTCATTCAGTGATGCTAGAGCTGCAGCCAGTACGGCTAACAACTTCCGAGAAAGACACGGAGAACAAGTGAAATCTGGGTGGCAATCCGCCAACAAACTAAACAACAAATATGGCATTGCGGATAAGGTGGGAGCTTATGGCGGGGTATCGAGTCCACAGACGCCAGAGCCGGATAATCATCAGATTGAAATGCATGACAATACGAATGATACTGTAGTGGCAGCCGTGGCTGGGAAAAAAAAGCCACCCCCTCCTCCTGCGAAGAGAACTGATTTGACGAATGGCGGCTCCTCGAGTCCAGCGCCTCCGCCTGTACCATTATCAAGCAAGCCGAAGCCTCAAGTAAGTGTACATTATCAATAAGCAATCTTCCTATGTGTTGGTACTTTAACTCGCTCACTGCCTGCTTGTGATGTGCCTTTTCATAGACTGTCCTTCCACGAAATTTCTATTCTAATGCTCCGAAGCATTATGAGCACTATGGAGTTTCTGTAGTGTAACCTCTATATTGCTCATGTCAGCTCCAGAGTGCCAAGCACCGCTGTTAATTGCAATACTAGCTTTCAGCAGTCCCTGGAATTTTCCAGGTGGAAGAGGACTGGAACGAAGACAGAATTTTATCATCAGTAATATGAACATTTTGGGCTCAAATTTGCTAATTCCTCAGCCAACTAGTTTCCATGAACCCAAAGACCTAGATCTAGACCTCCAATCACTATGGTTTGCACAAACACCAGCCAGATTCCCACCAAAAACAATTAAACCAAACGAGATAACATATGCCGCTACATCTGGCTGGTCATTTTCAGGAGTCCGGAAAACACATACATACTCGGTGCATATGCGGTTTTACAAAGATCTCTCAAGTACTAAAATACATTTGACATGGGATAGTAGCAATCCAGGTATGACTGTCAAAGCACAACAAAAGCACTTTCCTCCTCCTCGACCCCTCTCTCGGAGTGAACTAGATGGTTATCGGCAGCAGTATGTCTTTTCTAATTTTCTAAAGTCCACAGCTGACATCGATAGATATTCCGATTCACTAGCAAGCTGGTGTGAATCCAAGATGGGTCAACAAGTCGGAGATGGAGAGTGCTGGACGCTCGCTCATCACGGCCTGGAAGCAATAGGGGCAATGCCTTCACAGACTTTAATCCACGGTGCACTTGTATACTCTTGCCTCCCAGCACAATCATCGAATCCTCAGCCGCAAGGCAGCGTTCGTGATTCGGGAGTAGCGAGAGGTGATGTTATACAGATTCTCAAAGCCCACTTCCAACTCAAGAATGGAGGATCGGCATGGGCTGGGGATCCAGACCATACCGCGGTTATTACTGGCGTTGAGCCGAATGGCGTCTTGAAAGTTGTGGAGCAGAATGTTGGAGGTGTTAAGAGAGTGAAGACTGGGTCTTATGATATGTCTACGATGGTGACAGGAGAGCTGAGAATATACAGAACTGTCAGTGAGAGCTGGGTCGGAAAGCTGGATCCGAACTGGTGAATGTGCTTGATTGCATGGCAATAACACTGTATTTCATGGAGATAGTCAGTCTCGAATCCTTTGATATCGGAGATATTTCTCTCCTGACAGACATTCTATGCTCAATGATGTAGTGAATTGACATCTTGCCCTCAACGCCTCGCTATTCTGCTCTCAAAATACTCCTAAAACCGTTCTTCGCTGCCTATCATCCCATCAAATTAAGAGACCACGACCCCTCCCTGAACGTTCAAACCCAAAGAATGCTAGGCATTCCTCTAGTATCTGCGTACCAAGAAATCCATGATGTTCAAATGAGGCAATTGATGAAAGGGATGAGTGTATTTCATGCTTTCTGATTTATATGCTAAAGTGATGTTAATAGTAAATTCGTGGCCTTATCCTCCTTATTTGCTACATCAATCCAAACAGCAGAGTCCAATAACCAAGAATGAATGACTCTTGACGTGTTCATAGTAGGACTGCGCCCTTACTTCAGACAAGGGCACCGTACACACCTGAGTCAGGTATTGCATATGCACTGTGCCGTAAAGACAATCCACACGGTCTTAATTTTCGAAAGTCGAGGACTAGTCCGCAGATCATTCTTTCTGCCTAGCTTGCAGTGTACTCAGAAACCCGGTCTCTTGTGAACGTACTGAGATATTATAAGGCAGATACAAACAGCAGAGATTTTATCGAGGGACTGTGTCTCTAGGTCTCTGACAAGAACGAGTGATTGGCTAAGCTAGCTTTTTTGACTGCCCTCGACTCGAGCCGAGCGGACATCTCGAACATGTCTAGACCAAAAGGTTTTTTGTCACATATAGAACTCGCTCATGATCAAATAAGTGCTTAAGATAAAGACCAAGGATATAGTCATCGAAATTGTCCTGTCCAAGGCACCTCGACGATTGAGAAAACGGTAACCAAGAAGGATTGGAGATGCATAGTAATATCTAGAAAATTTTGAATTACCAAGTCTTTGAGGTTGAGCTGTGTTTAATGAGCGAAATAGAGTAAGACTTGGAATAAGTCATGCTGTCGAGGATGAGAGCGTCACATGTCAGAGCACACAATAGTTAGCGAGTAGAGGTAGAGATATAGATGGGCGAGCAGAAGCAAAACTATCAAAATCTTGCCGACAAGTATGATCTGTGAGGCGGACTGTTAGATGAATTGCAACAGCCATAAAATCAAGATGTATATGTCAAAATATAGTTCAAAGATACAAGCACAATCTAAGAGTGTGAACCGAGTTCACACGAGTGGAGTAAATACAGCTCGGCTAGTTTTACAATGGCAAAACCAGCACAAACGCCAACAGGATCGAAAAAAGAAATTGTTGAAGCTTTGCTTCAATGGAGATCATTCCGTCGACCCAGGGAAGATTCGAACTCCCAATCTCCAGAGACTTTCGTTGCCGAAATCTGGCGCCTTAACCATTAGGCCACTAGGCCTCAAATTTTGAGGATTGTGTGTCAAAAAAATTGCTTATTTAACATTATCAAAATGTGCACTTTTGAGGGGGCGAAAGAGCGGAATGAATCCGCTCAGTACTAGTTTCACATCAGAACTCTCTCTGAAGAAAGTATTATTGCGACTACTTTGGACTATACTAAGTCAAATACACTGTTAAACTATGTGAACCCTTCTTATGCTATTTAATGGTACAATTCTTTGCTTTTGATCTTTTTCCACATTTAGTGGACCTAGCGATTGTCCCACAAGCTATCAGACAAGCGAGGTCGGACATTGTCCAGGAGCAAGCTCTAAATTTCTTGCGATTGAGCTTCACCCCCCTTCACCGCTCAACACCTCTGGGTAACGAGTCCAAAAACTCGCCCCAGGTAGGAGTCAAGTTACTCTTCAATTTGTCTCACGCCTCTCTTCCAATTCGGTCCTCCCCAATTCAAATCGCAATGTCCGCATCAATACCTGGAAATCGAGAGCTCCCCGCCTCTCAATATGATCTCAGCACATATTGGGGACGAGTGATGCACTCCGCAAATATTTCAGATCCTAGGTGAGGAGGGTATTTTATTAGTCTCAGTAAAAAGGTGTTTGGAGTCAAGCAATTGCTGTGTAGCACAAGTGCTGAATGTTGTACAGGACATTACTCGTGAATGCAGCTGGATTGGAACATGCGAAGAGTCTGGTGGCAGGATATAAGCAGGGGAAGATCGCAGAAATGAATGATGAGCTATGGAAAGCGAAGAAGGTGGTCGATTCGACATTACACCCGGGTAGGTGCTGCAGGGCTGCATAAAGGCATACGAACTAATGCTGCCAGATACCGGCGATCCAGTGTTTCTACCATTCCGAATGTCCTGTTTTGTGATTTCGAATTTGGTCGTTACTGCGGGAATGCTGACACCTGGACTCGGAGTAAGTCCTTCTATATCACTATTTTGTAATTACTGATGGTGGCAGACGACGGGCACACTCCTCTGGCAAATCACCAATCAATCCCTCAATGTTGCGATCAACAACGCCAATGCCAACAAATCTACCCCTCTATCCATTTCGAAAATCACACAATCATACTTCCTCGCAGTGGGTGCATCATGTTCGGTAGCATTGGGACTGAATGCTCTCGTACCTCGATTAAAGCGAGTCAGTCCAGCCACAAAGACAATCTTGACAAGATTGGTTCCGTTTGCGGCGGTTGCAAGTGCTGGAGCTCTCAATGTCTTCCTCATGCGCGGAGAGGAAATTAGACAAGGCATTGAGGTGTACCCAGTTCTTTCGGAGGCAGATAAAGCCAAGTTGGCAGCGGAAGGCAAATCAGAATCCTCAGTACCATCCCTCGGCAAGAGTAAGAAAGCTGCCACTCTCGCAGTATCGGAGACTGCTCTTAGCAGAGTATTGAATAGCTCCCCAATTATGGTAATTCCGCCATTGATTCTGGTCCGACTTCAGAAGCAGGACTGGCTCAAGAAGAACCCAAGACTTACTACGCCTGTCAATCTGGGCCTCATTCTCACCACCAGTCTGTTCGCTCTTCCATTGGCTCTTGCAGCATTTCCACAAAGACAGAGTGTTGATGCTTCCAGCCTTGAAAAGGAGTTTTGGGATAAAGGCGGAGAGAACGGGAAGGTTGTATTCAATAGAGGTATATAACCGGAGTCCGGAAACTATACCCAAGAATCAACTACTCTGAAGATGGCGATGGTAAGAATAGGTCAGCAATGACCTTCACTGCCCTCCATGAGCAGCTCATATACACGACGGAATCAGAACAGCATCTGTAAAACTACTTGCATTTTCGAAGCATGGCGTTTGCTGGCCGGAGTTTATTGCATACATACACAGATGGTAGAAGACAGGTTAAGACACATTTTTCGAAGGTCGATTGTTGCTTGTGCTGCCTTTGGTCTCACGATCGGATACATTCCAATACCTACAATTGTTCAGGCTTGGCTTGCTGGATATGCAAAATGCACACCCACTTGGGCTTCTTCCATTCTTTCTGAAGTGAATGATGCTACTTGTACCAGATCATTGAGCACCCCGGCCAATTTTCCGCCCCATACGCACTGGATGTCTGTACCTAAAGAGAGGCATGTACCTATGTACCAGACGCTTCACGTGCCAAACTTCACCCCTCATCCGGAAAATCACCATTCCAGGCGAAGATGATGCGACGAATGGGCGATCACACTTCTCGCACGTCCATATCAAGCTTTTCATAGAAACATTTGATTACCTTGGGGGTATGGAAATGTTTCTGAAGTGTGGAGAGAAAATAGGACCATTTTGTCTGTGAGACAGGCGGCGATCCTTTGCATCTCGTCTGTGAAATTGCCACCCTGAACGTGCGATCTTCCTAATGAGGGGTCGTGATAGAACGCGTACAGGACCCATGCTGCCACCTGGAATCGTGTAAACACTGCTCCCCATCTCCCCAACTGCTGATATCATGGCATGATATGTGCACAATGGGAATGGAGTCTTCCATGGTGGATTCAAACGCAAGGCGTGGAATATCTTGTCTTGGCGGTAACCTTGCTGCGGTGCTGAGGATTCAGACTTCACAGTAAGAATGGGGGACCAACGCCGGTTATATGAATCGAGTCGAATCACGAAAGGGAGCTGCTGCATGGCGGGAGCTCGGCTTTTTCGTTCCTGTCCAGCTGAGCTTACAACAAGGTAAGATTACTCGGGCACATTTTTACAGTGACCGTAGATTCCTGGCCCCTTCGAATGCGGGAGGTAATGAGAGTTTATGTCCGGTTCTGATATTTGATGTCAGCGGAGTGTGAGTGGATTGTGAGTGGATTGCCCGGTGAGGGGAAATGCTGCTGCGTAATTTGGTTGCTGCCCAGAGACGACGGACGACCAGAGACAAAAAAGCATTTCATTGATTGATTGATCGATCGATCACTCACGCCCACAAGCAGGAGATAACATCTTGTCGGCCAAAGGATTACCTGTTTGGTCAGACTCTCTTACAATACTGTAGGCCTCTGTCACTGCTTCAGCCTTGCTGCGATAAAAAACGGCCAAAGTCGTAGTGAGCAGTCAGAGTGAATAATTACCTAGATCGTTTAGACAGGGAGGTGATAACATTGACATACACCGTTGACATAAGCATGTCTGTCACGACGCTGGTGAATGAATTCTCCTTTCTATTCTACTTGTATTGAGACGTCCCAAGTCCAGTTACAGTTGCAGATGCAGTTGTCCAGGTCCATCACAACCAGTCTCCTCAACCGTTGAAAGTGCTGCAGCGTGCGGTGCGCAGTCTCGGTGGTGCACAGCACACTCAACTCACTGCACTTACATAGCAAAGCGGAGGTCTTGACCACGCTAGACCGTGGGAAGCCAAACACTCGCCATCCGAAGCGACAAGCCCAACTCGCAACTTCTTGAAAAGAATCTGCCTTCCAACGACGCTCCAGTATTCCTCTACGAACACATCTCGATGATAATTCTTGTACTGTAGTCTTCCAGATACACAGGCACCTCCATTTGCCACGGTTCGACCGCGAAATGTCCCGAGTCTGACGGGGAATCTCCATTGCTGCGACTTTTGCCCACACGCGCCGCCCTGCTACGACCCAGACAACCAGTCTTCAACCCTCACCGCGCAATTCACCCGATCTCGCCAGCAAAGTCGAACTTCAGGTCCGCAGAGTCTATGCTCTCGACCTGAACTCCTGATCAAGCCTCATCGGCCTTTTCACGAGCGCATTATCGGTTCGCCGTCGTCTGAGCCCACCTGGGTGCGAAACGGTACATTTCTCATCGTGCAATGTCGACACCGTCGACACTGCCGCCCCATCATCCGAACTACGGATACTCTCACCATCAGAACTATCAATCCAACAGTGGTTATAGAGCCAACAACACTCTCTTGAACGGCGGCAGCCGGTTGGGAGCGCCATATACCCTTCCGACTCCTTCGAGTAACGGCACCTCAGCGAACAGCGTCGCCGCTGCTGACCCCACACGAATAAGTCAAAACACTGCACATTCGTCGTCAAGACCGGAAACGAAACCAGCTGCTATGCCTGCCTCATCCTCCGTCTCCGTCCCCAAGCAGAATCCCAAGAAACGGCAACGATCTCGGGAGCGGGAGCCGGATTGGCATAAATTCTACAAGAATGGTCTGCCCAAGGAGGTCATCGTCATCGATGATTCCCCGACCCCTGAGCCATCAGCATCAGTCCTCTCAAATACGCAGAATGCCCGCTCTGTGAACGGTGGAGCCAGGCATGCTGCAAAGAGAAGGAAGGGCGATGACGTCGGATCAGTCTACGATCCTGTATACCATCTCGGTCCCTCCCATTCCAACAATCAGAGCCCTGAGTATAAGGATTCCTCTGGTTCTACCATCTCAACTGATCGGACAACTTCCGCTATACACACTACTGCCGCAACATCACTCGGCTCTCATTCGTCGAACGGACACAATGGCTACGAGGCTGTTGATGTTCAACCTGGTCAGAAGAGAAAGAGAACAGCGACTCGACTTCAAGTGGCTACGGAGGCCAAGAAGAGAGACTTGGAGACAAATGGGGATGCATTCACAAATTACAGACCACCTCCAAGACCACCTATCAAGGCGCCAGATGTCCAGGTGAAGCAGGTTGCTGATGTGAGTTCTCCTGGAGCCCGAATCAAAATTCTTACTGATGTGTGAAACAGAATTCCTACACCAAGAATAGCAAGGTTGACGACGACGATGGACACTACATTGTTGTGCCTGAATCTGATCTGACTGAAAGATGTGAGTGAATTTAATTCTCGTTCCAAATATTGACGCTGACAATGAACAGACCAAGTCACCAAACTCCTTGGACAAGGAACTTTCGGCAAGGTCGTCCAGGCCCGGGATCGGAAAAGAAATAAACAGGTTGCTATCAAAATTATCAGGTCTGTCCAGAAGTACCGCGATGCCTCCAGAATAGAACTACGAGTCTTGTCTACTCTAAAGGCAAATGACCACGAAAACCGGAATCGATGCATACATCTTCGAGACTGTTTCGATTATCGGGGTCACATCTGCATTGTCATGGATTTGCTCGGTCAGAGTGTTTTCGATTTTCTGAAGGGCAATGCTTTTGTTCCTTTCCCCAACAGTCAGATTCAGAGCTTTGCAAGACAACTCTTCACCAGTGTTGCATGTAAGTTTTACACCAAATTATATAAGTAGCGCTGAAGCTGAGATATTGCAGTCCTTCATGATCTGAACCTCATTCATACCGACTTGAAGCCGGAAAATATCCTCCTGTGTGATAGTGCGTATCAAGCATTCACGTACAGCCGTCGAATTCCGTCGTCATCGAGCACGGTCAACCGACAAGCTGCTCAACGAAAGGTCCTCCTCGACACTGAGATCCGATTAATTGACTTTGGATCTGCCACCTTCCAAGATGAGTATCATTCTTCGGTCGTTTCCACTCGACACTACAGAGCCCCAGAGATCATACTCGGTCTCGGCTGGTCCTTTCCGTGTGACATCTGGAGCATTGGTTGCATTCTTGTTGAGTTCTTCACCGGAGATGCCTTGTTCCAAACTCATGACAATCTCGAACACCTAGCTATGATGGAGGCTGTTGTCGGCAAAAGAGTGCCTATGCCTCTGGTACAACAAGTCAATGGTTTGGCCAAGAGAAGTGGTGGAAATCCCGCCGCAAAGTATGTTCACAAGATCGGAGGTGAATAACATATACTGACTTTTAATAGATTCTTCAAGCGACTGAAGCTTGATTACCCGCAGCAGGAGACGACTCGAGCTTCAAGACGCTTTGTGAAGGCTATGAAGCGTTTAGAGGTACGTTCCTAGTGCTACCTTCATCTCAATAAAGACTAATAGCATGAATAGGAGATTATTCCTGATAACAACAACAAGTTCTTGAACAACTTCCTGGACTTGCTCAAGAGGATCTTTGTGTATGACCCCGCGGACCGCATCACAGCCAAACAGGCACTTCAGCATCAATGGTTCAAAGAAGCCGCAACGCCGGATGATGGCACAGAGGCAACAAAAATCCGCTTACAGCGGCAACAAGCCAGCGAGGAAGCAGCTGCTCTTACCGCAATGGCTACTCAATCGAGACAAAATGGATATCGCCATTAAGTTTCCAATCTCGAATAATGCATGTCATGACGGCGCACACGGAAATGGGGGAGCGAAGGGCAATCTTTATACTTGGATCACAGAGTGTCGGTTCAATGCGTTGGGCGGTGATAATGTTGACTTAGCTGGATGTTCAGTCAAAACGTTGGCTTTAAAGCAGATTCTACACGTTGGGTGATCGACATTAGAGAGATCAGGCTCTTTCGCAATGGTGATGATCACCTAGCGATGGGTTTCATGACACACCATTTCATGTACAAACTTGCTCCTTAAATCAATAAATAGTCCTCTGGGCCGTTGATCTCCATGTTTACTTCTGCAGCCTCATCCTGCACATCTCGTCCTCGTGTACTTTTTGATAAGGATTCTGATAGCGGTGATGACTCATCTGGCGACCATAATTTTTAGGAGATATCAATATTTACTTGCTTGGACGTGCAGCTGTATTCGAGTGACTCTATGCATGAATTTCTCCCCAGAATAACGCGCTACTCCAAATCTCAGCTCATCCCACGGCTGAAGACATGCCTAAAATCTACAAAGGTGATTGAAAATACACCTGTCTGCAGACAGTTCCCGACAAAGCTGTCTTACATAGAGCTATCTTCATTCGATCGAGTCTTCCCAGGCCCATTGCTCTTTGGACGTCAATTGGCGAGCGAGGAATATTACATACCGTTCGAACCCAGGCGCAATAATAACATCAGCAGTGCACAAAAAAGCTACGTCTGGAGACAGACGGACGCTGGCATCAAAATGAAATGCTGGTTCCAGTTCTTAAGCACGCCTACCGCGGACACGCCTGGCACGACACTCCTCCTACATTTCGACAGCAAGAGATACCTCGTTGGAAATGTTGCAGAAGGGACACAACGTGCTGCTGTGCAGAGGAAGCTGGGCTTGGTCAAGGTTTGCGATATCTTCCTGACCGGGACGACGAACTGGGCAAATACTGGAGGCTTGATGGGAATGATTCTCACACTGGCGGACTCGGTCACGGCTGCGTTCGAGGGCAAAGTAGAGAAGCTCAAGCAATCGGAAAAGAAGCAGGGGAAGGAAGCTGCTACAATTGAAAAGCCTTGGCTGAACATACATGGTGGAGAGAATTTGACGCATACAATTGCTACAGCTCGACGATTCATCTTTCGGAAGGGCAGGCCACTGTATACGAATGAGTTCAGATCCAGGGACCCATTACCAGAGGACTGGGAACCTACTTGGAAAGACGAGTTGATCAAGGTCTGGGCTATGGTCATAGATCCCGAGACTCGAAGTCCGAGGAAGAGAAGTCATGACGAGTTCACGGAAGACGTACCGTTGGTTTCTACAGATGGAGAGCAAGAATCCAAAGAGGATCTTGAGGATCGAAATGACCAAATCCGCAAAGCAGTTGTGTCACAGATGTTTGACTCGGATTGGCGCTTGGATGCATTAGTCAAGATGAAGCTCTCGGAGGTGAAGAAACCAGCAGGAATTTTCCGAAGAAATGAGCAAGGCAAGATTGAGAAATACATTGGTCCAACAGTGGATGAGGACCCTTCTGTTGCGAACATCGATGTTCTGGTGCGGAACCCTTGGCCTGCGGCCATGATCGACGATCTTCCGCCTGCTCGGCCATGCTCGAGCTCAGTCTGCTATATCATCAAGACCTATCCCCAACGGGGTAAATTTAATGTTGCAGCCGCTAAGGCCGCCGGTATCAAGCCAGGGATCGACTTCAGAAGGTTGACAGAAGGTGAAAGTATCACTACAGCTGACGGCAATATTGTGACCCCTGATATGGTCTTGGCTCCGACCAAGGAAGGTGGTGGCTTTGCCATCGTTGACCTGCCAAATGAATCCTATATTGCACCACTACTTGCTCGAGGCGAATGGTCTTCTGAAAAGGTTATGGCTGGTCTTGAAGCAGTAATATGGATTTTAGCTCCAGGTCTCGTGGAAGACCCAAGACTGCAGAAATTCATGACAGAGCATAACCATCTTAAGCACGTTGTTTCTTCAACAGATTGTTGCTCAAACTACCTCGCTCTAGAATCTGCTGCTTCAGCTGCTATCCGCTTGCATATGTTCGATTCTGAACGTTTCCCAACCCCAAAATTCAGCAATGAGATTAAGCCTAAGAAAGACGACAGTCCGCGTCCATATTTGAAGGCAAGAGCGGGTCTCACATTTCAGCTCCAGCCAAAGACTGAGCTTAAGGAGGACACCATTATTCCCTACCTTGACACCGCTACGGTCGTCCGGGACTTCAAAACAGAGTCAAAAGATGTTGTTGACCTAGCAGATGCTGCTCGAGAGCAAATCGCTAGCCCAGAATATCAAGCCCAACTTTCAGAGAACCAAGCAGATATACCGAGCAAGGACGCCGAGGTTATTACTCTAGGAACTGGATCTGCATTGCCGTCGAAGTATCGAAATGTTTCGGCGACGTTGTTACGAGTTCCTGGCTACGGGAGCTACCTATTAGATGCCGGAGAGAATACCCTGGGTCAGCTGAAAAGAGTCTTGGGAGACGAATTGCCTGCCGTGCTGCGTGATTTGAAGGCCATTTGGATCAGCCATCTCCACGCTGACCACCACCTTGGCACTACTTCGGTTATCAGGGCGTGGGCTGAAGCAACCAAGTGTGATGAAGCGACAAAAGACAACAAACTTCTTATGGCTTCTCATAGAGACATGCATAGATGGCTCGCGGAGTATGCACAAGTTGAGGACTTCGGTCACAATAGAACGGTACCCGTACACATGAGATATTCGGACGCTGACTACTACAACTTGTCTGCAGAGGATACGGAGAAATATGGCTTGACTTCAATCGCTGCATGTGGCGTGGAGCACTGTTTTGGAGCTTTGGCTGTTGCCTTCACCTTCCCTAACGGTTTCAAGGTTGCCTACTCTGGAGACTGCAGGCCATCGCACAAATTCGTCAAGATTGGTAGAGATGCCACATTGTTGATCCACGAAGCTACTTTCGACGACGAGCTTCAAGGCGACGCTATGGCCAAGAAACACTCGACTACTTCTGAAGCCTTGGATGTTGGTCGAAGAATGGGTGCAAGACGGATACTGCTTACTCACTTCTCTCAACGGTATCAGAAGATCCCCATTATGGATAGTCACGGCGGGAAGGATCAAGTGGCTATTGTTGCTTTTGATTACATGCGTTGCAAGATTGAGGACTTTGTCAAGTTGGAGGCCTTCAAGCCTGCTTTGATGAAGCTCTATGAAGACAAGGAAGATTAGAGCTTTCCATACCCTGTTTCTCTGCTCTTGAATACTGCATGGGTGGCGTTGGTGGACATCTTGAGGATACAAGGCGCATGAAACTGAGGGGTTGAGCAAATTCAATGCATAGCGAACACAGAAAAGCGAATCTTGTATAAATAGCATTGTAATCACCACCAGAATCTAAAAGACCATGAATCTGATTCTGCAGATTTACCACCCATCTTGACGAGTCTGTCGAGAAGCCCGACGGCCAGCGAAGTCGCTCCATACTGTTTCCCTATTTTCAGATCGCTTCGGTATTGGCGGCGCATCAAGCTCTTCCTCATCGTTCCCTTGCCAGTTTTGAAGATTTCCTTCCGCAGCGGACTCTTCTTCTGCTTGTCTACGCATCATTTCCGTGTATGCTCTCGCTTGCTCCACATTAGCATGTTTAAGATGGCCAGTGGCCATCGATCTCGCATCTCCTGGTCGTCGGCCGTAGATGTCCCTGCTGTATTCACTCGCTGTGTACGCTGGCGCTTGGTGAGGTCTCAAGGGTGGAACTGCCGCGGAGGATCGGCTCATTCGAGCGCTACTCAAGCTGTCCATGTATGTTGAACGATTCTGTGGTCTTTCTGGTCTGGGAGGGAGATCATCAAATCGCCGCAAGTTCTCGGCTGACAGACGGTCAGGATGGATGGTAGTAATGCTCGCGTACGACGTGGACATTGATGGTGGTGGTCTGGGTGTTGATGGTCGAGCTGTGCTGGAGGTCCCGGTACGGAGAGGCGGTATTGACTTTCCGAACGCTGTGTGGATATCGTCATGAGCTGCAGGGCGTCGAAGAGCCGTTGCGGATGATCGTATGCTATAAGCATAGTGGCCAATGATATCTCCTTCGGGATCATCATCTTCATCATCATCCTCCCACGTATTATCTGGCAACTCGAACTTCTCAGAACCGCCTTCAGCAACCAATGTCTGTTCCTCGCTTATCGCTCCGGAAAATAAAGGAGAAGTAGGTTCGTCAAAAATCCCTTCCTGTTGGTTACGCTTCGTCTGCCGTCTCGCAAGCTGCATATCTCGTCGACAAGCTCTGACTTCTCTTGCTAGAATATAGCTTTCTGCTGTAAGCTCTTGCCCAATTCCGGTCCACCGAATCCACGACTCCACCAGCCTCAACAGTCTTGGCTCCTTTCCTCTTTTCTTCTTGCGTCCCAGCATCGAAGATCGGAGATCACACAGCGTGTGGGGATTGCCTCCAACAGCAGCCAGGATGCAAGCCTCGCAATCACTAGGAACACGGAAGAAACGAGGCTCTTGCGGCATGACTTGATAGGTAACTCGGTACAAGTCGACAGACATCCAGAGACTGTTGAGCATCTGGAGTCTTTTCACATGTCGCTGGATCTCTGTGTCGATGAAGGGGTTCTCAAGGAGACGAGCTAGGCGAGTTGTGCATTCAGCTGAGATTTGGAGAAAGATTCTTCGGATGAGGTAGGGATTGAGATTCTTGTGAGACTTGCAGAGGGTGGCTTTATCGGGACTGGAGCTCATGGACATCCCAAGGCGGAGGAGCATATCTATGGGTTTCAGCAGCTGAGATGATAAGTCGGAGACTTTGGTCGACTGATCTTTTAGCCATGCCTCTGTTGGAAGTTTTCCAGGTGGTAGACTTAGAAGTTGTGTTAACTGCTCTATGTCTTTAGTTGGGAGCTTCTCGATGAGGTGGATAGATGGTGGTGCCATTCGGAAGGGAGTTTGGAACTTTAGTTCTCTTGGGAGTTGAATTTGAGTAAGTGGTGGTCGAGCGAATTGTTCACAATAAATGTGGTTATCTTGCTGAAAGTATATGTATCACTACATCTGTAAGAGGAGGGTCGTTTTGAAGAGACCCTTTGAGCATCCACGCTAAAAGTCTGACTCCCATGGAGCACTTCCGTTTCGTGAAAGTTCCACGCCGTGTGTGTGTCTTCTGGAATGTGATCCCATTGGGCGTCTGCTTCTGGAAGCAGTGTCTTCCTTTGTCTTTGTTGCAAGTGAAACGCATTCTTTCATACACAACATCATTGTGAAGTGAGAGTCTAAGTGGCTCTGTAACATCAAAAAGACAAAGAATAGTCTCGTGACCACATCCATCAATGTGCTATTGTTTGAAGCTGTTTCATTTTTGGCAGAAGCTTAGCGGAAGGTTACCTCATTAATATCTCGGTCTTAGGCCTTTATCTACTTGGGCTTCCAAGGGTAGTACTCTACTCGATCGAAAGGCGACTTGCCATTTGATGGTATCTGCATGTGTCGGTCTTCAGTGGCCTATTCCTATATCCTATGAGAATGAATCTGCAATGAAGCATTTTTTGTTGTAGTAGCATAATAACTTTCTGTCATGTCGAGGATTGGATCAATGCATGAATTTCTCAGAACCATCTTTTTACAAATTTCAAGAGTAAATGGAGTCAATTTTGATCTGATAGTCAGCCGAGGGTTCATTCATCATCTATTGCTTCCCCTCGCCCCCCTGGAAAGCTACTCAAGGAGTTTGGCAGGCAATTGAATCAAGTCGTATTCGTGTCGACACTCAGGGCACGTCCTCACTCCTGTATTCAGCCAATCTCTAATACACCGAAAGTGAAAACGATGGCGACACGGAAGCCTTCGCACATGATTCCCCTCCGCTCTAGAATCATAGTCTAGGCACACACCACAAAACCTTCCTTCTCCCAATTCAGATCTCTCCAAGAACACATCAGCTATATTCTTCCTCGGGAAATAGACAAACGTCTGATCTTTAAAAGGTACTTTCTGGAGAAGTCGCTCCTCTTCTCGTGCTTGTAGCCATTCCGATCTGAGCTTATCACCCCACATCGAAGCTTCCGTGCAAGTCAGGCGTTGTCCTTGCTGGAGATCAACTCGCGCCTTGTAGTCCTCTTGTCTTTGAACGAGGATGGGTATCGTGTATATGGTGGCCGTTGAGGAGAGTCGCGAAGGACCGCATGCTATACACAGTCTTCTGAGATATATGTAGTTGATCTGGCAGTTTATACAGCTCCGAGGTACGAACAAGCTCATGATATTTTTCAGTATGGGAATGGATGCGAAGTATGGTATGTGAGCTGTGCAACCGGGGCTATGGATGGTATTGGTGGTGACATGACCGCAACGGTGGTGAAAGCTTTTGTTGATAATGCAAGACATGCTGCTGGTGTTGCACAATGTTATTTTGGTGTGGAGAGCAGGGATAGCTCCGGACTGAAGAGAAATCGAGATGGCACACCCCGAACATCTGTTCTGGTTGTAAACCTCTTTCAAAGGAGTTTCATTGACCCCAAGCGTAAAGGAAGCTCACTCCCATGAAAGAAGCATGCGCTTAAGTTAGTCCTCATACAAAGGTTCCAGCATGTGCACCACCACAAAGAAGATTACAAACATTGCAGAGCAAATGACTAAGAGAATAACATTACCGAGTTTGGGAATTCCTGAGGCTCGTATGCAAAGCTACTGCCGTGACGCCATTGTTTTGCCACAAGCTGTAGAAATGTGATTAGAAAAAAGTGGTTTGGTGTAGGTGCTCTCCTCTTTCTAAAGAGCGCACTCATATACGCCCGGAATCACTCGATATGAATGTTCCTAACGCCGAAGCCACTATAGATACCGACCTTATTAGATTTACAGACAAGGTGATTAATAAGAAGTCAATTCTCGAACCTGACAATGCAGAGAACTTCCGAAGACCATGACCGACTAGCATGGGTGAGAAGCTTGGATCGAAACAATGGCTTTGTTGTGTTTGATCCTAGAGATAACTTATCTTATGACACTGTTTGTGACTTTATGGATACCATACCCAAGTCTTGAACAATCAAATTCCACAATGCCTTTCTCTATAGAAGAAAGAGCATAACGCGACAGGCTACGCTCCACATCCTTGAACACAAGAACAACGATGGTCTTCTTTCTACAGAAGTAGGCACATCCCGCATAACAATGCCATTTAGATCATTCAACTCAAACTTTCACAACAACCGCAACAAAGAAACCTTTCAACAACACAAGATGTCTTGCATAATCACTATTACATTCTGGCACCTTTGCGGCCACACCACCAGCAAGACGGAGCACGAAACAGGGACCGTATTAGGAGCGCAGTTCCGATGCCCAACTCTCAATAACCGAGGGGCCTCGTCTTTCCTCGGTTCCGTTCTGAACGCTATTTCTCGTCGTAGATGCAGATTGTCTAACACGGTCTACGACTACACCCATGACCAGTGCCCTGACCAGTGCCCGGCTTGCACCATTCTTCCCAACCGTTACATGGGCGGGGCGCTGGCCAGGCGAAGATTCCGATACAGGCAATTGCGAACTGAGCAAGTGCAGGTGGAGGCTCAAAGAGCAGCGGAGGTTAATGCAGATCGAGCGATGGAACCACTCGAACAAGCTAACTGGCTTGTAGACATGTTTCATGATATGTTTTATGCAGCCGACATCTGGCCTGAGGAATTAAGCGACGCAGATGTCAACAGACTCCACGCTCTGTATGCCGAGCAAGAAAGAGAGTTGTTGGATTTAGAGGAGATGCGCCGACGAGCAATCCGTGCCGAAGAAGAGATGGAACTGGTCAGGCTTCGTGCGGTCGAGGACTGGCTACGACTACAGGAAGTGTCCCGCGCAGAGCAGAAGGGTAGAGGTGTCCCTCTCAGACGACAATCTCTTGCTTACTACCCAAGACCTGGCCCAACTGATGATAGACTCCTAGCGAAGTCTGATCTCGACGAAGACGACATCTGCCCAGTCTGCCAAGAGCATCATGAGGTACGTGGAGACGGTTTAGACATACCCGATGAAGTGGATGACGTGAGGGAGCTGCCCTGCGGGCATAAGTTCCACTACTTCTGTATTACCGAGTGGCTCAATACAGGGTCAAATTCGTGTCCATACTGTCGTCACGGGTATTGGCTAGTCCGACCATTCATCTTGGGCCGGCTATTCTAAATCAGAAAGCAAAAGAAATAACAACAGACTCCTATAACATTAGAAGCAAACAGATTGGCAAACCCCAAAACCATTCACAACCAGTACCATATAATATCCCATATGTGCAAGTTAATACCTAATCGTATCCATCTAATAGAAATTGAAAAGCGCAGCACAAGTGAGACCATATAACTGCTATGATTTGACCGACCAAGATTATTACAATGCTGTGAACGAAACGAAACCGAAAGCCAATAGGCAAGTGCTACTTAACAAAAGTAGACCGGAAGGCAAAAGCAATAATCCGAAGCCACTTGGCAAATAGGTAGAGCTACAAACAATTTAGTTCAGGATCACCAGCCAGAGAAATAAAAACTGGGTATTCTAGTCGAGCAACACAATACTCATCCCGTCTCGCTATGAATGCCACCCATACCAAAGACCAAAGAAACAGTGTCATCTGAACAATATTCCCAACGCTGTGGAAACGTGCCACGATAGACCTTGTGACACTATTTAGGTCCAAATTTCAAGAAATTACCCCGCATTCTGGGGCCGTGACACAGTAACCTCGTGGCATCTTCTTTCCACACCCTCTTCATGGAGACGCTGTAACACAAATCACCTAATATCCAGCTGACTTTTTCTTCCCCGTAGTTTCTTTCATTTACTCCCCTCTGTATCTCGACCCTTCCCTAACAACTCTCCTCTCCTCAATATATTCTCCACCTCCCTCTCGTCTCCTCCCATCTCGGCTTCTATGTCTCTCCCCAACACCTTCTACATAACCCTCATCTCGAAATCCTTCTCGATCCCGGTCCATCTCCCTCTCACGGAATCGTTCGTTCATCCTTTCACTGTACCGCTTCCTATCCTCTCTCCGCGCTTCTTCTGTTATAACCACAATCTCATCATCATCAGCTTCGTCTACAATTCGTCCTACTCTGCTACCAGCCCGACTCCTTCTTCGATCATCTCTCCCGTTGTGTTCTTCGATAACCACAATCTCGTCGTCTTCTTCCTGTCTCGGAGGAGGTGGAACATATGGTGGTCTAGGTGGGATAAACTCTCTCTCGATGATGCGACTGCCTCGTTTCTCAGGGTCGGCTCTTTCCCTTCTTCGTTCGGGGTAAAGGTCTAGATCTCGTTCGCGCCTTCCGTTTGCAGTCGCATAACTATCCCTCACCACTCTCTCTTCTGCAGCTCGATCGCCTTCCGTAGTGAATTGTCCACGATCATATTCCGACTCTCTCCTCGTGGACTTGCGTTTCCGTCTCTTGCGGACGTTCTTGTAGAATTTCCTGCCTGTGGACGTAAATTGATCAGCTTAGGTTCACGCTTCACGTCGTGCATACTATACGGAGAAGGCTACAGAGAATGAATGTTGGGTTCAACTATGCAATCTACCATCCTGCCACGCAAGTTGATTATCACAGCTATGCGAGAGCAACCGTGGCGTGAAGCAAGGACAGCTCGTTCGAAGAGCATTCAATTGCAAACCACACAATCATCAACTTGCTCCCCTGTAGTGTCCGCACGTATGTTAGAAGAATTATGAAAACTACCTTTATTCAGCAGCAACAGCTTTCGTTCGTAGGGACCGAGAGGCTCCTCTATCATTATGCGTTCTCGTGGAGCCAATCGTTCAGGCCCTTGATATTCCCACACCCAACGGACATCGTCTGGCGGTCCCTATATTGTCGGTCAGATCGGTTCATTCAAATCGGGAGTGACGAGCTCACATCGGCAGGAGGTACGGTTGGACCCCAAGAAGCGTTCCACGGAATGGGATCATGCACGTTGATGCGCATCTCTGTCAAAGCCCATCCCCGATCTAACAATGCATGGCATTTGTACAGGCCATTATCGTCGAGACCGAGCCCACCAAGGTCCAATCTAACTCGAACGCAGCTATGAATCCTCTCATTTGTGTTCCGCATAAGCACATTAGTTGGCATCCCCGTGTCTGGATCAGCGCGTGTATTCAAGCCTGGAGTCCGCCATTTTGTTCCAGTAATGCGATACAGGCCCGTTTCAGAATTCCATATCTTGCCCAATCCCCATGGACGAATCGGCTTGTGCTTCTCATAAACGGAAGTGATGGCCCATTGTTTGTCTGGAGAACGGCTGAAGAAGCTCGAAAGAGTTTTGGGAGTTTTGGGAGGATCCTCGTAATACTGTATGTTCTGCTCGAAAATCTTATCAATGAAATCGTCCTGGAATGCCACTCCTATTGAAGCGAGTCTGGAATAATTAGCTATTGTTCAAGACCGGCTACAACATGCGGTAAACTGTCAATTCAGCATATAGGTTGTGGTGTAATAGGAAGAATCACTGGACTTACTGATCCATCATCCTGCAGAGTGTTAGTACAGAACACTCAAAGCTGGAGGTATACGTACCATGCCAGAGATATATTAGCTACCTCCTGGTCATCGTATCCTCCGCCGCAATTTGCATGGGCACCTGGAAACCAACATTGCCGCAAGTCTGTTGTTACTAGATCTTTATGATCCTTCCGTTCCCACACAGCTGCATTGAATGGAGCTCGATGCTCATCTAAAGCTAAAGCTTGGAACGCGTGGAGAATATTATCTGTCAAATTCGTGTCATAAAATTTGTACTCTTTCGTAGAATGAGGTAGGCCAAGCTTTGCGAGGATGGAGATCTGAGGTATGCCCAAAGACCCCACTGTATCCCAAACTGCAACCGCTTGGACTCTGATTTTTCGTCCGTCTGGATCATAGACTCTGGTGAGACCATCCTGTATTCGATTAGAAACTCTAAAACCTTGCTTTCACAGAGAGCCCACCTTCTCGAGTCGTTCCTTGTATTCAATCTCAGCATCTGGGCCGAATGGCTTATCTGCAAATGGAATGGTGGGGAATATGTCGTGGTACCTTTGAAAAAACAGATTAGGACCATCTAGAAGTAATAAAGAGGCGAGTAATAGCACGTAGAGGACAAATGGTCCATGCTTCACAAGCCTCAATTAACGCACCTGTCATTCTTGAAATTTTCCTGGTCCTTGAAAATCGGATAAAAATCGTTCATGCCATCGCGCGTCAAGAGGCCGATATCATTAATCATACCAGCGACACTTCGTGCGGTAAAAGCTCCCCGACTGAATCCAATGAGAATGATTTCATCACCAGGGGTGTAATTGGCCGTTATGAAGCTGTAAACTTCTCGAATGTTCTTGCGAGTGGTTAGCCCGTGATTTAAAGAAAAATTTTGTGCTTTGAATCAGCTCTTACTTCCGAGATACCGGTTCCCATCAACCCACCGGAGATTGCATCAATCACCGACGAGCCCGAACCAACGCCAGAGTGATAGTAGATAATCTGGGGACAGCCATCAAGCCCAACTCTTTTGAGCGCGTGGCCGATCCGAGTGACGTTTGAAGGAACTTGCAGAGAGCCGGTAGGGACATATGGAATCAGGGTTGGTTTCTGGAAGCCATCATCACTAGAGGGAGTTAGCACGGATACAGATTAGAGGCAGAAGAGTCCGGAAATGGATGCTGGATAGAGAAGCGTGACTGAAGAACGTCCCCAATTCCCAAACCTCTACTGTTAGGAAATCGACGCCGAGTATTGCGAATTCACGTACCTGTCCATCCAAGTCCCATCGCAGCAGAGAATAAGGCGCTTCTTAGCGTGGGGTGGCGGCGGAGGTTGAGAGAAAGAAGACATCGTGGCAGATGTTAGAAGTGAAGGTCAAAAGTTCTAATGATTGTTGAGGATATTTAAGTACTGAAGGACTCAGAAGGTGATTCAGGGTGGGCGTGATCGGCGATGACTGTTGTGAATAACTCTAAATCCAGTTCAACTGGCGAGGTGCCGTATATGGAAGGCGTGGCCATGCATGCTCTTTCCCCACGCTCCTTATGGAGTGTTTTCCTTGAGTACGAGTCTACCCCTCGCTGTAACCATCATTGTTGCCCTGGTGTCACAATCGACGCCACACAATACACGAGCTAGTCGCTGGGGAGGTGATCACAATACGCTTGTCACGTCGTTCAACAGATGCGCACGAAACCGGAGAAAAGACACAACGGGAATGCCTTGATGTGTCGGACGGAGCAGAGGAGAGGTCGAAAATATGTGCGACGTTGAGCAGTGAAGTGAGGTGAGGTGAGAGGAGGTGAGGTGAGAATTTGAGATGAGATGAGATGAGATGAGATGAGTTTAATTTGACCCCAGCCCAGCGATGCCAAGCCCAGCTCAGCTCGGCCCCAGCCTTATGAGTTTATACAGTAGTGAGCGGCGGCTGGGGATCCTGGCTGGCGTCAAGGGTCCAGACAGGCCAGGATCATCACCCGTACTGTACTGAATTTTACTGGAACTCGATGCCTGGACTGGACCGTCCCGCCGTCACTCTCCCGATGCGCCATTGGCCACAGGGGCATTGGAGCAGCGTTTCGGTTCCACATGGGGACTGCTGATACCAATGCGCGAAATCCTCCTTATCGATGTCCAACATCCAGCCACAGCACCTCCAAGTCAAGTTGTTGCATCGAATCCAATCTTCGTCATCTAACAGGATGCCATCTTGCACGTCTTGGACTACTGGTAGGCTAATGTTCCTCCTCTGCTCGGTGATGGAGCTCAATGCAAAACAACCAAAACGAGACCTAAGATTACAATGAAGAAGGAAGTCGCTCAGAATTGTGTCAGACATTGAGCTCGTCTAGGCTCTCCAAGACAGTTCTCTATCTATATCGAGAATGGAAAAAGACCAAGTTGACGAGTTGATTCTACCATTTAAAGTTCCCTTTGCTGCCCAGACCAGTACTGAGCGCACTGCGGAAGAAGCTCTCTGGAGTTTGGTCGACTGCTTGAGGCCCGTGCTAACAAGAGAGGTCCATGGGCATGGGTCCTATAGCATTAGCCAACTCCGTCCATCCTCATCTTTTTTCACGACGTTCTTTCATCGAGAATCAATGACACTACAATTCTTGCGCCATCTGCGCTTCTCACTAGTACATCCACAGTCTGCGGGCAACGCAAACACTCCGGACCAGACGACCAACCACATGTCTTATCTTTAAGACACTCGCCGATAAGCGTGGGGTAGGTACATGCTGCAACCTCGTCCGTGAAACCACCTCCTCTTCTCTTCTGCCTTAAGGACGACCTTTCCCCAGGTGTAAGATACCATGGCAGGAGCCGCAATGCAAAATACCTGTCACCATGCCGGATGAGCATGCTGTTGTTGATTCGTCAATTACTGACTTCTTCCTTCGTTCGGGACTCACGGCCCAGACCAGACACGAATGCTTCAACCTCATCGAAGAGCTATATCCGAATAAAGCAGCGTCTGCGGCATCCTGTCAGGGCTACTGCTCATTAACTGTCTTCGTAGGCCATGACACAGTCGTTCAATTTCGTCCGTACAACTATCGATTGGATCTGCAACTCACATTAGTTGCACGAGAAGTCTATGGGACCTTCGCCCCAGAGACGAGATATGTAGCCACCCTTCCAGCATCAGGACTTCTTGTGTACAGAATGGGAAGAATAGGTGGCGTATCTTTCAAAGACTTCAGAGCTAGCAGGTCAATGATAGCATGCTCAACATACCATCGAGCAGCTCTCTGTCGAGACTTTGCCAGATTTCTTGCAAGGTCGTGGAAGGAGACAAGCAGTCGAGCTTTACCCCTTGGCCTTGTAGGGAAGACCATTGAATCTCGCCTCAGAGCACTGGTCTCGACCCTGTCTCATCGATTTCGACTAGTAGCAAGGAGGGTCCTCGAGAATCTGCGACGAATCGAAGCCCTCCCATGGGTTCTTACACATGGTGATATTGTTGCATCAAATATCATGATCGAACCTTCGAACGGGACATTAACGGGACTCGTGGATTGGGCAGAAGCGGAACGTCTGCCATTCGGGGTTTGTTTCTATGGACTCGAAGAGCTGTTGGGGGAAATGACAATGACAGGCTTCCAGTACCGCCATGATGCCGTCAGTCTCCGAACTGTTTTCTGGGCGGAGCTGGGAATGCTGGTACCAGAACTACAGCAGACCCAAGTTCTCGAGGCCGTCAAGTTGGCAAGAGATCTTGGGGTCTTACTCTGGCACGGCATTGCTTTCGACGATGGGGCCATTGACCGAGTGGTGCAAGAGGGCCGAGACGTGGAAGAAATTCATAGACTTGAAGCATTCTTGGATATACAGGGGAATCCACCAACGGTCAGGTCTCTGAAGTTGTAAATTATCCCCACCATTTCAGTAATTCAAGAAGCACATTACAGTTCTGGGCATTGGCATCATCAATACGGAAGCTATTTCAATGTCCATCATATTGCGCTACTCCTATGTGTTCAAATCCTAGTTGATACCATGCGAGTGTTCTTAAAAGACGACCCTTTTAGTCGATAGTATCTTTACTTTTAATTTTTCGAGCTTCTCTCCTGCTCTCTCAGTCTTCTCACAGTGTGGCGCGCTCGTGCTAGGGGATTCCGAGAGTCTTGCTCTTGAGCGTTGTTATGTTTGAGGTGGATGTGGTACTGTGGAAGTTCGACGCCTCGAAGTCTCAAATCTGCAAACATGGTTCAGCAGACTTCAAGGAAGAATCTTGTATATGCCCACCTTTCCTTGCTTCTCTGCGCATCATTTGAAGTTGGAGATATGTAATGATCAGGCCGCAGGCTGTCATGATGATACCTATGAGACCAAGTGCAATTGAAAATATCGTATCGGAAGAGACTGGATGGAGTCAGCACATTGGTTGCAATTGCGGCCATGGAGTAGTGGCTTCTGGGGAGGGACCGGCAGAGTAGCCTGAATGAGAGTACAGTGTGAAATGGGCAAATGCCGTCGTCTTTCTGCTTGCGATTAAGTGCAGGTAGTTTAGAAATGGACCTCAGATCAGATGCTATACTCCCACTGAATGCCATGAAACCCAAGTACACAAGGTTTACAGGTATCAGTGTTAGAGAATATTCTAGCTTGGAGCCACAACGACGAAACGTATATGTTCACTGGTATAAACAATCCAGGTGAACAAAGGTGGAAATTAGGTTGATTGCTAGGAGGGGGAGAATGTACGTGCCCATGTTTAAGCACAGCTTGTATGTATTATCTGCATAAATGATTCACGGTGGAAGACATGCAATGTTGTGTTGCTGCTGCAAAGGATTCTCAAGCTGCGGCGACTATCACTTCGTGTCTAGTCACGAAATCGTTCAAGACAAAGAATTAATTTAATAGTGAGGGGATAAATGCTAAGTATGCTGCGACCCAAAGAGAGCAACTACAACCCCATACCAAAGTAAGCTCGTGGTGGCACTTTTGTTGTATGCAATGCAATGCATACGAACGATCGCCCCAACCTCCGCGTGGGCGGATTAGCCAGTGATGCGACCGCACAACCAGTGTACAACAATGCAGCAAGACGGAATTCGCCATTGTTCGTCCAATTGGAGATGATGGCCCAAGTCTAATCGAACTGGCGATTTCAAAGGGCTCTCGTCGAGAGGGCAAAGAATAAACTTGTCGTTGGTTTAGAAAGCGAACCACCTGACCATTCCTTGTATACTCTGAAATGCTATCGATCTGATCGCCTCCAAGATCATGTTCGGATAATCGATGTGCTAGCAAATTTTCGTCTTTAGTGATCAGCTGGCAGTAGACTTAACTTCCGGTTCGTCAAAGGAGGAGGAACGAAAGTATTTTTCAAATGGTAATGATATTGTGGCAGCTCGCTCTCCTTCAGCTCAAGGCTTTTCTATATTCCAAATAAAGAACGCTATCCGAGGGACCTGACAGATGCAAGACGGGGTAACTAAACTCCCTGAAGACCAACACCAGCCTCCCTCCTCCCCTCCACGAAGACCACAGGGGGTGTATAATGTTTCTTCCCATGTAGGAAATAAATGCCCAGACTCAGAATGATAACCCCGACCCAAACTAGAGGAGCCCAATTTGCATTACCCGTCCCAACTGGTAGTGTGATAGGAAAACAACTAAACACAATAATAAATGCCGAATACACAAAAGCAAAAGCATTGATCGGAATGCCCATCCTACCCAGAGACCAGCGAGCGGGAGGGAGTTCCTCTTTGAGTAGACGTTTTCGAAGAACGCAGCCGATGGATATCATGTAAGTTGAGAGGAGGGCGAGTAGGTTGAGGGAGACGATTATGTTGAATGCGTAAGTGGAGCCGAGGTTGATGAGACAGAGGATACCAGCTACAACGGCGGTCAAATAGACGGAATTATTGGGGACATTGTGTTTGTGGTCCATCTAACAGGGTCAGTAACAAATTTTAATTTGAAATCGTGCAATTTTGAACTTACCTTTGAGATCCACTTTGACAAGGGGAAACCTTTGTCTCTAGAAAAAGCCCACAGCTCTCGGGAAGTAGTGGCGAGTGCGGTGATGTTTCCAAGGGCAATCAAGATGAAGAGATATATCATAAGCACAAAGGCAACGGCATTAGATCCTGTGTTTTGGAACAGTGTGAGGTACGGAGCACTTGAGCCGAGAACCGTATCCAAATCTCCAATGCAGAAAAGCATGGTGATGAGCATGGCGATACCTAGGATCACGTTCATGACATAGCTCCACCACATGGCTCGAGGAACGTTCAAGGATGCATCTTCGACTTCCTCTGAGATGTGTACCGCACTATCGGAGCCTGCCATACGATTAGTATCATCGTGCTCACTTTACATTCCTAGGTACCTACCAAGGTTACAATAGATGACTGAAACCTGGGCGATGAGACAGGCAGTTCCAGTATTGCTCCATCCACCATTGTTGACGACTTCAACGAAAACGACGTGTGCAGAGTTCTTGGGAGCCATGACCAATAAAGGTATGATTGTGAGTAACAATCCACCCAAATGACCAAATAGTGACATCGTCTCAAGTGCCGGGAGTGCTCTAGCCCACCAAGTATTGAAAACAATAGTTACTAGTAGTGATGCCAGCATAATGAGTGTATATTGCCAGGCCGTGAAGGCGTAGTCGGGTTTAGCGACATCGATGATCGCTTGAATAAGAGTGGTCATCACAAACACACTGCTAGATACGCCTGAAAGCCATCCCAAGGTAGACATCCAGCCTGCACGGAATATTAGCCAAAGTTCGACGATGTTGCAGCACGATCATACCAGCAGCATAGCTCAAGAACTTCTGATACTCAGCAGGTGCAAATTCGGAGACCCAGTGATATTGCCCTGCCCTGGTCAGCTTTCGACCGCACTCCACGGCCGTTTTACATACCTCCACTGGTTGGTGCCATGGACTCCATCTCAGCAAGCGAGGCGACAATTGAGCTGTAACACACAACCGTTGCAATGAAGACCCAGAATAGCCCTCCAAAGCCGCCATTGGTGAGACCTGTGCTCAATGACCTATATGGAAAAGGTCAATATCGAGATTTACTCAGCAATTAAGATCACACGTACACTAAGACGTATTCCCAAGTCGCCATATAAATCGATATGAACCCCAGAGTCGAAAGTAAACTGAAATTTCGCTGTGGCCGATTTATTAGTCCTGCACAGCCTTCGTTGAAAAGTCAGGGAGCGGACCTTGAATTCCTGCTTCTTTCCCAAGCGCTGCATATCAGCGAGATCATTCTGCGTGTCTCCATACTGCAGCGCATCAGGATCTACCAGCACTCCCGGATCCCGATTGTTTGGCGATTCTCTCGACACGGTGTCATAAGGGCCTTTTTCGATACCCTTTTCGGGGATTTCTCCCCGATCGGCCATGATTTAATTCGTGAAGTTTGTCAATGAGGAAGAAGAGTCGCAGAAGTTTGGATATCGACAGGCAGTGCTAATGTCGGAATTGGAGTGGGAAAAAGAGAGAAAGGCAAAGATAGTACTTGCACAGCAAAGTCGTCACAATGATATAAATTATTTTGCACATCCGGGGGACAGCTAAAACTAAGTAGCTGTCTATCAATTGGTGCATCGCACCATACCCTTATCCTTATCTGACATTTGGTGGGCGGTCCAGAATGAGACTCTTTTCGCGACCAGGCGTTGCTAATGCAGTTGCAGACTAGAGCTTCTCCCCCACAGCCAAGCCAAGCCAAGCCAAGCAGACGCTGGTAAATGCTTCGCTTCTGTCCAGACTCGCTAACGACCTGCAGCTAATAAATAAATAAATATACCGTCCCGTGCGAAGCCTGTCATGCCGTAGCGCCATCTGGCTCCCGGTGTTTCTCACCTGCCAATTGGTTCACCCGGGTACCGTACATGCAAGAGCAAATACATGTAGTGCAGTGCAGTGCAGTGCGAGACGTGTCGAACACCAGCCGATCGAGCCCGAGAAGAGCAGGTACAGCAGACCGCCAACCGCCATGCAGCAAACCGATATGGGCAAGATCCCTGCATTCCGAAGCTTATCTTTCGAGCTTCCGACCCATCACACTTCTGACTTATGACATTGAAATATCTTCATCCTCAGCCACCTCAGATAACGCATCTGCTTTCCCCAACCTGAGCACTCGGTAATGCAGCCTATCTTTGCTCAGGAGGATGATGCGTCGTGAGTCTGCTTGTTTCTCTCCGCCTTCGTTGTGTCTCATATCACTGCTTGCTCGGATTTCCAGTCTTTCGGGTACAAATGCTTGATCGGTCGATAGTTTGTATTTGCAAAATTGCTGCAGTACTTCTTGATTACTGAAATGAGGTGTCGGACCGCCCTTGCCCTTTGACGAGTGGGGAGAATAATTCAACGCATAGTTGCTAAGGTTTCCTTTGAGATTGGACTTATAGGGGATATTCAAAAGACTGGTCGTTGCTGCCAAATGTGAGATGTACGGCAGAAGGTCAAAGCTTGAGCAGTACTTACTGTTTGACTCCCACAATGCCAGTATTTCACTATCATCCCAAATCTTGAGATCTTTGATTATGCCGTTGCCAAGTTGTAAGGAAGTCGAGGAGACACTGTGCGGCGAGCTGATACCATTTTCCAAGGACATGATAACCCGGACGACTTGTACTTCGGATCTTTCAGTGTAGTTCATGCAGAGCTTGGAGTCAAACCTACGAATCCCTTGCGAGCCACCAGGAACATAAGCTATATATGTTTCGCAGGTCGACTTATTCTGCCAACGTGTCAGCCGCTACCCAATCATTGTCAGTTCACCCACCTCTGCAATCATTCTCATATGCATGGGAGAATCATCGTGAGCCGGGCCGACTTCATATGGCTTCCCAAACAAGACGTTCCGCATTTCGGCGTCAGCAATCTGACCGAATATCATACCGGTCTGTCTCATCAAAAGCTTATATAACACCTCAACACGTGGCAGGAGTTTTATATATGGCAATCCTCGCTCCTGTTTCTGAAGCTGCTTGTCTAGTAGATCATACATCGGCATGCCGTCCTCGCCATGAGTCCAATCTTCAAGAAAATCTTCGGGTGGCTTCTCCATATAAATTGCAAGAGGGCTCGACGTCATGGCATTTTGAATATATGAAAGAACCTTGTTGTGGTCAATGGATGCCTCCTTTTCTGCTGCTGCATCATCCGCTGGAGAAGCTGACGCATCGGAAGCAACTCGGTCAATCTCATTCCGGAGCCAGGATGAGAATGACGTGAACAGCTCCAACTCATCGACAACCTGAATGAGGATCTTTGATGATACCAAATGCAGGCAAGCAACGCGATCCATGATGGTATTGATTTGTTGAGTCGTGAAGCCTAAAGAGCTGTTTGATCCTTGAAATTTTGCAATTCCAGAGAACCTGCTAAGAATCAGGGAGCAGCGTTCGAGAGCAGGTAGCATATTCTCGTGTACTAGACGTCTTAGATTTTCTAAGCCAGTTGTGACGGCTTTATCCCATCGTTTGTGACCCTGAAAACATTAGACAAATATCAGGCGGATTATAAGTGCTTACTCTTTCGGACAATTCGTCTACAAGCCACTCACGCACAGAAGGGAATGTATGTCCTGTAGCCACGGAATGATATAAGGCCTGAACGATATCTCGATTATCCTTCTCCATTAAGGTTTCATTGATGTTACTTAGAAACCTGCCGGGAAGCTCTTGAGTAGACTTCCATTCAATTGACATCTGGAGTTGAACTTGATCGATATACCTGAGTAGATTTTGGAGAGCAGTAGCGCGAGAAGCAAGTAGTGAAAGGTATTCGCTCGACGCCGAAATGAATCGGAGGTCCATGGGTACGAAGTAAAGCCGCGGTCCCGGAGCTGAGGCTCGCAGAAGCAGCGAGTGGGTGGAATATTGCTTATGAGACGCATGAAGAACCAACTGAGATGCTGTATCCCCAGGAAGACGTGGCGATGGGAAGGAGCCAATCTCGAACGAATCGTAAATACTGAGATGAATGGTTCCCGGAAGTGTCCCTACAACCATCACATCGACTGCGTTGTTGTCCTTTGGGTCAAATGCTCGAAAGAGGGCATCTAAAGATGATCTAGAACTGAATACCTCGTCTCTGGACTTTCTTTAGCTTACGTTGGTGACAAAGAATAGAAAACTTACGAGCCACCGGCGGCTAGAACGCTGAGCTTTGGCAGGCTTGTTTCGATGTCGATGAGTGATAGGTCTCGAGGTAGATCCAGAATGGCGTCTAATTCGCCAGTTGCTAGGATTGTGTTCCATGAATCTTCTCCCTTCTTCTGCGTGACAGAGCTGGTACTTCTGTTTGTAAGATTGGTAGACCAACCTATGCACGTGATATCAGAGGCCTGGCGAATGCCCGTTGAAAACCAATGCACAATCTTGCTGCTTTCAGCTCCTACAAGTCGGATAGATCCATCGCTCCAAGCAATAGCAAGCAGTTGACCTATTTGTGGTCAGTTCTACAGCATTTACATGTAGTTCGAGATCCTAGTACGAACCATTTGGTTTCCATCGAATGCTAGTTACTCGGTACGCTCCTGTTTTCTGTGTCGCACCATACACACGCTGACCATTAAGACGGTAGATGAGCACTTGTTGGTCAATGGTGACAAGTGCCACCAAGTCCATGGATGGACAATAGGCGACGAGGGCAGGGTCTGCCGTGTGATGAAGGGTCTTCTCGGAGAGAAGCTGGAAATGCGAAGGCGCCCCCATCTTGACGTTATTGATCATCCTACTCCCGTGAATTCGTCGAGATTTGCACTTTTCTGCATTATCTGGTGGTAAGGCCGCTGATGGTACTTTTTAGGGAATCTGGAAGAGACGCGCTGGGTCGCGTTCTTGCCTAGAATGCAAATAGACGAAGTTTTATCTAAGCGAAGCCCGAATCAGGTAAGTAAGTAATTGCTGTTTCTTTTCTCTTTCCTCTCCTCCAGGACTTTATGCGGGAAACGGGAAATGTTAAGTTATCACAACAACAACAACTTGTTAGGTTACCCGAAAGACCATGAAATAGTGCAAATCAAGTTCATTCATTTTGGTGGTGATTTAGTCTATGGCAAAAATCATGATTTTTTCATGGCTATTGATGCCGACCGTCCCACGCCTTGCTCCAGACAACATACATATTCTGCTCCCAATTCTACGCTTTATGGCTTATCACTCAATTATGTACGAGTCAGCGACAGACTTGACCTCCTTCGAGAACGTTACTGTTTCATTCATCTCAACAAGCGTAACGTCGGTGACCTAACGATATCAGTATCAAGTAGGCTAGGAGGGTAAAAGAAGGGACTTACATCAACGTCGATGAAGGGTTTCGATTTGCCGAATTTCACTTGCATAGGGAAGAACTCATTCTCATCTCCGGCTTGGGCTTCGAATTCGAAGGACCCAGAAGCATTGTCATCATCCACTAGACCAATAGTCCACTCCAAACTGTCTCCTGAGACCTCATATGTGGCATCAAAGCTAGAAACTGCTGGTTCGCTTGTAGCGTAAGGAATGATGACGGTAACATCTTTCAGTGGGTCACCCCCAGTGAGTTCGTACTCAACAGTGATGTTGTACGTATCGTCAGATCCCTTGTTAACCCACACAGTGAAGGTGATTGGGACCGCGCTTGCATCGTCGGCTTTTGGTGTAGCTCGCCATCGCAAAACACCGACTGAGTTGTTGACTGGGAAGCCCTTTGCGATATTGGACATCTGTACAGCCTTGGAGTTATTGAAAACTCCTTTATCGACATTAGGATGCGTTCGAAATTGGACTCCGTGGCTGGCATTGGCAACCAAATCCAGCTTCACCTTCGTCAACGTTGGATCTGATATCCTCAATTGCAGGTCCCCTTTGACTTCTAGCGAGTTTACAGAGCCTTCCCTTGACAGCTTTGCATTTATAGTCTCTGCGATCGTAACATGAATGGCGTCACGGTCGAGTGAGGATGTTACAGGAGATGGCTGTGCATGCGTGTGTTCTGCTGAAGTGGTGGGGTGGTTCGGCACTAATGGAGAAGATGCGGTTTCTTCTGCTTCGGCACCCAAATCACCTCTGACACGTTCGAACATGTCGGTAGTCTTGGACTTTTTGCCCAACTGCATGCCTTTGCCCTTCGGTGCTGCAGCTCTGAGATAGAGTTAGCAAAAAGCCATAGCGAAGCTTTCAATGACGTACTTATATGACTTATTCTTCTCGGCCTCGTAGGAATCGTAGGTATCTGTGACAGTGGTGCGTGCGGGAGGAGTGTATGTAGGATAGATAGGCGTCCGGGGAATGGCATTTCTGCCACTTCTTGAAACTTCTTTGCGTTGCATCTCCAACTGCTTTGCCTTTCGTTTCCGTTCCTCGGTGGCTTCCAATTCTTTATTCTATACCAAGTTAGCTTGTACAAACTGAAGTGAAATTGCCTGCATACTCTTGAAATGATCTCTTGGATTCTCTCTTCGTGACTCTCCATTTCTAAGAATGTCTTGATTTGGCTGATGGTCAGATTCTCCCTGTATCCCAGAGTGACGAGTTCATCGAACGCGCTGAGTAGTTCATAGGCATTCTTCAAAATCTCCCTCTCGTCTAGAGTCTTGCACGTACTCGTAACCACTTGTGCGAAAAGGTGTAAGGAGTCGATGTCTTGGAGGATATTGGATTGCCTATTGGTGATGAGAACCATATAGAGTTCGTCGAGCGGTTGGTACACAAAGCGGACATTGTCTTGTTCAACAGTCGTATGTTGGGTTCCACTGTCTGCTAACTTTGGGAAAGATGCCAGGAGGGCTTCAATTCTAGAGCGCTGCATCTCTCGAAATTGTCGCGAGAGGACAGCTTTTCCGCCCCGAGTGCATATTGAAGCGGCAAGGACAACCTGAGTAGTTTGTTAGATGGGATAAATACCAAGTGGATCTGCATTTATACGTACCATTTTTGCGAGTGTTCAACAGACAATGTAGCGGGGGAATTTGGTTGTCGAGCTCAACTCGCGATAGCTGTCCAGTGAGGTAGAGTGGGTCACGTGTGGGATTTTCTCAAAGCAGATTAGCGCTGGACTGACGCTAAAACTGGACCTGGAAATTGAACTCGACCTCAGGGCAATATCAGCAAGATAACTTCAATCCAGACGCGACACCTCTCCTTCCAGAATCGTTCTTTACTTTCTAACTCGCGCCTTGTTGTTCCTACGATGCGCCACTGATTATTCGACGCGTCGCCGCGATAAATCGGACATCAGTCTTTGTTCTTTGACTACTTCATCTGCTTGGGGCTCATTTTTGCAGCCTGACAAAGCGAGGTGAATCACACCAACCACCAGAACTATCTATTTCACATTCAGCTGTACCTTCTCAGAACCTTCTACCAACCATTCATCCACCCTGGTTGCAACCGCCCTCCTTGCAACCTCTTCTAAATACCACTACAACGACCCATTACAAGGCATTCAGTAGGCTTCCCTTGTAACGCTCTCCTATCGATTCGCGATGGCAGATGATAGTATGGAGATATCCTCTGAGCATGGCCAGAATACTGGCGACGATATCGACATCGATATCGATATCACAGCTGGTCAGGCTGATGAGGACTACATTCTACAAGATACCCTATCAACTGTGGATTATGGGAACGAATTTCCCACACAACCATCTCCAGCGGTGCACCATGATGATCTCATGGTAGATGACGACAATGCATCTTACCAAATGGACGATGCTGATTTCATTCAAGACGAAGCCGAGCATATCGCAGAACCAGAATCGATGTCTTTTGCCCAAACCGACATACTTTATACACATGGAGATGATGGAAGTGCTGCCGATGCTATTATATACAGCGAAGATCATGACATCGGCCTATTCTTCGGTCAAGATGGTGGCAACGAAATGGACGCCACCGGCCGTGATCTTGTGCTAGATTCGGAGAATATTTCCCATGATGGGAATATTGCACCGATTCCTGAAGGCGTTCTTCCTCATGCAGATACCATACTCCCACAAGATTATAGCAATCAAGGGGACCAAGCTGATAAAAGCCCCTCGCAATCGCTTGGACCTTCTCCACAAAGTCGCAGTCCCGCAGCTGCTGCAGAAGAGCCCAGAAGTCCTCCCGCATCTCTTGGTCATTTATCTCCCGTCCGTGAATCTAATGATACTATCTCAGATCCTACTTCTAATCCCCAAGAGGCATCTGGTGAAGTCGACGAACCTGAATCAATAGAGCACACATATGATTTCCTGACAGCTCGTGGAGTTAAGGTTGTATATCAGTCGGTGGAATACGCATTGTTTGCAACGTCTGATTCAGACGATCCGGATTCATACTTCTTGTCAGACCTCGCTATTATCGAGAAGCCCCTCGAACAATTTTTCTCGGCTATTCGTGAGATCATCCGCGATGACTTAACTGCTGATGAAGAACTTTGTTTGAATGTTGAAGACCTGGGTCTTGAGACGGAGGAAGTAAGTGTTTCGAATTCATCCTTGCAATCTAATACTAACATGTCACAGGCCTCATCAAACCTCAAAGATGTAACCCTGTCACAGATCTTGAACTTGCATGATGAACTTTTGCGTAACGATAGTGTAGACTCGCCTGGACCGCTCTATCTTCTCCTTGGCACTCGGGTGAATTTCATCAAGAGACTTGCCAGTCTTGCCGAAGGTGCTTCTTTAGGTAAAGGATTTTCTGAAATGGCGGGCTTAGAGAACAGAAGCCAGAGTGTGGATGATGTGGGAGATGGAGATGAGACTGCGAGGAATGTTCAGTCAAACTATGAGAATCTGGAAAGAGCAAACGATGCTACAGGAGATACTACACAAGGTATTGAAAAAGGTGACCTGGAGAATGGTCCTTCAACCGAAGATCAAGTAGACTCACTGGAGATTTACGAAGAGGCGGAAGTCCCAGACGACGAGAAAGAGGCTAGCGAGCGTCATGATGAGCAGCAAGCAGCACCTGAAGAATACCCAGAGGATTACGATGAGCAGAATACAGCACAAAAGGAGTCTCGAGAGGAAGGCAAAGACCAAAATACAGCACGTACAGATTATCAAGAGTACGAGCAAATTACAACACAGCAAGGAGAGCACACAGAGCACCATAGAGAAGACGTCAAATCCAAGCCAGTGGCTCATAGTCCTGCCATGACCGACAATGCTAAGGATTCCATCGTCACTAACAGCAGTCACAAGACCAAAAGTGACTCCGTACCAGATTCGAGCAGTAAGCATACTGACACCATCAAACCTCTGCTAGAATCGACTAGCGAGATTACAAAGGACCCTGATAATGAAGAGGAGGATCTGATCGATTACTCAGACGAGGAAATTCAGTACCCTGATGAAGTCGGGGGCCATCGTACAGTTATTGTGACTGATGGTGACAGGACAGACAATGGTACATATCATGATTTCTTTTCACCATGTCTTCGACCCCGGACATGCTTTTGTTCAGAGTGTTCCCTTCTCATACTCGCAGAATACCAAGCAAAAGACGAAGAGCTCAATCGTCGTTCGCTCTCCCGTCAAGCTGAGGAAAAGCTTCTCGAAAAAACAGCCGACCAGACATACACGGATGGAAACGGAGACTACCCCGAGGAATACCTTGAAGCAAACGATACTGGATATGACGAATACAGTACAGAATTCCAGCACGGCGAGGCGAGCGACAGTTACGAATTCGTCGAGCACAGCGGCGAGTACAATGGAACAGGTCATGAGGACCAAGATGACTTATCGAACGAGCTAGGGGCCTTCGTGGATGACGAGGCTGATTATAAGCACGATCCAGAATTAGGCACTGAGAGTTATAATGACAACGATGATACAAACTATGAAGACCTGAACGACGAGGAATCAGGATCGCAAGGCTTGGCAACATACGCGGAACCGACTATTCCTCAACAAAGCTCTGAATTTGTTGATGTCAATGACAACGCCAATGTGCTTGAAGGTCCGGCGCCATCCACAGTGAGCAGTCTTGGAGCGGCAGAAACAGCTGGATCTAGTGTTACCCTCGGAGCCGAAGAGATACAGTATGAAGATGGATTGGATGAAGAGATCTCCAACGAACTAGATAACGAATTCGCCGCCAAGCCAACAAACAGTTCAGTGGTTGAGCAGAAGGATGAGATTGATTATGAAGATGATGAGGATGAAGAGTCACCTAGTTCGGCTAGTCCTGGAGCTGTTCAAGCAGCGAAAGAACTGACAAATACGAACGGGAAGAGATTCATCGCAGAGGTTGAGTCAGAACTCTCGACTCCGAGTAAGGGTAAGTGTGCACCCCAGATCATCAGAAGACGCTTCCACTAACGGACGAGAAGATGCCAAACGTCCCCGGTCGTCGTGAAAGTCAGACACACTCTCTCCGTCTTCACATCTTCTGATCGGTCTCATCCTTCGAGGCTTGACAAGTCGAGCCCATCCACGACCATAATTCTAAACCCCGACACTCCCTCGACTTGTTGCCCCAAACCCCACGTCGATTACTGATTTGTACACAACAACGACTAACTTGCCATAGGAGAACAAACACGGTAGGTCCGAGGTATACTTACTAACACCCTTTCTCAACCTTTCCCTTCGAAATACATGATACCCGTGACCTAGTCCTTTCCACAACTCACAAAAATCACCTTCATCGCGATTCAGCATTGCTTAGCGTCTGTTTCCTTTCTTTCTGACCTGACATATTGGGGAGGGCTAAAAGATATGCATTATATTGGCTGGAGGAATGGCTTTTGGAATTTATGGCGTGGAGGAGTCTTTTGCTCATACCTATGAGCTTGGATCTGCTTTACAGGGCAGATTGAGGAAGATGTGTATTGTGTTCATCTTGCGGCGAATGTGGTCGGATTCTGCCGCTCGCCCTGTAGGAGTAATTCAGACAAAAGGCAGGTTTTGAGCTTGGCCAATAAGTAGTACTCGCATTGCAAGCAAATTCTCAACGATCCGTCGCCTCCGTGATTGCGTGCATTAAAATACGAGGTGAAGCTGACTGTTCTGCGGTGCCTTTTCTCTCTCCCTAGCCGGCCGTCCACTACTCTCTGCGTTGAGGAATGTCACTGCCGTGATCATCAGAACAAGTATGGTCGTCCTAAGTCCTAAGTTACCGGTTCTGATTTGGCTAAGAGAACGGCTCTGGTTGAAGGTCCCACACAGTACGCGTCTGATGCCCGAATGGCGAGATCTGGTCGTGATCCAGTCTCTGTCGCTCTCGAAAGGGGTTAAAAGCTTAGAGGCGGAGTCGGCTAAAAATAGTCGGGCCAAAATTCATTGCAAAGTTCCAGCTGTTTCACGACAGAGCAGAGCCTCAATACTACCAGGTCAAACAGACGCACACACGCACACACGCAACACGTCGCAAAAGGCTTTTCTGGCCTCAAGTGACACCCATCGGTCCCTCCAACAAAGTCGCATCTATCATTCGCCATTTCTTTGTCCCAACACGAACCTCGCCTCGGCCTCGACAGCACATCTCCTATCTCTCTCTTTACAGGGGCCTGAAACCATCCTATGACCCTCCTGCTCAACCTGCGATCATCACCTCTTACTCCATTCAGTGTGGGCATATAGAGCAAATAAGGTCATCAGGGCGGGTGCCCCACGACGCCCATCAGCGCGAACTTGCAGTCTTTGAGCGTTCGTCGAATTGAGACGATCGCGAGCGCAAGCTCCACGACACCTACACGTTGGATTCGATAGGAGGAGTGGTCCTACACTTGTGCGAAGATGTTAGAAGACAAGTACGTCGGCGCGATCTGGTGCTGTGGTTTTGGCGCACATGAGCTGCTGGAAGTCCGAAGGAACAATGGCTGATGCAATGGAACAGATACATAGGCCTGGTACTGGCCATAACCTCCACCATGGCCATAGGTTGGTACTCCACTGCTGGCCTATCGAGACTGAGATGCTTACACGGTTCACAGGGACGAGTTTCGTCATCACGAAGAAGGTATGGCACAATTACAAAGCCTGATAGATTTCCCGATCCCGCGGTAGACGAACAAGCCGGGACATTGCTGACGATCGGTAGGGACTTATGGATGCGGAAGAAAGACACGGGTTCGAGGGAGACGGATTTACATATCTTAAAAGCCCTATATGGTGGGCTGGTATCATAGCATGTATGCGCCTTGAATCTCAGATGTAGACTTACCTGCTGACGTTTTGGGTAGTAATTGTTGGAGAGGTAGCAAATTTCGCAGCATACGCCTTTGCTCCAGCTATTCTGGTGACTCCTCTTGGAGCATTAAGTGTCCTGATCGGCGCGGTGCTAGGATCGTATTTCCTGAAGGAAGAATTGGGCACATTGGGAAAACTTGGTTGCGCGATATGCCTAATAGGATCAGTCATAATTGTGCTCCATGCACCACCGGACAAGGAAATAACGACAATAGACGAAATCCTACACTATGCAATTCAACCGGGTGCGTTTCTCTGCCTTTTAAACAAGTGTAATGGAAACTAACAGCAATTTCAGGCTTCTTGATTTTCTGTGCAGCCGTGGCAGTCTTTGCGGTTGTGATGATCTACCGAGTTGCTCCAAAGTACGGGAAGAAGAATCCTCTGATTTTCCTCTCTATTTGCTCCACAGTCGGCTCTGTTTCCGTCATGTCAGTGAAGGCGTTCGGAATTGCTGTAAAGTTGACTCTGGCCGGGAACAACCAATTTACACATCCCTCGACTTACGTCTTCATCATCTTGACTGGAGTTTGCATCTTGACACAGATGAACTATTTTAACAAAGCATTGAGCCAATTCCCAACATCAATGTACGCCTCAAGTTGCAGATCTCTTCACTGTTGCTAACTTGCAAATAGTGTGAACCCATTATACTACGTCACATTTACTACCGCCACCTTATGTGCTTCTTTCATCCTATACGGCGGATTCAACACCTCAGATGCTGTGAATACGCTATCACTGCTCAGTGGCTTTCTGGTCATCTTTACAGGTGTATATCTTCTTAATATTTCAAGAGGAGATCCCGATGGTCGGAGGATGATCAATGGAGCCAACCATGACGGGATTGCCACTGACCCCATTTCGGGGATTCAGACCAGAAGGAGTATGCAGGCGAGAAGAAGTTTGGATCCCCATCGAATGAGTATGGGTAGCAACGGATTCGGCAGGGGCGGAGACCGAGAAGGTCTTATTCATGCCTACGACGAAGAGGAGAACAACGCTGGATTCGGTCTCACTGATCTCACGGAAGACAGCGACGACGATGCACCACCACCGAGTGCAAAGACGCCCAATGGAAAGATGAACGGGAACGGCAACGGGAACAAGAGAAGTTTCAGTAAGCCAATAGAGAGTGAGCGACCTAGGAAGTCGCTAACCAGGTGACCTTGCTTGGCGTTCCACGGATGTTTTGCATTTTCAACATTGTATATGGTCAAGGGCGGGAGACTCGGCACTGCTGAGGTCATAGAATATTATGGTTGCAGCATTTGGTCTGCAAGCATTTGGGTGTCTTCAATAGTACGACTGCATGAGGTTAGGGCGTTCGGGCTAATTGTACTATAAGCAACATCTTGTATGATATGATATACCGGCGCAGATTAGGCGCGAAACTGCATTTGGGAACGTTTGAAGAATCACAAGTTCAAGAATATTACATATGGGGTCTTGTTTGTTGGAAGTTTGTGAAAGCCCTGAATTTATCGGCTATGATTACCAGCTCGCAGCAGAATGCCGAGAAAGCTCGTATGCAAATGACCCTACACGCCTAACAGAATCATCAAGGTTTAACCACCTGTCTATTGCTCCTCCGCTGGTGCCTCCTCACCCTGTTGTTCCGCCGCACGTGCAGCCTCAGCAGCTTGTGCAGAAGCAGCAGCCTTCGTTCCATAGTCCTGGCTCATTGGTTGAACCACACTTTGCTCTTCCTTCGGCTCAATGATCGTAACAGAGTCTGGCAATGACTTTTGGGGGCCTGACTTTCCTTCGGGGTCGGATCCACGCATGATCTTGACCTTGATACCCAAAACACCTTGTCTCAAGAGAACGTGGCGAGTAGCGGAATCGATGAAGTCCTTGGCTGGTTGACCAGAGTGGATCATGAAGCCATCGGTGAACTTCATGCTCTTGGCACGGGCAGCACGAAGCTTTCCAGAAACGACAACCTCGCAACCCTTAGCACCACTCTCCATAATGAATCGAAGAACACCATAGCATGCTCGTCGGACAGCAAGGCCGTTCAGGAGCTTGTATCTGAGGGACTCGCATTGGGCGACAGCGGAGAGACCACGGTTTTGGACTTTGGCAGCGTACAGGGAGACGGAGTTCTCGGGAAACTTGAATCGCTTTTGGATGAGAGATGTGAGTTCCCGAATTCTTCGTCCTTGCTCGCCGAGAACTTCTTGTGTGTGTGTGGCACGAATGATGATATCGGTGACTGTGGGGGTGACGCGGACCTCGACGCCAGAGTATCCTTCCTCGGCCAGCTCGCGCTGGAAGAACTCGTTCAACTCGGCATAGAAGACACCATCGGCGACGAACTTGCGCTTCTTGGAGCTGTACAAGATATTAGCTAGGTTCCTCCACTGTCTATGAACAGAAAAGTTTGCGCGGATAACTTACATAGCGGTTCCTGGTACTCCGGAGGCCATATTGACGGCTGTATAATCTCGATTGCACCTGCTCGTGGAGGTACAATTTCGCTGGGTGATGTGGTTTGTCGGACACTCGCGATTTTGGGTTGCTTTGAATTCTTAGATTTCTATGTGTGCCCCTCCCCTAGTAAGCGATCTGGTCCGTGCACTGTATCACGTGTAGCCTTACATTTGCGGCTTGGAAAACTTCCATGCTGGCGAGAAGCTCAAAAGCTATTAATCAGAGATTGAAAGTGAACTAAAAGGACATTATCTTTGGGAGACTTCTCTTTGCTACTATTGAGAAAAAGGTTGGCTTTCTCTGTTTCTTTCAACGCATAGTACCGCCATAGAGGATTCGGTGCGCTGATAATGCTCGGCTTCCGGAGCTAACATCAGTGACGACGAGCTTGAATTCACAGCAAACATTCTCAATACCAAACGTGCACACATCCTTGCGCTTCCTCGATACAAGCCCTGAATATTTCAAGAGTAATCTTCGAATGTCATGATAATCACCAAGCGTGCTGTTCTTGATTCAAGAGCGCACCTTTTCTGCCAGAGCAAAAGATGTCCGACAAAGCCTTAGACAAGTTCTTAAGAAAGGTGAGTTGTAAAGATCTCCAGACTGGCCACTTGTCTATACTAAGGTGTTTGAAGGTTCCGGATGTACAAGTACTGGCGAACGCGACAGTCTCAACAGCTACCTTGCTACTAACGAACCATCATCTCATTGTTGCGACTCCTCACACCCCTTCCTCCTCGCAAGATGGCTCAAGTCACCAGCCTAAACCGAAGACTAGAGAAGTGTACATCGCCTACCCCATGATAGCTCAATGCACTTTCAGACCAACCCCGCCAAGTTCCGGACTCTCCTCAACAATTCGATTACGATGCCGAGACTTCCTTTTCGTTACCTTCAATTTCGTGGATGACAGGCAAGCCAGAGATGTTTTCGAGACCATAAAATGTCAAACATGCAAGCTTGGAAGTATTGAGAAACTTTACGCTTTCACGTACGATGCGCCCCCCATAGAGAAGGCAGTTGGAGGCTGGGAGCTTTATGACGCGAAGGCAGAGTGGAAACGGCAGGGCATTAGTGATAAGGGAATTGATAGAGGATGGAGGATATCCAAGATCAACTTGGATTACGCCTTTTCGCCCACGTATCCAGCGTTGCTCGTGGTTCCTTCGTCCATATCTGACAACACACTGAACTATGCTGGTCGATATCGTTCGAGAGTACGAATCCCTACCTTGACTTACCTACATCCTGTCAATAATTGCTCTATCACACGGAGCTCGCAACCTATGGCTGGTCTGAGAGGTAATCGCAGCATACAAGATGAGAAGCTTGTCAGCGCATGCTTCTCAGCATCTGCCCAAATTGATGATGGCGAGCCTTCGTCACAAACTATATCTCGCGCTAGCCCAGCTTCCAGTCAGGCTGACCTTGGCCTACCTACAGATAGTGAACTATCGGAGACGGAACGCCTTGAAGACGAGATGATCTCTGCCTCAAATATTGAGATCGTCTCTGACAAACCACACATCTATGGTGCTCAGCAACATAATCTTATTGTGGATGCTCGTCCTACTGTGAATGCATTGGCCATGCAAGCGGTCGGTCTTGGTTCAGAAAACATGGATCATTACAAATTCGCAACCAAAGCGTATCTAGGCATCGAGAACATCCACGTCATGCGAGACTCTTTAGCAAAAGTTATAGAAGCTGTCAAGGATTCTGATATCTCAAGACTACCACCAAATCAAGAGCTACTTGTCAAAAGTGGCTGGCTTAAACACATTACAGGCCTATTAGACGGGGCTGCCTTGATAGCTCGTCAGGTCGGGATTCAGCATTCTCATGTTCTCATACATTGCTCCGATGGTTGGGATCGAACAAGCCAGTTGAGTGCCCTTTCGCAATTAATGCTAGATCCCTACTACAGGACAATCGAAGGATTCATTGTCTTGATCGAGAAAGACTGGCTGGCATTTGGGCATATGTTTCAGCATCGTTCAGGTTTCCTCAATAGTGAGAAGTGGTTCAGTACTCAGAATGATGCGCTTGCCGGCTCTGCAATTCAGCCTGGCGGCAACGGAGAAGGCCGAGGAGACGCTATTGAAAATGCATTGCTGAGCGCGAAGAGATTCTTTAACAAGAGCAATGCAAGTCAGGATACGGTGACGGACTCTGATGGCGAACTGCTATCTGTTGATGAGTCCCCAAAAGCCAAGAGGAGATCCGGCACCAAGGATACTCTTGCAGACAAGGAAGCTACAAAGCCAAAGGAGACAAGTCCGGTCTTCCACCAGTTCCTAGATTGCACCTACCAGCTTCTCCACCAATACCCTACTCGTTTTGAGTTCAACGAACGATTCCTGCGGAGACTTCTTTACCACCTCTACTCATGCCAATATGGCACATTCCTTTACAATAATGAGAAATCTCGCTTAGATGCTCGAGTTCAGCAGCGAACGGCAAGTGCATGGGGCTATTTTCTTGCCCAACGGGCAGGATTCACGAATAAAGATTACGATGGAGGTGAAATCGATGACCATGTCAAGGGCAAAGAACGACTTCTGTTCCCGAAGCTGGACAAGGTCAGATGGTGGCCTGAGCTTTTCAACCGGAAAGATCAAGATATGAATGGTCCAGTCAATACCGTCACTGAGCGGTATCTTGGCGATAGGGAGGACAGCATGGGCGTTGGTGGGGGTGTTCTTACTGGAGTGGAGACTGCTGATCGAGTCGTCCCTGCTGGAAGTATTCGTCACACTCCTCCAAATGGTACGCAGGGGAAGTTGGCTAGTCTGCGGGAGGGTATATCAGGTTTAGGAATAGTCAAAAGCATGGGTGGAGGAGGGAGCAAGAGTCCTGCAAATTCAAAGCAGCCACTGGAGGTAGAAATGCAATAGGGTATAGCAGGCAGGCATAGGCTAGGCGTCAAGGATTAGAGCAGCCGCATTTAGCATAGCATTGCAGGAGCTTGGCGTCATGGGGAAGGAAATGCACGATGAGTTTACGAGAATCATGTATCATGTCATTGAATAGCTCATCATTCATGAAATCTAAATTCTTTTGGTGAGCAGTACGCCGTCTTCACTGTATAGTAGAAACATGATCATAAGAAGACCTCCAAGTTGATCTCTAGTGTGCTCACAGGATATCTGGCAGGAAGTTAGCATTGGTAAATTCTTGAATTAGATTCACTATATACCTCAACTCAAACTTATCGAGAACGGTGGGATGCAAGATTCCAAACTCGCCGATGCGAGCTTGCTTTCCGTCGATTCGGAGGTAGATAGCAGCAGCGTGCCCAGCGAAGAATGTTGGTTCATCAATTTCCTCGATCCAGTATCCATCCGGCTTCGATGGGTCCTCCTTGACCTCGTAGTCCAGCCTCTTGCCCTGGAGACCATCCTCGTGAGTCAAGAAAGCAGTCTTGAGCATCAAGAGAACACGATCAAGCAAGCCGTGAACGACTTCGAACCCACTCGTCTTGCCATACCAAGCAGCTGCGAAGTGCCTCTCATTCCTACTCTTCCTTTCCAGAGACATGTCCTTGAAGGCAACATCTGAGACCTCGAAAACTTTGATAGGCACGCTGTGCTTCTTATTTTCTCGAATGGTCTTTAGGAGACCAGGAAGTAATGAGGTGCGCACAACCTGGTACTCTGCAGTTTTGGGATTCGCAAGCTTCACAGCCGTCTCGCCGTCGTCTTTTCGATTCAGCCAGCCGAAATTTTCGTCGTGTGAACAGAGGATTAGCGGCATCACTTCACTCCAGCCAGCCATTGCTGCTTCCATACGAACAATGTCACCTAGCTTGTTGATCATCAGAGGTTGCGCAATTGTCGAGGCCTTGTTAGGTGATGTTCTTGGAAGATTATTGAAGCCGTAACCAATAGCAACATCTTCCATGATATCACATTGATGAAGAACATCAGCACGGGTTACCGGGATCGAGACGTCGAGGATGTTCTTGTCCTTCTTGGATGGCTTAGCAGTATAGCACATCTTGGTGAGCAGCTCGCAAATTCTCTCGGGCGACTCCTTCAGGCCACAGCAGTTGTTAATGTAGTCAACCTCCGCCTCAGCCAATCGAGGCTTGAAATCAGGAGTGGTTCTTGTCTCTTCATTGTGATTTGAGATGATCTCGACAGGTTCGATTGTGAATGGCTCAGTACAATACATTGAGAACATAGCAACCATGATATGATTCACAATCTCAAGCTTGGTTCGGTCTGTTCCCGTCATCTCAATGAAAACATTGGTGGTGTTCTGTGAGATCTTCGAGTGGTTGCCATTGATAATGGGTGGCATGGAGCACACGATACGCTGAGAATCATAGATGACGGGATAGACAGGCTTGTCTCGGATGATGTGAAGGTACTTTCCGAGATGCTTGTCGTTCTCATAGAATTGCATGAGTTCCTCGCCATTCATTTCTTTGGTCTGATTCAGAGGCGCAAACTTGATGTCCTTTGGCGACAGGGCTTCATAGGTGAAAGGGCCTTTGATCGTGTCCAAATCATGAGTACCAATAGCTACCAGAGTTCTTTGCCTTGCAAGGTTCTGGTGAAGCTTGTCCTGAAGTGATATGAAGGAGTCATATGAAGCTTTGGTGAACTTGATATTACGGAGAATGGCACCGGACACATATGGCCGAACCTTGAGAGTGTCTGGACTAACGGTGATGGTCTGCATCTTCCCTCCTTTCGGCTTGACCAATTTGTAGTCAGGGAATGGCGTCTTTTCGCGGAAAATGTTGAGCATCAAAGCTATACCCTCGAAGCAGAGCATGTCATATCGATTGGCCGGGATTTCGATTTTGAGTTGTGGAGGTTCCTGCTTCCCATTGACAATGGGTCGCTCTTGGTCTGTTGTATCCTCGTCGAGTTCTATCCCAAATTCGAAGCATAGTTCCTCGAACTCTTCAGTCGTGTACCTGTACAAAGAATTAGTAGAATTTTGGCGGGGTGGTGGACTGGCATACTCTTGCCCGAGAGCTTTGTAGAGCTCCGCTTTGTCAACGCTGATGGTAGGCATCTTTGTAGCTGACGATGAATCTACCGCCTGTGTAGCAGCTATTAAAGACAACCGTGGGCTCTCGAAATGCGGAAGAACGCTGGTGTTGAGGGCTGGCACAGATTATGACTCCGCGAGGTGTTTCCGAAAATTAATTGCGAGCTCTGCGCGAGCTAGGAAAAGTCGGTCCAGGTATTAACAATCTGGAGAAAGAAATGTGTGGTCACTCGAGTTTCTGTATCTGGGTCATTAAAGTAGAGTCGATTTTGTACTTCAAATCTAGATCAAATTCTCCTCGTGAATGTTGCTGCTCCCAAGTGAACACCAGCTGCAGAATCGCGTGCGCTGCAAGGCTATCTTCCCGGCAAAATTTCGAGACACACAAGGTCTTTGAAAGCGCTGTACATTGAGGTGATTGTCGACGAGCTTAGGTGGTCGCCGAATACTACGAGGTACAGCTCCGTTTCTACAGTCTTTATTTTCTTTTCGAATTCAATATTCTATGTTGCTGGGGACGTTTGTTGTCGTCTGCAGATTCACGGTGCGAGGCTATCACCTTGCAAAAGGTTGGCGCCTGAGTTTGGCCTTCTATGGTCCGTGCCTCATCGAATTTTGGTTCACAGCACAGCGCACCGGTGTGGGACTTTCAACTTGCGACTACCAAACACCAAACCAGTACCAAGTCTGCCAGCTGCCTCAACCCCTACCACTACCAAATTTCTCGCAGACTTTGAGCATCTTCTCCTTCTACCTCGCATTTCTCCGTGCTTTTTTCTCTGTAGGTACGTCCAATTGAGAAGTTGTCGCCTTGTCGAGCTACCTTGCTTGCTTGCTTTGCGGTCAAGGCACCTTTCCTGAAATAGCTCCGTCATAACTTCAACTCGGGTCCCCCACCACATTTCCAACAACAATACCACACTCCTCTCACACGCACCTCCCTTACCTTGCTGATACCCACCATTATAGACTTCGGCAGACTTCTTCTTGCCGCGAACAACTGTCTTCGATTCCCCTGCGAGAGTTCAATCGAGGCTAGGCGTGCCAACACGCGATCAATCAACCTGAATCCATACAGCTGCGAATAAACACGTCAAAGGCTGGCTGACTCCCTACCTACCTACTCTACTCCGAACCACCACCTTCTCTTGGAATAATATTCACGATGTCTGACGGCCAGGATAAGACCGATGAGCTCTACCCCATAGCCGTGCTCATCGACGAACTAAAGGTAAGGAAGGTTCTGGGGCACCGCAACCTGCCCGCCAACTGCGTTGCGCAAACTGCTCACCCTTGACATAGCATGATGATGTCCTCTTACGATTAAATGCTATACATCGTCTCTCGACGATTGCCCTCGCGCTGGGAGCTGAGCGCACTAGAGACGAATTGATCCCGTTCTTAGATGGTATGTTGAGAGTATTCATATGGCTATGACAGGGTGCTGAACACTAGGTGCAGAATCTGTCGAAGACGAAGATGAGGTCCTTACCGCCCTTAGTGAGGAGCTCGGCAACTTTGTCGAATACGTCGGGGGCCCAGAATGGGGTCACGTCCTGCTGTCGCCTCTCGAGAATCTTGCTGCTATCGAAGAGCCCTTGGTGCGGGAAAAGGTGAGATGGCATACCTTGTAGGGCTTTGGTACACTGGCTGATGAAACATAGGCCGTGGAATCTCTGAATAAGATATGTGAAGAGCTTTCATCTCAGCAGGTCGAAGAGTACTTCATTCCCCTTACGATTCGACTCTCGAAAGCCGACTGGTTCACCTCGAAAGTTTCTGCCACGGGTCTCTACCAAGTTCCATACAAGAAAGCCTCTCCACCGATGCAAGAACAACTCAGACAACAATTTGGTCTTCTTGTTCACGATGAAACCCCGATGGTCCGAAGACAGTCCGCGAATAATCTTGCAAAGTTTGTGAAGGAAATGCCAGCTACGATAGTTGTCGAGGAGATGATACCCCTTTTCCAGCACCTTGCCAGCGACGACCAAGACAGTGTAAGGTTATTGACGGTCGAGATATTGATTGCCATTGCGGAGGTCGTACCAAAGGAACAGCAATCAAGCCACGGGGTCCTGCTTACAGCGTTGAGGAATTTGATAGAGGACAAAAGCTGGAGGGTCAGGTACATGGTGGCCGACAGATTTGAAAAGGTTGAACAGTGATCTATATGGAGGCATATCTACATTAGCTAACCTGTTCATTAGATCGCAAAAGCAGTCGACGATGAAGTTGTCACAAGAGATCTCGTGCCAGCCTTTGTCAAACTTCTCAAGGACAGCGAGGCTGAGGTTCGGACCGCAATTGCTGGCCAAATTCCAGGCACGTATTCATTAATCCAAATTATATTATTACGCTAAGTGCAGCTTCAGGCTTCTGCAAATTGGTCGACAGGACTACACTTCTAAACGATATCATGACAACAGTTGAGGACCTCGTGTCTGATACCTCTCAACACGTCCGTGCCGCTCTTGGAACTCAGATCAGTGGCCTTGCCCCAATTCTTGGCAAGCAAGAGTGCGTAGTCAGTCTGCAAAATCAACGAGTGTTACTAACATATACCAGAACTATTGATCATCTCCTTCCTATGTTCCTGCAAATGCTGAAGGATGAATTTCCGGATGTCCGTTTGCACATTATCTCAAAGCTCGAGCTAGTCAATCAAGGTTTGTTGTCTGAGACATGTTCCGTCTACATCAGCTAACAATATTAGTCATTGGCATCGAGCTTCTTTCGCAGTCCCTCCTCCCTGCCATCGTTCAGCTCGCGGAAGATAAGCAATGGAGAGTTCGATTGGCCATCATAGAATACATCCCTCTTTTGGCAAGCCAACTAGGTGTCGAATTTTTCGATGAGAAGCTCGCTGCACTCTGCATGGGCTGGTTAGGTGATACCGTTTTCTCCATTCGCGAAGCGGCAACACACAACCTCAAGAAGCTCACAGAAGTCTTTGGCGTTGAATGGGCCAACGAAGCTATCATTCCCAAAGTGATGGCTATGGGCGCACACCCCAACTATCTCTACAGAATGACCACCTGTTTCGCGATCACAGTTAGTATATATGGTCGACTTAGCGAAAACATGCTTACTTTTTTATAGACCCTTGCGACCGTCGTAAGTCTGGATGTGGTCTCAAAGTCTATCCTTCCTATGATGGACAAGCTTGTTGCCGACGCTATTCCCAACATCCGATTCAACGTTGCGAAGTCATATTCAGAGTTAATTTCAGTCCTCAAGCGTCTTCCAGACGAGGGGACAATTTTCTCGTTGGAGTCCTCAGGCAGCTCGGCTCCTCCCTCGCAAAGAGGCCAAGTGCTCATTGAAGAGAGGATTCTCCCAAATCTAGAGAAGCTGCAAAAAGATGATGATGTTGATGTTCGTTTCTTTGCTACCACTGCGGCTGCTTCTGTTTCTGGCGACCCAATGAATACATCATAGATGAGATAATAAAGAAGCACTTTTTCAATTGGGAAGATGCATTGTTCCAGGGTTGTGCCTGAACTTCTAGGCTTAGCTGTTTTACTGTGTTAGAACAGAGCAGAACAGAGCAAAATACCAGCGTAGTCTCTTTCAAGACCCATGAGTTTCCTGTACAATAAAGTGAATAAGTAATATGTCTCTGATGTTGTGATTCCACGTGAGAATTCTTCCAGGCCAGCTCCCTTCACCGCCGACGTATTTAGTGCGGGGCAATTATTCTGCCAAGTTGACAACTTAATTTCTAGATAGCATCTTTTCCACCAAGCTCACCATTGCGAAATAATCCTTCCGCGTGTTGGTTGCTGCGTTCGGCAGACTTCTAGTTCTCTTTGATTCTATTAGTCCATAATGTCCAGCGAGCTCCCTTCCAAACCAAGCCACCTTGAGCCTTCCAAGCTCGGCACGAAAGAGTAGTAAGTTGGCGCGTGAGAAATTATTCCTCACATTCACATACCAAACATCTTCTAGACCGTTTCATAGGCTTCTTCTCTGATATGCCTTGATAGCTGGGATAATCTCTACACAACCGAAATCACCAACCACTCACTTGATCCCTCCGACGAGGGCACAGTCTGGTTCGACGATTCCTCTGCCGAAGATAAAATCTTATCTTTCCTCGAAGAACAAATTTGCGAGAATCATATCTTGGGACAGGAGTTTAATAAGGAGAATTGTTCGTTTTTGGATTTAGGGACCGGGAACGGACATTTTCTCTTTACTTTGAGGAACTGTGGTCAGGAAGATGATGATGAGGAAGAGGAAGAGGGCGACGACGAGAGACAAGGATGGGAGGGTAGGATGCTTGGGGTTGACTATTCCGAACGCAGCGTTGAGTTTGCCAAGAGGATAGCTGAGAGTAAAGGTTTTGGGTTGGGGGCAGGGAAGGAGGTTGAGTTTAAGTGGTGGGATCTGATGAGTCAAGATCCAGTGGGTGTTGTTCTCGAAGGACCGAACGAGAAAGGTTGGGATGTGGTGCTTGATAAGGGCACTTTCGATGCTATCAGCCTTTCGGAGGATAGAGATGAGCTGGAAAGAAGGATATGTGAAGGCTACAAGGAGAAAGTCGTCCCATTGGTACGGACGGGCGGTATCTTCCTGGTTACGAGCTGTAATTGGACCGAAGATGAGCTGAGATCATGGTTTGACGGCGGGGAGCTGAAGTATGTGGATACGATCAAGTATAAGAGCTTTAGCTTTGGTGGGAGGAAGGGACAGACAATTAGTAGTGTCTGTTTCCTAAAATTGGACTCTTCATGAATCTCTACTCGTCAATTTCCAGATTTTCTATTTTGCATTTGATTTATGTTATGGTCTGTATCAAGCTCAGATATCTTAGCAGATTACCCGAGAACGTCCAACAACAGCAACCAGCCATACTAGTCTTTTAGCAGTGCATCTTTGCTTGCTTGCTTACGATTGGGGTGCTTTAGTCTAGCCAAAAGCAGCTCCAGGCGAGGCGAGGGTATGTGATTACTATTCCATAACACGAGAAGAATGGCGAGTTACTTGATTACGTTTTGTTCCAAGACTATTTATAACTATATTCCTGATCCACCTCAAGCGATAGTCCTACCGTCTGATTCCATCTTTCCAGCCCATGCATCTTCAACAACGCAAGAAGTGGGCCGTTCATCCACGTGTCCATCGTTCTCTTCAAATCTTTGCGCAACGAGATACAAGCAATTCGAACATGTGATCGAAAGCAACACATGTAAGAATGTAGAGGTGGATTACACTAATGATATCAAGACCTGACCATTCCGTTTGGATTGTGAACTCTGGATCTACCTGTTGAGATGAAGACTCTAGTTTAGTATTGTACTGTTCTATAGTTAGGTCATTGATATAGATTAGGAAGTGACCTTTGTTTGAATTCGACTTGTAAGGAAAGCGTGGTATCTTCTCCGGTGACTTCTCGATATCAGCCATGGCATTTCGCTGGTCGTTGCCTGAGCGTAGTCCCTCAATATCCGCCTCTTGTCAATAATGAGATCCATTTGCCACTTGGTAATATAATAGACAGAATAAGACCCAGCTTCTGGCGAGAATCTTGAGTGATGGAGCCGGAAGAATCCCTTGAAATGCTAACCAGGTTGCATTGAACAGAAAGGTTGCCAAATTGCGCTGTAATTCCCTTGCTCGGCTTGACTACACTTGGGCCGAGACTTCAGACGCCATTCAATAGTCCCATGTGCTGGTAGAGAAATTTTAAAATGTTGGTGCTTATCGCGGGGTTTCCCGACTCATCCCATACTCGTATCCAAGTCAATCCACCAAGCCTAAGCAATTTGTATCCTAATTTCCAAGTTTCTTGTCCGTACTATCAAAATGTTAGAATCCATGGAAAGTGACCTTTTGCCTAAAAAGTGGAACAATATTTTCTGTAAGATATGGTTTTTGGTATTGATTTGACTCTGGTGTAACAAGCAATGTGTGTTAACGTAGGCAGGCACAAACCATCACCTCTACGCCAGAAACGAGGATTTGAGAAACTTTGATCACAGGAAGCATTCTTCTTCATGCTGCCAAGTCTACGTGTCTCGAAGTTTTGTAATTGTCGTTGGCTTTATTGCAAAGATGCGTCAAAGTAAGTCCACTAAAGCACAAGTAGTATACGGTTCATTGACAGAACCTTAGCACAACCTATTTAATGGCCGATGAAACCCCCTTAGCTGTGAATCCGAACCCAGCAAGCCTTGGAATATCCTGTACAGAATCGTTTAATCTTTGGAGCTGACTTTCCGGTGTCTAAGACAATAACCTCCCAGACTGTAGCCATGAAACTTCATAGTTGGTCCAATTTGGAGCTGACTTTTCGGGGCCTGAGACTGTAAACTTCCAGTCTTTTGCCATAAAACCTCATAGTTATCTCAACAATGGTCCAGCACATCAATAAGGTTACCGCTGGGTATATGTGGTTTCAAGACCAGGTTGATCTAATGTTTGAAAGAAGGGCGTGAACCTGGATGCCCTTATATCTGCACGCGTTGTAGCTTTCTCCATTGTTGAATTCTTGAAAAATTGAAGAAACCTTCGTAGGTTGGCTTTACTTCAATGCTAAAGGATAAACTGGTCTTTTTGTTTTTTTGTCTTTACTTTTGGAAAGTTGCAGACTTCCTGAGTTCTCCCGGCGACACATATCTAAGACAGGCATGCCCCTAGAAACAGTCATTGGCCGTCAAATCCTTGGACATTTTCAACGCAATACAACGGAACCGCGGCCACAATGAATTTAGGAAGGCACTTCGGCGATGTCATGTCGGGTTCAGCCGCACGCGCCGTGGAATACGGGACATTCGGGGTCGGGGACAACTACTTAGTCTCCATGAGGCCAGAACCAGTAGAACGTCTTTAAACTTGGGTGTAAGGAAGATGATTGAAGGTGTAGTCGAAACACAAGTTCCAAGACTAAATAACTCAAAATGATCTTCCCCCGGGGCCCACTGGTGGTCGTCGGCGAGTCTGGAGTGGATGGACCGCAAGTGGATGTGGAGGCTGACCGTCAGATTTCCAAGGTTACTTTAACCGAGGATCACCAACGTTTTCAGGGCTGGCGAGTCGAGTCGAGTCCCTGTTTCGCTTCAGCACCCCTTCACCCCTTCACCCCTCACCTGGATGGAAATTGGTTCGGTTCGGTTCGGTTTGGTTTCCTCTCAGAGTTTCTTCCTTCGAATTTCCTCCTCAGCCAGATTCTTCTTCCTGGTGGTCTGTTGTTTTCGTTGGTTGTTGCATTTGCCCCTCTCGACTCTCGACCACCCTTTCTCATCTCCTCTGCCTCTCGTTCACCAATCAGCTGTGCATGCGTGCATGGCATCTTCAGCCCTCGGTACTCAAGTGCTTAGTGGACCCCTCCGATCTGTCGGCGCGGCAGATGCTCAGAAAGCTCAGAAAGCTCAGAAAGGCTCCTGGGATGATGCTCGTGCTTCGTGCTGCGGCTGGACACGATTTTCATCCTCTCCCCTCCGTCCCCTCGTCTTTGTGCTGCTGCTGCTGTTGCTGTGCTGGACGGTGCTTTGCATTCTTCGGGTCAGACGATACGATGGATGGCTAGCCCCTCTCTTCTTGCCCTTCTGCCATGCTATGCCATGCCATGCAGTCCCTCGCGTGCTCCACAAATGATGAGGCTGATTTGCGGCGGGCATCTTAGTGGCTTGAGGCGACTTTGTTCAAACGGCTCACCCTCTAAATCCGTGGTGCTGCATATGTCTGTCTCTGCCAGTTTCTGCAGGGCAGGGCCAGGTCAGGAGCAGCAGGTCGAAAGGGTATGGCGCATGCGAAGAGAAAGAGAGAGAGAGAGAGAGAGTGCACGACGGAGAGAGGGAAGAATGAAGCACTTCTGCTCATGAGAGGGCGGCGGCTGTTGTTGGTTTTTGGTTTTTGGCCTACCATATGCTGCGATACTGACACGCTTGCACTTACCACGCTCTGCATCTTGATAGCTACCTACAGGACATTGCGGCGTCGAAGAGACCCTCTTCGGGAATGTCCACGCATGGCGACAAGATACCACCAAAGTCTAGTCCACTCCAGTCCAGTTCCTCTAACGTTGAGTCGTGCGTGCTCACTCCCTCACTTCCTCGTTCACTCGCTGGGTTCGTATACGTGGCCAAATCCAAGCGCTGCTCCTGCTTGCGTACCCAGGTATGGCGTTGTGCAATTGGGTCTGGTAGAGCCCCCGTGATCTTCTCATATTATTCGCTCCAAGAGGGGATTGGAGCGCACCACAGTAGCTCATGCCTTCCTTACCTTACCATACAGCAACGCAGGCAGAGTCATTTAGCCTTCACTGCCCTCGCGGTCGGAGAGTTGGAGGCTCAGCTTCCGCTATGTCGAATATGGACTCTGAACGTTGAAGGATGCTCCGTCCGACACCTGCTTGGGTGAGGTTTGCACGGCAGTTCGCACATCCTCCCCTCGCTGTTTCGTTCCAAATGCTTGTGTCGGCCCAGACCCGTACGTACAAGTCAAAAATGCAGCAGTCAAGATAAGAAGATGACTTGATCATAATTCAGTACAGTCATGAGTGCGTGCTGAGCGACCTGTCGGGAACGGCGACGGGTGGGATGAAAAGACATGGGATGAAAGGGCTGGTCAATCTACTGTATGATGATAGAGATTATGAGGCGAGATGGAGGCCGCGACCCGCATCTTGCGGCGGTGCCATCGTTTTCTACCCGGCGGGGGAAAGCTTCAACCAGCCCTTGCTTGCTTGCGGCGTCGTTTTCCTCAGTCACCTCACTCACAACACGAATAGAATGCGAATAGAGCAGCGCAGAGCAGCGCAGAGCAATGCAGTTCTCGTCTCTCTGTGGACGGCAGGAAAGCATGTATGCGGCCGGTGGTACGCATTCAGATGGCGTTCCGCATCATCTTTGGATTCTGACACGGCACTATGGACCCATGTTGAGGCTGTGTGAGTGTGTGAGTGCGTGAACGAGCGAACGAACGCTGGGCTGGATATCCCACACCACACTGCACTGCACTGCACTGGAAGCACATCTCATCTCTGGAAATCTCCCGCTTGAAGAGAGGTAATTATCGAGAGAGAAACTTTTACTCTTCGCATACCAGTGACACTTATCCATCCACCTGTGGCACACATGCATGCATTCAATCATATCCCTCCAGATCTATAGTCAAATATCTTGCGCCTCATCGTCTTTCCTGACCTCGGTGGTCTTCCTCCTTCCCTGTGTCTGTCCTCTCCTTATTTCATCTCTTCGATTCTCTGATCTAGTGTCCACTTAGCACTCTTGTCCTGTTGTCGTGACTGTATATTTCTAAAAACCAAAATCAGCAATACAACCGCCCTCGACTCAACTGCAATACTGTATCCTCTTCTCTTCTGGGCCTCCCGAAGAAGCGCTGCTCCCCACGGTTGGATGTACTTTACTCTGCGCCGTGCCACCGCCCTCCGGGACGCTTGTTGAGAGCCACACGCCGCACACTCACAAGTTGCGAGGAACATTACCAGCAAGGATAGCCATACGACGAGCGAGCGATAGTAGTAGCCATACGGACTACTGGACTGGACTGGACTGGACTGGACTGGACGGTACATCACCTAATATTTCATAATTCCACGACTAGTGGTGTTTGTGTTCCCAGTTCCAGTTCGAGTTCCACGACTACTAGCCATTATTTACCGTACGCGGCTCGCTTGGAGCCTCTTCGTTCTACAGTAGGCCAGACCCCAAAAACCTCAGAGCCACTCCACTTCTCACTCCCCAGACAGCGAGACCAACCACAGCACAACTCACCTCACCCCAGCAGCACTAAACTAAACCAAACCAAACCAAACCAAACACAAACACCCCCCATCTCATCCGCACGCACGCACGCAAGCAAGCAACGCACTCACTACTGCTGCTGCTCCTGCGACGACTGCAAGCACACAGTACTCCGCTTTTTGTGTCCTCCTCCTCGTTTCTCGTGGTCCCTCACCTGGCCTCCCTCCCCTCGCCTCGATCCCTCGAAGAACTTCTTCGCTCCACGCTACCCTCCCCTCCCCTACCTTTTACCTTTT